GGCCGGGGGATGGAGCTTTACCGTCGGCCTCAGCGAGGGGAGACACCCAGATGCACTGTAACTGTAAGAAGGCCACTAACCGAAAGCCTCCTCCAGGAACGATGCCCCCCCCCCCCCCCCCTCCCGATGCTACATGTACACACACGCAGTTCCCCCTTTTTCTTTTTCTTCTGATGCAACGTGTGGGGACTGCGGGGAAGGCTGCAGGCTCAGTTGGGATTGCAAAACACTTGTGTGTGGTGTCGAAATACCAGCCAGAGACGGAATAAAGAAACAGGAGTGCGCAATTACTGTAAAGTGGTCAGACGTGTGGTTTGACTTTCTCCGGTTCCCTTCCGACTGTAGGTTTCACTTTATGTCGTCGCTTTTGTGTTCCTTGTTTCAGTCTTTTTATTATAATTTTTTTTACGCTGCGTCGCACAGCTGCTACAGATGAACCGTTTTTCTGTCGTTTTCCCCTCCTGCGCACAGATGCTCGACGGACTCCGGCGGAGGCATGCCTCCAGGGCTTCCCCCAGACCCCTCTCCCTCAACTTCAGCACCTTCTCGGCCCCTCCCCCAAGTCCAGACATGGAGGGCACCAGCGATCACCCAATTAGGAGGTAAGCCTCTGTTCCCGGGGATTAACATTTCACAACGTGCAGCATCCTGGGTAATGCATGCAGAATTAATAAGCAGTCCCCCCCAAAAAAACAAAAACAAAAGCCCACCGTCTCTCTCTTCTCTGGGATGAATTGATGGACCAGCTGAGCTCTGCCGGCCTCCTGATGAGGACCTCCAGCCGGGATGTTGGAGGGACTCGTTTCTTTACGCGTTTTGCTCTCACCAGCAGCTCACGTTTCCGTGCGTGAGCGCGCGTGGGTGGGAGTTTGTGTGTGTTGGGGGGGGTCTGTTGTTGTTTACTGCCACTCAGTCAGTGGAGAGTTTCAGGACTGCGTGGGCTGGAATTCGTCGTGTCGTCTCTTTCTGAGAGCTCCTTCTCACCAGTCCCTCCTGAAAGAGCGCAAACAGCCTTCTCCCTGCTTCTGCCTTCCATTTGGGCCACTTTTTATTCATTTATCTTTATGCCTGCGCCAAAGAGCGAACTACAAATGAGAATAAGACTGCATCCACCCGTCAGAAATAAACGAGGATTCGGAAAACTCGCATACCTTACAGGGGTTTGTCCCATATAGAGGGAGAGCAATAAATCAAGCGGGCAGACACTGTGTCAACGTGGGACCTTTGTTCAGACCCAGAAACGTCTGTGATCCGCTGCTGCCTGAAGGCGTCAAGCAGGTTTTCAGGTTTGTTTTTCAAATAAAAAGGTCTTGAATGTAGTTGTGCTCCTGACAGGTTTGGAAGTGCCTCGGCCTTTGTGATGGGCCTCAGGCTTCAGGTTCTGCACACGAACTGGCACTCGTGAGCATGTCATCATATCCCACCACAGACTTTGAGAGCAAAACATTTGGCCGAATTCTTCGGTGCCCCTATGATTCTATTTTGGGTATTTCTTATAAAATTGCAATCCTTGCCCACCGGGCCTCCCCTGCTCTTCTGTCCCGAAAGACTCGGCCTCTTTGGGATAAAACTTCCCTCCTTGTCCCGGCCAGAGTCAGGAAGCAAAATGCCAGAGTTGCAATAGATGTAATCTACATCCCAAAAGGAAAAGAGGGTGAGGAAATATTCCCCCCGGGATAAGAAAGGGGTATGAAAACTTGAATATAAATAAGCGTCAAGGATCTAATACTGCTGGACTTCCTGCCTCACCGGTGCTGCCCCCGCTTTCCTGCTCCTCCACAGCCTCTGAGGGCAGGAAAGCCCTCCTCATTGTCTCGTACCGCGTTGCCGCTTCCTGTCCATGTTTTCTGGTGTCAACCCACCAGATGACTTCCTCCCACTCTCTCGTCGGTACGGTCGTGAGTGCAGCAACCGCTCCGGCCCCGCCGGGCCGGGCCCCGCGGCTCCTCTGGCATCTGTGCTCCGCATAGATATTTGTTTGCGATCAAAGGGCCGTATTGTGCCGGCGGAGAGGCAGAGAAGGAGGGCGGCCGTGCCCCCAGCGGCGCGCGGCCTATTGTTCCCCGCCCGCTCTGGGATCTGGGGCCGGGCTGAGGCCTGCCTCGCCTCGGGGCTCCGCCCGTCCTGCTCTTAACGGGCTGCGTTTCCTCGCCGTGCGCCACTCCGTCCTGCTTCTCTCCCTCTGTCTCTGTCTCTGTCCACCGGCTGCTCTTTGCGCTGTCATTTTTGCCCCCCCCCCTCCTCTGGTTTCCTCCCCGTGCATGTGGGCTCGCTGGCTGACCTTGTTTCTCTTCCATCCCCTGCCCTCCCTCGGCGTTTACCTCATGAGGACTCTGCACCGGCTCAAGCTGATGAGCTCTCCCAGCCTCAGCGAGCTGGGGAAGAGCGAGAAGGGTTCGCCCGAGGACAGAGGGGAGAAGCAGAAGAGGGCTGGAGCCAACGCCACCTGGAACAGGTACAGCTCATTCAGTCCGGGGGGGAGGGGCAAATATTTGGTGTGTGGGGGGGGGACAACAATGAAGGCCAGTCTGTGTTTTGCCTTGCAGCATTCACAATGCCGTCATCGCCGTCTTCCAGAAGAAGGGCCTGGCCGACAACGAGCTGTACATCCTAAACGAAGGCGTCCGGTACAGACACAGATCATACATACACACACACACACACACACACAGGCTGCAGGGAGCCAGTTCCCCTTATTCTACAGCGCCGGTGTCATTTTGCTCTGTAATCTGTGTTATTACTGTCCCTCCTGAGTCCGCTGCTGACTGAACGTTTCCCTGCGAACGCTTTTGTTTGTGCGTGGACCCGAGGAGTCATGTGTCCAGGCCAGATAGCTCATTATCTCTGTAAACCGACCCATCACTTCTGTCTGCCTCAGTTTTAGCCCAGTTAACATATTTCCATTTGGTGGGAAGCCACAGTGTGGTTGACCCACATTTTTCGAACGGCATAGAAAGATGTGAATGAGAAACAGCGCTTGGTTGACTGCTTCACATCCTGCGTCTTCATTGTAAAGGCCCACAGTCGCATGCTGTTAGATATAGTTTAGTTTTTTTTTAAATTCCAAATGGTTGTGTTGTATGTTAATTAGGAAATATATTGGTGTTTATTTAGATTGCAGAAGACAATAATGTTGATTCATTCTTTATTCAGGCATCTGTTGAAGACTGAGCTGGGATCCTTCTTCACAGAATACCTTCAGGTAAGGTGTCTATAATTATTTTAGTCTGTTATTTTTTTTGCACGAGACAGTAAGGCTTACTAAAAACCAGCCAGTTGAGCATATCTACCCAGACGCCACCTTATGAGCTCATAATTATTGGCTTCTTGTTCACAGAACCAGCTGCTGACGAAAGGCATGGTCATCCTCCGGGACAAAATAAGGTTCTACGAAGGTGGGTCTGCGTTAACGGCGAGGCCGTTTTCACGGGGCCGCGCCGTTGTGTCGGACTCTAAAATGTGCGATTGATCCAGGTCAGAAGCTGCTGGACTCTCTGGCGGAGACCTGGGACTTCTTCTTCTGCGACGTCCTGTCCATGCTGCAGGCCATCTTCCACCCGGTTCAGGTACGCGGTCATCCCCAGGCTGAGAGCGGACGGCTGGACGCTTTTCGTGGGTGGCGCTCACTGGCTCTCTCTCTCTCTCTCTCTCTCTCTCTTTCTCTCTCTCTCTCTCTGCGTGTCCGGCAGGGTAAGGAGCCCTCCGTCCGACAGCTGGCCCTGCTGCACTTCAGAAACACCATCGTCCTGAGTGTGAAGTTGGAGGACGCCCTGTCCCGGCCGCGGGCCCGCGTGCCCCCCTCTGTGACGCAGATGCTGCTCATTCTACAGGTGATTCTACACCTCGTTTCCACACCCTTTTGGTTACCTCTGCAGAAAAATTCATTCACGTCTGAGCTCCACATGTGGTCGTTTAGAGTAAAAAACAGAGGCAAAATAGGAATACGCTTGTCTCTTGAGAGTATTCTTGTCTTCAACTTTCTGAACACAGTATTAAAGGGACATTGTGTTGTATTTTAAGTATTTATTGAGCTAAAAAATAATGTCTCCTCATAAGCAAAGAATTTCCTCGTTTCCATGTCGTTCCACCATTTTGAATTACTATAACCACAGAGAGGGACATAAAGCACTAGTCTGCCTGTCTAGCTAATCCACAACGCGTTTTCGTTCAGAGCCAGAGTCACTCGACTGTAACCAGCTATTAGAAGTGAGAGGCGCTCTCTTAGCCACCTCTATGCTGGTCAGTGGCCCGGCAACTTTGAAAGCTTGCATTGCACTTTAGTCAGACACACACCTCGATGACGTGGAGGTCATGTCGTCGTTACTTCTTGATGCCTGACGGCTACCGTAGCTGCGATGCCCATTTGAAAACGCCAGGCACTAGAGAGCACGGTAGAATGCGAAATACAATTTCACCGTCACAAGGGAGAAATTCCTACACCGTGTACCTTTAGACTCTTGTTTTTAACGCCTGTCTCCTCCTCAGGGGGTCCACGAGTCACGCGGTGTGAACGAGGACTACCTGAGGCTGGAGTCTCTGGTTCAAAAGGTGGTGTCGCCGTACCTCGGCACGCACGGGCTTTACACCGGAGACGACTCCGAGGACGACTGCTATGTTCTGGGTGAGTCCCAAGCAGAGCGATTCAAAAATTTTTTTTTAAAAACGTTCCGGTGCGTCCGTGGCCAGGCGGACTTGAACGACGCCCGCCTTTGCTCTCCCTCCTCCCCCAGACAAGCGTTTGCCGTGGGGCTGGCCCAAGTCCGCCGACCAGCTGTCGAAAAACCCCGTGGTACGATCCAAAAGCTACAACATCCCGCTGCTGCTGACCCCGGTGGCGGAGTTAGACCCCGATGCCGGCTCGGTGGGCAGCGGAGGAATTCGCCGTCACTCGGCCTGCGAGATCATATCCTGCCTGGAGGAACAGGGCCTGGCCTACACCGACCTGGCCCCGGGGCCCGAGCTGTCCGGATCCTCCTCCAACCGCCTCTGCGTGGGCCCACATTTCGATGGTATGACAGAATTTTAAGTACAGTAGAACCTATACCTACGAATTGAATTTGTTCCGGGACCTACTTCGTATGTTAAAATATTCGAATGTTGGTTCAAACATTCCCATAAGAATACACTGTAATTCCTATCATTTGTTCCACAGCCCAAAAACCTATGATAATTCCTTAATAAATACTTCAGATAATTCCACATAGCAATAAAGCAAAAACATTATATAAGATAGATGTAAAAAAGAAATAAATTATAAATAAATAATCAATAAAAAGGGTTTTTTATTGGCAAACAGAGGTGTAGGCTTGGCGATCGGTGTGGAGGAAGAGGTGGTGACTGAGATACAGTACGGACCGTAAATTACTCTAACTTTTACTACTTGAACTTTAAACCAATTTGGCTTATTTATTTTTATTTAATTTATATGTATATATATATATATATTTATTTATTTGTTTTTTTTTTTTTCTATGACTTTGACATCATGTTGGAAATTTACTTTGTGTGTCGAGTCGAATATTTGATCGAATTTCCCATTTCGAATGTTGGAAAATTCTAATGTTTAGGCAATCGTACGTACAGGTTCTACTGTAGCATTCATTATGTGGGTTATTAAGGGAGGAGAATCGGGTGAGCAGCGGCGATAACCCATCACTCTGTCATTCATCTGTGTCGTCCAAGCAGGGGGCGGCTCCATGGACCTGCCGCTCTCGTCTCCCTCCATCCTTCATTCCTCAGGAGCTCTCCACGGCACCGAGGCCACCACAACAATGACTGATCTCAGCAAGGGTGCATCCTCCACACCTCCTAGTGAATCATCCAGTCCGGAAACCATAATTGGACAAGTGCTAGAGTCTGCCGACTCCAGCGCGGACGGGATATTTATCGATTTCCCACCTCACTCTTCAGAATCGATGGGGCTTGGCTGTGACAGTAGGCAGAGCACTGTGTAACCCCGGCTGTTTTTAGGGATGCAACCAGAGCACGTACGCAAATATTTTGGGAGAAAGTGGACAGAAATCCTCTGTCTACATTCTGTTTAATGGGTACCATCTTCCTTTTTTCTTTTCTTCTTTTTTTCATTTTAGTACGATGGGTTTCTTTTTCTTCCAAGTGCTTTCACTGAGGCTTAAAAATGCTTTAAGCAGCTAAGAAAAAGGAAGCTTCCATGTCCAAGGAGACATGAAGGGGTACTAATGTTACACAACTGAAGATGCGTCGCTGTTTCAGAAGGTTTTTTTTTCCTGAAAAGACCAAAATTAGTGAGGAGTTATATTTGTGAATGACATTTTCTCTGTGTCCAAAGCCTATTCAATCTAGTTGCTTTTTTGTTACTGCTCTCTCTTTCACTGTCATCAGTCTTCTTATTGGTAATTAAATGTGTATTAGTACACAGCTGGTAATAGCTTATAATGTGCGATTGGCCCAAATAATTTTTCTAAGCATTAGGAAGTTGTCTTATTTAAAAACTAGTCTATATAAATAAGAGTTGTCTTTTTGTTTAAGTGAATTGGCTTCAGGCAGTTTTTAAATGTATTTAGAAACAAACTGGCATGTTGTTGGCTTATTGGTTATTTCCTGGGATTTGTTGGCAATATTGAAAACAAAATCAGTATAGAATATTGCCACTACCTTTCGTTTAACCAAGTGAGAAGAAAACAATTCCTTCACTGAGGATAGAAAAAAAAAAAAAAGTAATTTCAAGGTTTTTGCCCAGCGGGAGATTTTCTCTACTTCTGCTGAAGGGTTGGCCATAGTAACGCTGCAGGCTTTCCACACCCATCATGTTTTAAAATGCTATGAAATTGGTTTGTATTTGTAGATTCCGGAGCTTACAATGGTTCAGTCACTTGTCGGACTGTTTTAAGAGAAAAATTTTGCAGAGAAGAAGCCAATGCAGAGAGGAAACGTTGTTTCTCCCTGCATTGGCTTTGGAGTTTGAGGAAAATGACAATGTTCGTAATGTTTACATTTGACAAAGACATGAAAATTTCGACTGAATGTTGTCTCACACTGTATTTTGCACCACCACTAATATGTAAATAAAAGTGCGTTGTTGTTTTGCAGAACAGGTCAATATTGTAAAGTGAGCATTTATCTAAAAAAAAAAAAAAAAATTCAAATTTTGATAAGGGCTTTTTAACTGAATCTTTTTCAATGATGTTTACCTCAAGCGTTTTGTACTTTTTTGACAATCCATGATGTCTACGGAGTTGTGCTTTGTATTAATTTCTTATGCCGGCCCTGTAAAAAATAAATAAATGCATTTGAGTAACATTAAAAAAAATTGGGTACTTCCTACTTTCATGCTTTATTAACGTATAGAACCTGTAGTCTTTAAAGTGCTTCACGACCAAAATAATCTTCATAACTGAGATTTCAGCTGGATCTTGAGATCTTTATCAGCAGAATGTGTGTTGTTTTCCAGGAAAAAAACAAAACAAAGGCAGAAAAAGGTTTGTGTGGTTGTTATTTCTATTATTTTCAGTCTTTCTTGCTTTACAGATGTTCCTTTAGAGTATCAGGGATGCTTTAGTTTGTGAACTCTAGGATCAGCGAAATGTAAGCATTAATAAAAGCTCAAACAGGCAGTGAATGGAGGGCATAGTTAAAGAAATTATACGTATATATTCAAGTTATGGAAAATAGTCCCATAATCCATATCTTAGAGTTGAAATGTGAATGTTAGCTTGTTGGTTGGTTAGTTCGATGTCCCAATATTTTCCATTTGGGGTTTTTTGTTATGGTGAAGAAAAGAACTGAGAGTTTCATCAAAGATAGCCGGCCGATTTGGCTCAGATACTGTAAAACAGGCCTAAACCATGACAACCACTGTGTTTCACTGAGGCGTAATATTTTTTTGCTGGAATGTGGGTTTTTCCTTTCTGCAAACACAGTGCTTCACATTTAAACTTCTGACATCATCACATGATGTTGACAAAAGGCTGACAGGCAACAGTACTCTTTGTCATGTACAATGTTGTTATTCAGGCTTTCTTGATAATCATATAATAAAGAGATCTGTTGATCATAGGTTACCTAGATTTCCTTTCATGGTGTTTTTTTTATTCTGAAGGTTGTGTTCATTTGGACTAACATACACGTTTGCAATTACGTGTTATGGAGAACAGTCATTGAAATTGTATTTATATAAAGCAGCTTGTTCTTACCTGACTGTCATCTCATCGACTCAAAGGAATTGTCTGTGGGCCTATTTGGAAAGATTTAGAAAGACAATCTTTTAGTCAGCAATGATTTCACACAATGAACAAATGACATGGAGAAGAACTGATATCTCCCTTGTTTTCGTTTTTTCTCATGATATACTTTACCTGTTAGATTATCTGATAATATCTTCGTTTTCATACAGAAACACAATGAGTTCAGTGGATTTTTAAAAAGTATTCTGTTTTGAAGGGTCTCGCCGGAAGTTTGAAGAAGTTTGAAACATTGCCCATAGTTTTGAAAAGACTAACCGGAAGTGTTGACGTTATTGCCGATTGAAAGTAAGTAAAGCTCGTGTGAATTTCGACCTTACGTTGTTGTAAAGCTTTAAAAGGCGGACGTGGCGGCGCTCGTCCTTTCATTGAACATTCGTTTCTTAAAACCGAGAAAAACAAAAAAGTGACGCTCAAACTGAACGAGGTAAGAAGTCTTTGAACAATGTCAAAAGTTAGCAGCAGCTGGGCAGCATTTGTGCTAATGCTAAGAGGAAGTCACAACAGACAGCTTCTTTTTTTAACGAACCGTGGTGGCTTTTAGGTAACACCGTTTTAACCTTTTAAAAGGTGAAACTAAAGTGTCTTTCTGTCGTTATTGTAGCGTCACGGCCACCAGAGAAGCAGCCGGGTTTGTCGGTCCTCCTCCCCGGTCTGTGTGAGCGGAGGACCCTGGCTGGAGCCAGTCCGTCCTAAATGAAGATGTCCCTGGCTCAGCGGGTGCTCCTTTCATGGATCTTTGCCCTGATCTTCCTCATCATGCTGGTCCTCAAGTTGGACTCCAAAATCCAGTGGAGCTGGTTCCTCATCTTCCTCCCCGTGTGGACCTTCGACACCATCCTCATCCTCATGCTGATGGTGAAGATGGCAGGGCGCTGCAAGCCGGACTTTGACCCCAGGGACGGCGAGCAGAGCCTGAGGAGGAGGCTGTGGTATCTGACCGCCCTGCTGCTGAAGCTGGCCTTCTGTCTGAGCCTGTGCTCCCGCCTGGAGAGGCTCACCGACATGCTGGTCAGCGTGGTGTGTGTCCCCCTGTGGGTGCTGCTGGGCGGCGCTCTGGTGGAGCTGGGACACAGCGTCCTCAACTACAGGACAGATTGAACACCAGAAGTTTTATATTCAACTTTTTTTTTGCATAAAGGCAAAAGGAGACGAAACTAAAATCAGGAGTTGGAGGTCTGTGGATCCAGTGGGACTGAGAGAGAAAACCCAGAATCTGTTTCACTCTCTCAGAGATAGGAGCTTATGTTTTCCCACAACAAAAATTTTTACATATACGTCCACACGGCTGGGAGACTTTAAAATAGTTTTGGACTGGTGTTGCTGCCCTCATCTGTCCGTCACAGGAGAGGAAGAAGAGAGCCGGCGTTCCAGCTGAGGAGTTTTGGTCCCTGTGATTGAAGAGCTCTGTGATCCAACAGGAGCAGCAACTCCGCGGAAAGATGCTCTAAAATATTCACTCCTTCATTTTTCTGCATGAGGGCAGCCGGTGCCGCTGAGCCATTTATCTGCTGCGCCATTTTTGGAAAGATATTCAGGATCCTGATTGGATCGTTTATCATGTACTGCGAATATTTTTAAAGTAGTCCTCAGTTTCAGTGACCGTTTCAGTGTACACTGAGAATTGATGATGTGACGGTATGGAAGTGTCTGGACGAAAACAAGTTTTAACAGTAAGCCCGAACCTGCTCGTGTTCTGGTTAAACAAATTACTGAAAAATATCCTATGAGTTGGCTTTTAGAGGAGGGGTTTCAGAGCCAAATCAGTACGGTTGGAGCATTTGTCTGAAGGAGCAGCAGATGGAGCATCTGAAATCTTTCTAATGTATCACAGACAAGATTTCAGAGCTCTGAGTGTAAATTAAAATAATAATTAGCCCAATTCCATTTAGAGGCTTCAGTGTGAGTCCTTGCTCCGTAGTGCTCCGTTTCCATAACCACACAAAACAAGACTGTTAAGCAAACTAACGGGATGATTTATGCTTCGTTCTGTTTACACATTTGTTAGAAGTGCCAAAATCAGGAGTCATTTAACTTAGTCAACATTTTGAACCATTTATTGAGGTTCTGATCAGAGTATAAATCACACTACCAAGTCTTATCTTAGGAAATAAAATGTATTTACAACAAAATTTTTCACATACATTGGTTTCAAATAAAAACAGACAGTAAATGATATAAATAAGTTCTATGGAAAATAAAACTTGTCTTACAAAAAATATATGCAATTTCTGTATACATTTTCTCACATTGGTGCTAATAACATCTATACTGTACAGTTTTGGTACATACAGTATCATTTACAGCCCTGTGTGAGTCAAACAGTCCAGTCTGAAAACAACTACTTGCTCTGATTTTGGAGTGTTATAAACACTAAAACCCATCAACTAAAGCAACAATTTAAAAAAGAAAGGAAGAGAGGCTTCCGTCTCCGAGGAGCTCCATGATCTGTGGTCACGCTGCAAACGCGGAACGTAGAAAATTCCTATTGAAGAGAGTACGGGTGGTTGTTTTCAGATTGGCTAGTCCAGTACCTAAAGTAGGTGCTTTAAGAGCGAAGCTAAGTAGTGCACAGGCACTGACACACGGGTCACATAACATTTTATATTAAGCCTACATACATCTGCTAACAAACGTGAAGTGAGCTACTTAGCTTACATTCTTAGGCGCTGTTAAAATACCTGCAGAGTGCATCCCCCCTCCTCTGCGTCACAGGAATACCGAGGCTGTGTCCGAGTAAAAAGAAGATTACGGGAGACCAGTACGGCGGATGTCTGGAGGAAGGGTGAGCTTTTCCAATATTTTGACAAAGCCTTCGTAAGTTGTACAGTAAAAAAAAAAAAGAAAAAAAGAACACTACACATTCATATCAAGAAGTCTTTGTGTGTGTGGGGTGTGTATGTTTTCAGGGGCTGTTTTAAAGAGTGCCCGGTGTCCTGTAGCGCGGCGCCGGGCTTCCCCTGCGCGCAGTCTTTGACTTTTGGTCCTTTGGAAGGAACGAGTGTCCGACTGTCCGACCCGGACTTGGAGGAGGAGCCCCGAGAGTCGCCGTGGTGGTGCGGTCTGGATCCTTTGTCTGTGAAGGAAAGGGCCAAAGTCTGTTGGGCCTCCATGGGTTTAAAGAGGTCAAAGGTGACCAGAGTCCGTGCTGGCTTGTGCTCTGGCTGCGTGGAAACGGGGGCGGGCCTCTTCTTCTCCTCCTTGCCGCTGAGTTCTCGCTCCTTCTTGCCGTCTTTTCTGAGCGGAGGGTTGGCCGGTCTGTGTGTCTTGGTGGGGTCGTCCCTCCCCGGCTTGGCGGGCGTCCCCTGGGGGCCCGGCGTGCTGCCGTCCTTGCCCTCCCTGTGGCCGCTCTTCTCCTTCTTGCCGTGCGAGGGCTTGTGTTTGCAGGGGTCTCGGGCCTCCTCCTTCTCGGGCCGCTGGTGGGCCGGCGTCTGCGGGCCCGCCCGCTCCTTCTCCTGCTCCTTCTCTCTCTTGATGTGGGGTTGGGGTTTGGGGTCCCACTCCTTGGCCCACTTCTCGTCCGTTTGGGAGGCTTTGCCGCCCTCTCTGCTGGGCTCCTCGTCCTCCTCCTTCTTCGTGGGCGTGCCTCCCTCTCGGCCTCCCTCGGCCCTCACCCTCTCCTCCCTGTCTTTCCTCTCCCTGTCTTTCCTCTCCCTGTCCTTACTCCTGTCCTTGTCCTTCCTCTCTTTAGGCCTCTCCTTTTCCTCTCGCTCCCTCTTCCCCTTGTCCTTCTCCTTCCTGATTTGTGGCGTGTTGTTGGTGCTGGCCGTGCCATCTTTACTCCTCTCTTTCAGGGCTAGACCCATCATGGCCGTCTTATGCTGCAGCGGCTGCTCCTCCTCCACATCAGCCTCTTTCCTAATCAGCTGTAGAGACCTTACGGATGCCCCCTCCACTGCGCTCTCCCTGTGGCCCCTCTGCGGGGCCTGATATGTGTCCTCCTTCACATCTTCCTTAGCTTTAGGGTCCATTAACGCCGGACAGAGAACAAACTCCTCTCTTTCCTCTTTGACCGAGGGCGGCGCCTCGGTTGGCGACTCCTTCCTCTCGTCCCTGTCCTCTCGCTCTTTGAAAATTGCTGCTGGAGTTTGTGAGGCCGGCGCCTCCCCTTCCTCGGCGTCCACCTCCTGCTGCTTTGTGACAGTCTGTACATCAAGGTCACACTCTCTCCCCTCTTCTTCCTCTTTGATGTTGTGTGTTGCATCACTTGCCGGGCACTTCTCCTCCCGACTCTCGTCTTCTTCTTCGTCGTCTTCCTCCTCGTCCTCCTCCCCCTCGTGTTGGTGATACTGTTTGAGTCGGATGTGCCAGGCCAGGCTGCACACGGCCGACACCGTCTTGAACTGGTGGACGACGCCTCTGGGGATGAAGTAGATGTCGTTGTGGTACAGCTGGATGCGGGCGTATCGGATCCCCTCCCTCCTCAGCTGGTTCAGCTTGGCGTCGTCGATCCACTGTACGCACTGGGGGGGCACAGAAAGGGGCAGGGGGCTTTAAGACATCCTCAAAGAGAGCAATCGGATTTTGAGCGTTTGCACATTTCAGGACTGCAGACATGAACAAGCTGACAGAGTCCTACTGGGATATTCTATTCTTTGAGCATGTTGGTAGTTTACAGAGGCTGAGGCTCTTTGAGCTGTTCAACTTTAGCCCGCTACAGACTCCATTTGTGCAGCTCACGGGATGTTTTCGGTACACAGAAAAAAAAAGTAGGAGCTGTTGAGCTGTGGTTCACTTTCCAGTGTTGCAGAGACGTGTTATTTTGCGTTTTAGTTGTTTAATTTTTTCCCTTAAAAAACTTTTAAACGACTTAATAACTCAGAATATATTAAAATAGTTTGGGAAAAGGCCAATAGTGTCCGCTCACAATTTCAAAAGTCTGAACAAATCAGATGAAAAGGCTAAAGGAAACAACGCTAAAGGAAACAACGCCCCCGCCACAGCTGCTCCTTAGCAGGTGCTCTGCTGCCTGGGGGAACAACAGGCAGTTCTTTTGTAAAGGATAGAGCTCTGTTCTGACATATACCCCAAGTCAATAGATAGCCTCGTATAACAATTCCAGGAGCCCCTGGTGGACGTGATTAGGCCAGCACACCCACCTGGGACAGCGGGGGCTCGTGGAGGTCCAGCTGAAGCCTCATGACCACATCGGGGAAATCCCCTGCGTGGAAGCACACCACGTCCTTGGTGATCCGGGCGGGTGTGTCGCTTCTGGAAGACAACGCATGAAGCTCAGTTTGCTGCTCTCAGCTCGCATTCGGACATGAGAAAAAACACAAAGTGACGAAGAAGCCAAAAGGTCATTGTGCGGCGTTCGTATTCGCGACACGTTACTGGCCACTTCTTTTTAATTTCCTCTAGCCGACCCCTGAAAGTAGAACGAGCAAACAGATGTGGGCTGGCACTTACTCCTCTCCGCAGCGCACCGCCTTCAGCACGCCGACGGCGGCCGTCGTTTGCCTCTCGAAGCCCTGGCCGATGTGGTCAGCGTGGGCTCTGGTGCGGTCCTCGAACAGCATCTCTCTGGGCTCGCTGGCTCGGGGCAGATACTGCAGGTTCTTTATCTCGTTCGTGGACCTGAAACACGTGTCCACATTTGGCAGAAATCGTTAGTGGATTAGAAACAGCGCGGGGGCAAAGAGCAGTGAAATGGACCCTATTGTGTTTTTCTTAAAATTTCACTGAGAGGTCACAGTCAGACTCCAGACTAAACACCAAATTAGATGAGGTGAGGACAGCAATGTTTTCTGGGAGTGAAATAATAAAAAAAGGCCAATAAATACTTGAAATTAGCCCTCAGTAATGATCACGGTAGCCTGTGTGCTCATGCCAGGTCACTGTGGGGGGCAACTGGACCATAAAGATGTGACTTAAACAGCGGACCGTCCCGGCTGAAAAGCAGACGAGCGCCGCCTTTTGTTGTGTAACGCTCCACATCTGGAGCGTTGGGTCACGGTGTGGAATGCCACTTCCATCCCCCCACCTTTTCCGTTTGAAGGGGGACTTGGGCATGTCCGCCATGGGGATCATCTGCTCTCCGGGCCGGACCCACATGATGGGGCCGTCGTCGCTCTCGGTGGGGCTCTGCAGCCGCAGGCTGGAGAAGGTCCCCCAGGGCAGAGTGCGCTGCGCAGACACGGGGGGAGAAACTCCGGTTACGTAACGGCGCGGCGGCGGGTTCAGCAGATGCTGGGGGGGCTGCGCTCACCATGAGGAAAGGAGATTCCTCCAGCATGTTGATGAACTCCGGGAAGTAGTCTCCGACCTCCTCGTCCACGGCTCCCACCAGGCTGACCTGCCGCATGGCGCCGGCGCGGTACGTCCCCCTGGAGTAGGTCCGCTTCACCTGCGGGAGGGGGCACAGATCAGAGGAGCGGGGGCGCCGCGCCGCCACGCGGCTCAGACACGCACGCCGTCAAGCGCAACCAAGCGTTCATCAAAACAGACAGAGCCACCCGTCCTTTTAAAGACAGAGCCCAGAAACGCTCATCAAAGGACGGAAATGTCGACACGCAGCCAACAAAAAAAAAAAAAAGTAGCCTGCAGCCACTCTGAGGTACCACAGAAACAAACATGGCAGGGTGGAATCTGGGAACAGAAATAAACGGATGAATTAAGTAACAGCCCCATTTTGGTCACACTGTAAGCATGAGAGCCCTAAAAATGTCACCAAACCAGAACCCCTTAGAAGGAGACGGACCGAAGAAGTTCCATCTCTTAGAAACCCATATAAAAAAAAGTTCCTAAAGACTGTGGAAAAAAAAGAGCAGGCAGAATCCTAATAACAGCACATCTCTGTCAAGTAGCTGTAATAACTTTTTCTTATAATTCATTTTTATAGTAAAATGTTAAAGAAAAGAAATCTTGAAACTAAACATCACAGGAAAAACACTTCTCAGTCTGTCTGGAACCCCAACGATTTGGGCCAATTACAAACACAAAAAAAAGCTCCACAGAACAAACACAGACTGCTTCAAAGTTGGAGGATAAAATACTGGAGCAGCATCAGTGAGACACGATGACAAAAGATGCACTGGAAGGTCTACAAGGTCCAACCTCGTAGTTTCACTGCATCACATGTCAAATGTTTGACCTCAGTCCTTTCTAGATAGATGGATACTTCAGTAATGCTGAGAGAAATTTTAACAGTGAAACAAGTAACCAACAACAGCGTGAACAGGACTAAGAGCAGCCCACACGTTAAAAAAACACTACAATGTGTGGACATACATTTGAGAGGCACCAATAGAGTATTTAAGTATTCGGCTGTAACAAGAGAAACTAAAACATGTGAAAATGCCAGCTTTTCCAGTGTAAACAGACACTTGGACTTAACCATTCTTACATAAGAAGGTACTTCTGGAGCCCCTCAGCCTACTTCAGTCCTGCCCAGAGTGTGCACGCAGAAGGGATTCAAACCCTGAACAAATGATTTGGGTGTCACGTGTTGCATTTCTAAATGTCTTTTTGTCGGAATAATCACGCCCATTTGATTTAATTTGGCGCCGACAATTTGTTTCCTGCAGAAAAAACGACTGAGGAGAGCGTAAACTCACCACAGTCAGGAGAGCAGCGCAATAAACGGCGACCCCACCGCGTGAACAGCAAAGGCCGCCCCACAGTGTGTATGTACCTGCCCACAGGGTGTATGTACCTGCCCACGGTGTGTCTACAGCTGCTCACAGTGTCCACTCATATGTGGGTATTCTGACAAAAGTGGAGCAATATTAGTTTTTTTGGCATACGCTTTTTCAAAACTGGAGACAAGTTTTTAGGAAAAAAGCCTCCGAGGGTAAAGATTTCCACTTTGCTTGTACTGGGAACATGTGGACTGGAAATTCAAAAGCTTTGGCCCGGGACATCAAACCACACCAGTGGAGCTGCTGATTCAGTAAAACTGACCTTTTTCTTGTTTTCTGTTTGACGTGTTAGCACAGAAAAGCCGTTTCTCTCAGACTCAACTGAAACATCAGATAAAATGGAACCAGACGACTTTTTCTTTCCCAGAACAAGATCCACAACCGCCCGACCGGTCGGTGGGAGGACTTAATGTTGTGTCGCGTTTGAGTGAGCTGCTCTGTCTGCATCTTTTACTGGATGAGAGCTGTAATTAGATCACCTGAATGAATCTTGAGCTTTCAAGAGGAGGAAAAAAAAAGGTCACAACTGGAAGTATGCAGCACTTCTAACCTAAGCAAATACACAAGGACGAGGATTCATTTGACTAAAGACGAGGAAACGCTGCTGCAGCCACGTGGTAAAGGATGAGATCAGTCACTAAGATGAGCAGACACAGAAAGCTGCAGCTCCCACGGCCGAGCCAAAGTTGCCCGAGAAGAATTATCTATAGAGGAAAAGGTGCTAAAAGTTTACCCCCGTTTGGTTCCAGTGGGATCAGCAACACAGCTAAATGCGCCATGCTGGCGTCCCAAAACGATTTTCTTCACAGTAAATACTCTGGCATGGAGAATTGAATTTTCTCCCAAACGCAATTGATTGCCACGGCTTCCAGAGCCCGGTTCAAATGAACGCTTCAGCCGTGCTGCGACTCAACCCCACCGGCGGTGCAGCCACACCTCTGATCTGCCTTTAGTATAAGCCTGATAATGCTGTCTACCATGAAATAAAAAACAAACAAGCCATCAGCAAGATGCCCCAGCTGCCTGCAGAGATGCAGCTAACATCAATTTGTTTACTCTGACTCTGTGCTGAATAGATTTTGTTTAAGGGATCCTCGTATACTTGTAAGACACGGTTGATTAAAAACAGAACTTACGGTTGCGAGGCAATACTAGATGTTACGTCTACAAAACTGATATCAAATAAGTCTGTAGGTTTGGCAGATCCTCACAGGCTTTAAGGTAAAGAAGTAAAAGTATTGGATAAAGGAATTCAGACTTAAGGTAAACAGAAAAACAGCATGAACTTTTTGTACAGATCAAGTTTAAACTGAAGGCAAATTTGGACAATTCGATTTCAGAGGGGGATAAAAAAAACAAAAAAAACAGAAGAGCTCCAGTTTGCCACCTTCAGCTTCTTCAAGTCACACTACCCTAACAGCATCTGACACGAAAGCCCAAATGCGGAGAAAGTGCCACATCAGAGGGGATCTTAGGCTGCTCATCATCAGAGCTTACAGCTCCGCTAGACATCCTGAACACTGACGCGCTCTGAGGGATTAAAGACGTCTGGGCGCAGCGTGAAAGCCGGTACCCCGTCACCGTCTGGACAAAAGCCGCTCGCAGACAACAAAGCGACGCCTCCCGCCATCAAAGCGGGCGGTTTTCACACCGTCCCGAGCAGAGGGGAGGCTCGTTTCAAAACTCCCGCTCACCTGAGTGTGGAAGTTGGCCATGGTGGTGGTCTCTATGTCCTTCTTCCCCAGCACCTCCATCTTCACCGGCGCGTTGGGGAACTTGTAGGAGAAGTACTCCAGGAAGTCCGGGAGGTACGAGGCCGCCCCGTGGATGATTCCCATCACGTAGCGGGCGGCCTGGTTGTGGTCCTCGCTGAACGACAGGGCCACGAACTCCTGGGCGAAGCGCTCCATCTCGGCCGCCGACAGCCCGGCGAGCTGCTCGCTGTAGGCGTGCGCCACCGAGGCGCCCCCGTTGGGCTGCTGCTCGATGTGGATCAGGCTGCCGAACTCCAGCCCCGCCAGGCCCGGCGGCGGCGTGCAGTGGAGCGTGGAGCCGTAGCCCAGTCGGACCACGGAGGAGAGCGGGGCGGGCGCAGCGGCGGTGGCGGGGAGAGCAGGGTCCTGGTGGTGCTGGTGGTGTGGGGGGGCGGGGGCGCTGTGGATCAGGCTGCTGCTGCTGTTCCCGTTGATCCGGCCCAGGAACTCGGGCAGGCCCAGAGCGACTCCCGAGCACACGGTCTGGCACGAGCGGTGGTACATTTTGGGCCGGTTGTGCCTCTCCTTGATGCGCTCGCCATCTTTGTGCTTCTTTTTCTTCTTCTTCTTGAGCCTCTTCAGCAGCAGGTCTTCGTCCGAGGAGGCTTTGAGCTTCTCTTTCGACTCTGTGGCAGAACAGAGAAACGGTTTACAGCACGGGCACCTCACGGTGCATCTCCAGGCGTTCCCAGTTAGGTTTTACCATCATTTTTCTAATCTTAGTGAATTTTTAAAAACAGCATCAAACTCATCCTCCAAATTCACTTTAAATTATTTCAGTATTTTTACACTACATCTAAAGTTAAAGTTACATTTTTGGCTTTATCCCTACAATTAATATCGTACAGAACTGATCAAATTTCCACAAGGAAAACTTTTCCACAACATAAACAAGGTCCCATTTCATGGCATGTGAGCTGATCAAATTCTCTACCTTTCTGAGGAGAGGTCACTTCTCCGTTTTCTCGGGCAATGTCATGCACAGGTGGCAGTTTGTGATTTTTCCACTCTTTACTCTGGTCCTTCTTCTTCGGCCTGTCTTTCTCCTTTACACGGTGATCTGAGGAAAAGTAGCAGAGAGGACAGAGTGAGCTGAAACCTGCTTTATCCACACCGGGCAACAAAACTAAAGAACAAACATTTCCACGTGTAAAAAAAAGAAAAAAAAAGAAAAGAAAATCCCACCATATGGGGCCCCGTAAATACCGAGGCCTGTGCCACGGAAAACCATTAGAATAACTAATTAAGCAATTCGCGGCATTACTAATTGACGTAGGTTGACGTTTGGCCGTGGAGCGGCCGGGTGGAGGGCGGCGGGCAGCAGCCCGGTGAGCTGTCCTACCTCTCGGTGGCGTTTTCACGTCGCCGTTCTCGGTCTTTGTATGGCAGCTAGCGGGGCTCACTTTCTCCACGGCGGCGGCGGCGGCGGAGCTCCGCGGCGCCTCGCCGCTGCTCTTCTCCTTGTGTCGCTTCTCTTTCGCCTTTTTCACTTTGAGCGGCGAAGCGAGGAAGTTGCTGATTTTGAAGATTTTCCGGACGGGCGCCGCCGGCAGCGCGGCGGCGGCCGAGTGGCTCGCCTTGGCCGGGCCGAAACTCCATTTCGCTGGGCTTCCACAACTCTGCTTCCCGTTGTGTTTTTCCCCTGCGCACACCTCTCCGTTCAGTTTCCTGTGCTTCAGGCCCTTCTCCTCCACGCGGACCTTCTTGGGGGGCGGTGGGAAAATGTCGCTGGAAGACTGCGGACGGCTCTCGGGCGGCCGTTTGGCTATCAGAGGTTTGGGGGAATTTGTTTTGCTGTTCGCTGCGAAATGCATGGAGTCCACGGACTCGGCCATCTTGGAAGTTTCTATTTTTTACGGTCAGACGTAACTGGTGCGTGACAGCCAGGCCGGGGGCGGGGCTTGGCGTGTGACGTAGCACGCACGGCGGACGGGGCCCGGACAGGCTGTTTACAGCCTGCAGGACGAGAGGCGGAACTGAGCGGCGACACTGCTGCAGTGTTACGGTCAAGACAGCGGAGGAGGGCCGCCGACAGAGGGGCCTTTATGCGCCCCGGGCCCGGTTTGCAGATCACTAACACTGGGATAAGTTTGTCTTTTTGAATAAGAGGGAAAATGGTCTGATAGCATGGAGCAATACGTTTACATGACTTTTCATATGGTCCATCACATGGCAAATAGAGCAGAAGTGTCCGGTTTAAACTTGATTAAATTACATTGGTCAGCAAGACAATTTAACGACTTGTTTCTTCATTAGTTTGATCTCTGGTGGTTTGGGATTCATATTAGCTATTTAAAAAAATAATAATTTAACACTAAATCATAAGTAACATTTAACTGATTTAACTTCCGTGGACATGACCACAATGTTTAGAAAACATTTAAAAAATGGACTTTGCCGTTGTAAATATTTACCAGTTAATTGTTGGGGTATTTTACAGGAAATATAAGAAAATAAATTACATATTTATTTACATATTTGCAAATATGTTTACTGATACTGACAGAAAAATTTAATTAAATTCTTAGCAATACACATTATTCCTGCTGCTAACTTTAAGATTTGTCACATTCATCTATTATCGAGTCAAGTGTTGTCCCTTACGCCGGGATCGCGTCATTTTTCTGATCCAAGTGAAGGCTGTCACCAGTTTGTGCCACCAGGTGGCAGCAAAGCGCCGGAGATCGAGACGCTGTGAGTTCTCTGTGAAAACGATCACGTTCACTGACCCTCTCCATTGTGTCAGGGCTGGTGTGTAAGGATGTGTGCCTGGAACATGTCCCCGCAACTATTTCACAACATAACATAGTAACCTTGGTAAATTTCACTGCGAGGACAGTTTGGAAGGAAAGTGATCTTAAATGTTTTTGACGAAAAGGATTCAAGGTAACACATGGAAAATGACTCAAAACCACTCCCTCTCACGGTTGTCTCGGCCACGCTCTTTAAGTCGTGCATTACTCATCCGTTTCTGCAGCTACGAGGGAAGACAGGCCTTAATCGGCCGGAGAGATAGCACAAAAAGCAGTTTGCGCAATCTTTATCTGTCCTGGCACTGGCCCACTCTGAAATAGGATTTGTTTATTTCGTTTGACTCATTTGGTCCATTTAGCTCAAACAGTTGCCGTAGAGACAAAGACCGTTTGCAGCATAATAAAGTAAAGGCCATTTCTGCTTCCCATAACACAAGTTAGTGCAGAGACACATTCTTCATAACAAAAACAGCAACAACAAGCTTTGAAAACAGGTTGCTATATTCAGGAGTGACTGAATTGGGCAATTTAATGTAATCTAAAAAGAACACTATATGTCATCACTACAATTGACAACTGGGGGTTTACATAAACACATGAGAAACACTTAAATCAGCACACATAAATCAGATAAAAACACCCTGGAACTGAGCATCAGAAGGAGCTTCACACACTGTCAGATTATTTAGAATGTAAGTCAAAAACACACCACCGACGTTTTCCATTTTTACTTGCAACAATTCAGGTTCTATTGGAAATATTCTTAGACGACGTTTTATATGTAAAATGTGCAGTGCAGGGCTGAATGTTTCTACATGCAGCGAACAAAGTTTCTGTGTTGCATCAATCATTTCTATACAGCAAAGAATCTCATTAAGTTTTAAACAACAATTTGTCATTATTCTGAATAAAAAAAAACCCCACTTATGTTCCGTGATGTTCAACAGCTATTGTTTTCAACGATATTACATATGAGGTACATATATGAGGTGCAGGAGGAGGAGAGGTCAGCAGGTATGGGGTTCAGTGGTGCTTTTAAGGACAACATTCTTTGCATTCGCATGGTTTCTATTAACTCCAGCTGGGAATTAAAATGGAGCCCAAACCAAGTATCCGACTTTCAGGGCATCAGGATGCAATGCAGTGCAAAGCTAAACAGTCTCTGTTGCAAATTTACAACAAAATGTACGAAAACATAAAACAATCTCTCCGCTGATGGAAAAATATCCGTTTATTTTTTCAAGCCACGACTCCAAATGTGTCCCCTTTCCCCCCGTGAGTCCCACTCCTGCGTACGGAGGGTGACGGGGACAGTGTCTCGCCCACGCCCCGCATCGCCCATCGGCGCGAGGACACTCCATTACAGAATTCAAACATCACACTAATGAGCTCCAGGCTGCTGGATTAGAGGCAAACTGACCTGATGTTATCTAGTGTCGCTAGCTGAAGGAAATTCAGCCCAGATGTGAAGGACATATAATTGTTTCTCTTTTAAAAAACACTTCCATTCAATTGAGGGATGAAAAACACTCTCACACGTGGCACAGGAAGGCGTCCCCTTAATGCACACAGACAGGTCGTGTGCACGCCAGCGTGCGTTGGTCCCTGTGAGACGGTGGAAAGACAGATTGGCAGGCAGGAGGGATGCTTTCATTTTGAGCTAATACCCGCCAATCCACAGGATTAGGGCAGGTGTTGTATAGTGTGACAGAGCTGCTAAAATGTTCATTTGTGCCTGGCATGCCGACGCTGCGTCCAATTAAATAATACTGTCCAGGTCGGTTTTTTACCTTGAGCCCGCCAGCCAGACGGAGAGTGTGGCATTACAAGAAGCTGGTGCTGCACTTCAGAATTTGGGTTCCCTCCAGCTCAGATGGAAACGGGAGACTTATGCACATAACAGACCGGAGGGGATGGAACTCGCTGCTCTGCCCAAACTGGACGGAGATGAAGTGCTGTGTCGTGAGTCCCGGGCAGCGAAGCCTGACTGATGGTCAGATGTTTGCTCTACCCTGTATGGAAAAAAAAATAAAAGAGAAGTGTTTACATGGTTAAGGACAGAGAGTGAGGCCGACCAGCTCATAGGGGAATTCAAAACACTGGATCCCAAGAGGGCACCAATGGAAAAAGTAAACAGGGAAAGCCAACAGTGAGGGGGTCTTTATCGGGAATAGGTGGGATTCCAAGTTGTGCTATGGAGCTGCTGCTGCTGCAAAAAAAGGCCTCTTACCTTTTTATTCCGATCGATTATTTTTCGTCTTTATCTGTGACTCCTGGCAGCCTTGCAGTGTCAGGTTAGTTTGTGTTTGTCTGAGGCCTAAGCTGCTGTCAAAGCTGGGACTGTGCGATAATAAATCCATTCTTCAAGGTGTTCAAAATCGAGTTCCTCAAGAATGTAAACAGTTCCCTCGTGCCATTTCTCAGAGTAGTGTTGGAGTACTGAAGTGACTGTGAAAGGTGAAAGGACACTTATATCTGGCTTTTATCCTGCTAACAGTTGTCACATATCAAATGAGCTCATAGCAGCATTAGCACATGTGGAGGAGGAAGGGTTCAGAAGTCAGATGGAGTAGAGCTGAACAGCATACTTTGCAAAGGTTAGGGCCCACTCTCTTAGTCAGATGATTAAGCCTCTTTGGTAAATTCTCTGGATATCAGAACGATGTAACTTTTGAATTGATATATATGTGTTTTTAACATTGAAATCATACAAGAACAAATAGGGGAAAAGAGAAGCCAACTATTTAGTAACACACCCTCAGGAGAGTACATGGCTCGTAAAAGGTTTTTATAGCCAGCTAAGAGTCTTTCGGTTCTCGTCTGGGGATTTTCATCTATTCTTGCTTTAAAAGGCTTCGAGCTCCGTGAGGTCCTCGGGCCGCCTTACACGAGCCGTTTCTCTGATAGATCTTTGCATCCACAATTTGCTGACATCAATATTTCCTTTTTTTTCCCAATGTCAAATGTTTTCTGTGAAACGGACTCCAAAAACAACCCGAGGCAATTCAAATGCCATGCTTTCAGTATTGGGTAGGTAGCCTCCTCTAAAAGAATGAAATAAAATAAATAAATAAAATCAAAGTATGCGCTTCATTACAGATAAAACAAAACAGTGATTTTTGCAGAAAAGTTTTATTTGAACTTTATTTGGCTATAAACCATCACTTAACTTTCAGTGTTCCTGTTAACTGCTATTTCTCATTTACAGCATGAGCTGTTAGACGCCTGCATAAGGGTTGATCGATCAATTTTGGGGCAAGTTTTATGGAAAACACAATTTCCATAACTCTAAAAAAACTCGCAAAATATTTCTGAGGATGCAAACTAAAGCCTGGTTTCTTTTATTTCTTGAGATAAAAACTATCATTAATTCAATTTTAGTGTAACTGGTTTGACACTTTTACACTCGGAGTGATGATTTATTGTTCAATAACAAGATAAAGAGATGTTTGTAATGTATTGCACTGAGCCTTTTTCCTTTTTTACCTTGACTCGTTTTTCATCCCTGCTTCCCACAGCCCATTTGCTAAACAAACGGTTTCCTTTGTCATTGTTAGAAGGACAGCTGAGAAATCTCTCAGCCTGTGACAGGGATGGAAAAAAGCCGCTCATTGATCAGGTTTCGCCTTAAAAATAAGACAGCTTAAGTAGTTTAACCAATATTACAAACAGACAGATTTCTGAGACCTTCAATCATGTTAATGTGCTCTTGGTCTGACTGATATCTACAGTTGGGCCAAACAAACTGGAGCTCGCTGATCTAAACTTGCTGCCAAACAAGCGCCTGCTTTAGCACATGTGCTATATTCTCTCTTTCTCCATTGTCCCAGACTGCATACAGAGACGATAAATTAGCTAATGGACCAAATCTTAGCTGGCAGTCTGCGCAGGGAAATTAGCTTCTCCGTCCAGACCGTTTCACCAATTCTGTGCGCTTGTCGAGGATTAGTGCTGTCCGAAAAAAAGTCGGCTGTAAATGAGATATTTCCCTAATCTGACACTCCATCACGAGCCAGCAGCTCTCCGGGATAAAGCCGACCCTCCTGATTTTCATTAGGCAGAAGCTGAACTACAGCGTTTTCTGCCTGCGCTACAGTGAAATATGTTCTTACAAATCTGAGTAACGACCCGCTTGGCTTTGGCCCAGCAGCCCGTTTTGTTGTTTTTTTTGCTTCAAATGCATATTTCAACCTGTCCCATCTGTCATTCATATGTTTGTGGACACACAAACAGGAAGCTCGAAAAAGGCCTGCCAAAGCAACTGTGACACATATGTATATTCATGCCTGGGATACATCTAAGATTACAGCATGGGGTGAGAATGCGTGTCAAATGGTCCTCATTAAGCGATGAGACTACAATGAAGATAAATGGCAATGCAACAATAGCATTACAGTAGGGCACGCGTGCTTCCTAAAACTTGCGTGGCTCATTCTGATCGTATCACCAGGAAGAAATAATTGACAAATTTTCCTAACACGTCTTCTGGGGGTGACCTCAAACCAGCCCTTCGTGTATTTAACTGTTTTTTCTTTCCACCTGTTTTCCTCTCAAAGCATCTGACATGCTCCCCTTTTGCAGCATGGCTCCATCAGGACCCCTCCCTCCTCTTCTCCCTCCCACCTAACCGCCTCCTCTCCCTGTCACTGCGTTTCGCAAAGCGGGCCGAGTCTTTTTACTCCCTCTCCCTCTGGCCGCTTCACTCTTTCTCCTCGAGGCGCGATGAGGCTGACAGCCCTTTGCGTGTGTGGGACCCTGCTAGCGTTCTCGAGCCTGTCCCGGGCCGCGGCGGGCCGGGACGCCCCCCCGGAGGACGGGGAGCCGGGGCCCTGCGAGGCCACCCTGAGGCCTGGGGGGGCGTGCGGCCCGGGGCAGCGCGGGGGGTCCTGCCCTTACCTGTTCAGCCTGCCGCCCCTGACCCTCCACCTGCCACTGCAGCTCAGGGAGCTGGAGAAGATCACGCAGGACCTGGAGAGGCTCAAGGAGAGCGTGGACCAGCTGAGGGAGATGTGCGCGGACTGCAAAGTAAGTCAAACTTACGGGAGAGAGTGCGGGAGGCAAAAAGAAGGGGAGCGCGAGAGACTCGGCACAGGTGGAGGAGCAGGTGAGGACGGGAGGGAGTGGATGAATGAGAGGCTGGACGAGAAGGATTTAAGAAAGGAGTGTGGAAACGCTGGTGGTCATGCGGTGGAAGAAAAAGACTTGAAAGGGGAAGCTGATAGAAAAAGCAATACAAAAGTCGTAAAAGAAAATGAGGAGGAGGAGGAAACTTGGACTGTGGCAGAAAAAGACGCAATAACAAAGACAGGGAGTGAAAGAGAAAAAGGCCCTTCGGTCCAGAGAAAAGTACCGGCTTCTGGTGCAAATGAGAGAATTGATGATGCCATGAGAGAAAAATCTAACCAGAACTCTGATACTAACAGCAATAAAACTGATGCTGGGGAGGAGAATTCAAATAGACACCAAGAAGATAAGTTGATGACTACTGTGGAAAAAAAGAGGAAAACAGAAGAAAGTGGAACTCACGAATGGAGAGATGAGACAAATAGCAATGAGAAAAAGACTCAACCTGAATTCAGTGATAGAAAAAAGCTGTTTGAGAACCATGGAGAGTATACAAATAAGGAGCCCAGACTGCGCGGGGAGGAGATGGAAGAGGGAATAAAAGTGCACCGAAATAATGAGAAACCAAAACAGACTGTGACGACAGGGTGGGCAGAAAAAGAGAGCGCCATAAAAGAGGGGCAGCTGGATGAGGAGGGCAGAGAACGGGGGACGGAGATCAAAACAGAGAGCGAGCAGAGAGACGGCGATGGAGAATCTTCCACCGGCAGAGCGACCCAAAGAGCGGACTCTTCCCCAATTAGCCCAACGGCTCGCTCGAACAAAGCCACATTCTTTTCATCATTTGTTCCACTGCCTTCTCTCGTCAGCCCCACTTTAAGCTCAATCGCAGATGTCCCTCGTGACACAATAGGTGTTTATGGACCAACCCAAAGCACAAGTCTTAAAGCAGCTGGGTTTTCCGAGCCCCGGAGCCCTGGTGGAGAGCTGACCACGGTGGGTGGCCGAGCGGAGCAGATAACGAGCATCACCGCCAGATCTGACTCTGCGTCCAAAGTCAGACCGGGGTCACAAGGTCACTTCAGCTCCACCACGACAACTCCAAAAATCACCACTCCTCATCTGAATCTGTACGTCACTGCGTTTTCTGAAGCAGCAGATTCCAGTCGCTCGACACCCAAAACGAACGTGAGCTCAAAGACCAAAACCGGAGTGAAACCGCTGCCAGGTAAAGGGCCAAAGCCCGGGGAGAGGCGCAACCATGGAGACAGCCCCGAAGCGGAGCAAACGCTGAAAAATGCCAAGAATGTTCGTAAACCTGACCAAGTTCCTCATCCTGACAAAAAACCTAAATACAAACCAAAGCAGAAGCCTTCTCATCACAAACCAACAAGCCACAAATCGAAGCCTGGCAGAGACTCGAAACACATCCAGATTTCCAATCCTGACCAAACCACTCCACCTTACCTTTTAAAAACTGATAATAATTTGAAAACCAATTCGACACCTAAGAATAACCAAGTCAGCCAATCTAAACAAAATCAGCTGCCAGTTCAAAAAGCACAATCTCATAAAAAATCTCCAACCTCAGTTCAAAAACCGATATCACTGAGTCCTGAAATGGTGAACACAACAAATTCTGACAAAGATTTTCAATCCAGCAGGGAGGATGTGTCAGATCGTGTTTCGGTCACCGATCCAAAGTCAAAACCTGCAAAGAAAATAATTCAACCTAAACCTGTAAAACTGGATCAAAAGGCAGGTAAAAAGACACAAAGTCAAGAAAATACAAAGCCTGGTGAAAAGTTGGAAGTGAACCCAGATCCCACATATGTGCCGAGGTCAGGCCCTAAAATAATGGAAACAACAACTTTTAAATCACAAACTAATTTTAAACACTTGACTGAGTCAGCAGACAAATTTAATAAAAATCCCTCACAAGAGCCTACACCCAATCCAGACTCCACAAAAGGACAGAAATCCAGTCTGCCCTATAAAGCTCCAGATCAGAAAAACACATCTGACCTGGAAATATATAAAACTGAACAAAAGCCTAAACATGGCCCAGAACACGATACTGAAAGAAACAAAACTGTTGCCCCAAAACGAGATCATAGGCCTTTGACGGAGTTAGAGAATAAACCTAATGAAAATCCCCCACATGAGTCAAACGTCAGTGCAGACTCAACACCTGCACAGAAACCTGATTCACCTTATACCCATTTGAATGAGAACCCTAAACCTGGCCAGGGAATTCCTATGACTGACCGAAAACCTCAACCGGGGCAAGTGAAAAATAAAACGGCTACACTAACACCTGCCCCAAAGCTTTTAATGGACATTGAAGACAAATCTGATGAAATTCTATCACACGAGTCAAAATTCAATCCAGGGGAGGAAATTAAGAATAATCCATCATATAAACCTCCTCATCTGAGGCCTAAATCTGTCCAGGAAATACCTAAAGTTGACAGAAAACCTAAAGCTGGTCAAGAGCTGGCAAAAAACACAACAGCTAAACCCACCCAACAGTCTTTAACAGACTTGGTGGATAAAATTCAAGAAAATCTCTTAAACACTTCCAAATCCTATCGAAACTCATCACCTCAACAGGAATCTGATCCATCTCCCAAACCTTTGAGTGAGAAGCCTACACCTGGCCAGGAAATCCCTGTCACTAAACCAAAAACTAGACCTTACCCAGGTTCATCCATCCTGGAACCCACCGAAATTGACCAAAAACCTAAATCTGGTCAAGAGCCAGAACTTGTTAGAAATATAACAGTTAAGCCTAAACCTAACCAAAAGTCTTTCACAGATTTAGTGGCAAGCTCAAATGAGTTCGAAACCAATCGTGACTCATCTCCTGGACAGGAATCTGATCCATCTTTTAAACCTCATGATCAGAGGCTTAAATCTCTCAAGGACATTCCTAAAACTGACCGAAAACCTAAACCTGGTCAAAAGACGGAATTTGTTAGAAATATAACAGCTTCAGCTAAACCAAACCAAAGGCCTTTAATGGAGATAAAGGATAAAAATCATGAAAATCCCACAAATAGGTCTGCGTCCAATAGAGACGCACCTGCTGAGAAAATTAAAAATGATTTTTCTGATAAACCTCATTATCAGAAGCCTAAATCCATCCAGGAAATATCTCAAATTGATGGAAATCCTAAACCTGGCCAAGAACAGGAGTCAAAGGAAAATCTAACCGTTACACCAAAACCTAACCAAAATCCCTCAAATGTGTCTGAATCCAATAAAGACTCAAAAACCAGTGAGAAATCTAATCTTTTATACACATCTCCTGATCAGAGGCCTAAATCTGTCCAGGAAATAACTAAAATTGACCAAAAACCTAAAGCTGCTCAAGAGCCAGAATCTGCCAGGAATAAAACAGCTACAACAAAACTGAAACAAAGGCCTTTAACAGGGACAGTGATCAAGTCTAATAAGAACCAGTCAGAATCTAAACAAGATTCAACTAAAAAAAAGACGCCTGGACCTGTTCGAAGTAAGAAACCTCTTGTTCAAAAAACTAAACCGGGTCACGTTAGCCCTAAAATAAACTTGAAACCTAAAACTAGCCAAGTCTCAAAACAAAACAAAAAGTATCCGAAGTCTGAGACAGGCTCAAAGACTAAACTTGATTCAAATCCTAAAACTGAACACACACCGCGATCCAATCCGAGCCTTGGGACATCCGAGCCAAGCCAGACTCCTCCTGATAAACCAGTATCTGTGCCGGACAGAGCCCCGAAGGCCGAGTCCAACAAAACGTCAATACTGGAGCCTCCCTCTCCATACGGAGCTGTCGGGCCTGGAGCAAAGCCCATTCCGAGGCCAAAACTAGCAGAGCAGCCGGAGCCAAATCAAAAGACCAAAACATATTCGGATCCAGCTCAAGTCGGCTGGGCGACTTTAGACCCCGTCCAAAACTCTCAAACCAACGTGCCACCTACATCTGGCCTCGTAAAACGGATAGCGGGAACGACTCGCTCCCCAGAGGACGCGGGGCTGGGTGCCGGCGTGAGGAAAGGCGTCGCTCCCGCTCCAAAGACCTCCAACAGCCCGGAGGCTGCATTCGAGGACTCCACGTTGAGCCCTGACAGCGGGATGGCGTCTGATCTGAGGCCACAAACAACCGCCCGGCCATCAGCCATCCCAACGACGGCAAGACCAAACAGAATCCACCTCCCAACTGTTATTAGTGGCACGAGTCCAGCATCCACCCGGCCAGGCCTCCGTCCTCACTCTCCCTCCAGCACACACGCCGAGACGCTTCATAATATGAAAGACAAAACCCCGTCCGCGACAGCGGTCCCTTCCCCCGGCCCCCAAACCGCCTCCAAACTCCTCCCCGACTTCAGGCCGCTGACCCCTGCCACCTCCAGCCCCGAGCCCCCGGCGGCCGAGCCGTCCACTCCGGGCGCGCGAGAGCTGCGGGTCAAGATCAACCAGGTGCCCGCGTTCCCCGACAACAGGGGGGGGCCAGAGGAGCAGCCCGGGGGGCCCCTGCCGGGCCCCGACAAAGCCAACGGCAAGCTGCCAACGTCGGTATCGTCTAAAGGCAAGTCGTTACTTCATCTGTGTCAGTAAGAGCGAGCACGTGCACGTTTAGCCATGCTTATCACACATTGTATAAGGAAATCTTGTTTTTTGCCTTTCCGTGTGGGGGGGGTCTGTCATTTTCAGAAACTTCTTTCTATCAGCTAACCAAATATGCAATATGCAATGCCAATTAAAGTAAAATGTTAAGATTAATTTACGACTTCATGACACAGTGAAAATCAATCATATTTTATTGATATTACATCAGATTAAGGAAAAGGGAGCTGAAGAAAAGACCCTGTGTTTTTGTCTCACTCCAAAAAGCAAACCAATGAAAGGATTTTCGGCACATAAAGAACACAATAACATCTAATGGCCTCACATAAGTAATTAAAAAACAGTTCTGTGGTCGTTCTATCGTACATCTTAGCTGTGATTTGTCAAAGGAAGAATCTGCATGTGTGTGCACAATGTGCGTCTTTTTTTCATGAGTGTCTGTGAAGTTTAAACCACAACAATGCAGGGACCAACAGCTTTAGACCATAACTCTTGAGAGCTGTGACTGAACTGTTCTTATAGAGTTATTATTTTCCTACATGCATGCCGATGCTGATTTCAGATAGTAAGGATGAATAAAACTGACCACTCTAATCATTCTCATCTAGCATAGTTAAAAACTCCGGGGACTTTAACCTGCATCACGCCATTTGTGGAGGTCATTAATCTCTTTGGGGCTCTTTCTATGCTGGAGGTCCACTGTGCAAGTCATCAAAAGCCTTTATAGTAGGAATAGTTCTTTGACCTCTGACATTTTTTTACCTCATCTATCACACTTTATAGCCTGGTGCCAGCTGTGAAGTGATGGTTTCACCTGCCCAGCAGAAGCAGGACTTATGTTCATCTGTTAGACAGATTACAGGTTTTAGTAGTTTATGGGATTGTTTTTTTTTTTATTTGTATTTGTTTTGCTCTTATTCCACAGTGAGGAGAGACTGTTCAGACCACCTCCGGAGAGGAGAGACGAAGAGCGGGGTTTACCTGGTGACCCCTGACCTCCGCAGCAGGAGCTTCCCGGTGGTCTGTGACATGGAGCGGGACGGTGGAGGATGGACCCTCCTGCAGCGCCGCCAGGACGGCAGCGTGAGCTTCGACCGCACCTGGGCGGAGTACCAGTCCGGCTTCGGAAACCTGGACGGCGGAGAATTCTGGCTGGGGAACAACAAGATCCACTGGCTGACCCGCGACCGCGACATGGTGCTGCGCGTGGAGCTGGAGGACTTCAACGGGGTGGCGGAGCATGCGCAGTACGACCAGTTCCGAGTGGCCGGCGAGCGGCTGCGCTACAGGCTGACGGTCGGCGGGTACTCCGGCACCGCGGGAGACGCTCTGCGCTTCAGCAAAACCTACGACCACAACAACAGGGCGTTCACCACCCCGGACCGAGACCACGACCGCTATCCGTCCGGGAACTGCGGGGCCTACTACAGCTCCGGCTGGTGGTTCGACGCCTGCATGGCTGCGAACCTCAACGGAAAATATTACGTCGGGACGTATAAAGGAGTCCGGAACGGGATTTTCTGGGGCACATGGCACAACATCTCCACAGAGTATTACCCCACCAACGAGAGGCAGTCCTTTAAAACAGTCAGAATGATGATCAGACCCAAAGGCTTTGCGCCGTGAGTTAAGCTACGTGCTTAAAAAAAGAAAGCAGCATTAAACCAGCGCCTCCGGGACGCATCCTGACAAGTTTGAATAAGGCGTATTTACTCTGCAACCCGCTGCTGTGTTTTTCTAACGCAGTGCTGCCCCCTCGTGGTGGTAAATTCAGAAATACTGTTTTGTTTACATGATGATGACCCTACCCGAGGATGTACATAATTGCGAAAGGGTAAAGTCTCGATGTCTTAGTATCTAAAAGCTTTGTCGTCCTCTGAAAACAAAAAGTTTTTGGACAAAAGTGGAATATATGGTCAGCTATTGGAGAGGATGTTATGTATGAATCAAACGGGTACGCAGCAACCTTCTTGTGATGTTTTATAATTACTTTTGTTTTTATTAAGATAAATAAATTAAATTTACACTATATTTGCTCCTGTTTTTTGTTCTTCATGTTATATCAAAATACATACCACAATATACTTAAACAGCACATACAAATACGGTTGGCCAATCAACAACTCAGATTCTCGGTAGCTCGTAAATTGTTTACAGGGATTATGGCCCTGGAGAAGTCAAGAGGGGACGTCAAAGGGAATGGACTCAATCTCCCAACAGTCTTTGCGTCATAAGTGACGTCCACTCCAGTGTCTCATGATTGGATAAGCCTCAAAGAGGCGCGGCTCCAAGTTTACACAAGAATGTACATCCGGTCTGTCAAGTTCATGTAAACAACGCTGCCAAATACGGAAGTAAATTATTTTTGTATCAATAGAAAAGCTAAAAAAGTCTGATCATTATGCTTTCTGGCAAGTAAACAACGCCTTTTATTTTTATCTAAATGAAACGTTTAGAAACCAAATAACGATGTGAAAAAAAAATAGAGTATTGGGTTCTAGATTTAAAAAAATACTCTTCTTTTAGAAGGTAACAAAATTAGATATTGTGATGTGTTTTTATTGCGCTGTTTCACTTTTCTATTCTGTGAACGATTAAATAAGTAGTGCTGGGGTTTTTCTTTGGTCAATGTTTTGTAACACTGCAGACTAAAGTGTTGATTGATTAAACAACACTTAAATGAGTTAAATAAACAGCAGAGTGATATTGTTTTTGTTTGAATATTTTTCTTTTTCTGTTTCAGAGGCTACATATCTAAAACTACTAAATTAAATTACCTAATATTACTACAATAAAAGAAGGAGAGACGAAATAAATATCTAAATACTAACATGTTTGCTAGTTGGGTAATTTCCTTTCAACCTTAAGAACAACAGGTAAAAAGGGGTCACTCTATAACTTTGAAGATGCACTCTAACTTGAAAACCCCAACCGGAAGCTGCCGATCTTGTTTTTGTGTGTTTAGTGCACACTTGACAACAGCAACCATGTCTGTGAGTGATGGTGCATGTTGACTGAATGACATCGTCCTTAGCAGAGTAGTTTGGACCGTATTAGCAGCAGTGTGGTCGCCGAGATGTTTTGGATATCAGCTGGCCAGCGAAGATCCATCGGACTCCTCCGCTGCTGGTCCCTGACCGTCAGCCCGAGGGGCGTCACGACTTCCAGGTGCCCCCAGCTTCATTTGCGGTCTCTCTTCAGCTCTGCCCCCGTGTCTTCAAGGCACGAGGAGGCGAAGCCGTCGCCCCTGCGGCAGTGGGCTCTGACCGTCAGCCCCTTCACCACAGTGAAGGCCCACCTCGGATGTAACATTTCCATCCGCTCCCTGGACCCGCACGCCTATCCCGAGGCTGACCGAGCCTTCATCACAGTCCACGGTCCAGACTCCGAGGACGTCTGCCGGGATCACATCCACGTCCACTATGACGAGCAGAGCAAAGAGCTGCTGATCTCAGCTGAAAGTGTTAACAGCGACGTGTCGATTGAGATGGATGCACCCATCAAATGTGGTGAGTGTAAAAACTAATTTTAAATATAAAAAATGCATGCGCCGTTGATAACATGCAGTTGCAGCATCTCTACAGAACATATGCAGTGTCCTTTAATTATTCTCCTGTGTGTGCTTTTGTCAGATCTCCTCATAGCTGCTAGTGGGAAAGGCAGCGTGCAAGTTAAGAAAATGGAGTGTGATATCTGCAAAGTGCAAACTGAACAGGGCAGCTGTTTACTGCACTCTGTGAAGGTAGGTGGAGACAACAAGTGCCTATTTCTGGGTACATTCCTATTCAACAGAAGTCTGTATATTCATAATGGTCCTTAAAGGAGAATCGGCCATCAGTTTGAACTAATTCAAAGTGTCCACAGTCCATAAACCAAACTGGTGGAACTAGACTAAAACTGACTGCAGCTCATTTGAACTTACAGTGATCCGTTTCTATCGTTGTCCGTCTCCGTTCTTGTATTTCAGGGTCATCAGATTGAGGTGCAGTCCAATGGAGGGCATGTTACAGGCGTGGGTACAATCCATGGCAACGTGCACATCAGGGCAAAAGGAGACAGTGTAAGCAGGACAACATTATTTCAGCTTGTTGGTCTTATTTTCAGCTGTCTTTAGGGGGCAGCAGCAGTCTGATCTGGAGAAGCAACTAAAAAAAAAAAAGATTCAATCATACACAGCATCCCTCTAACAGCCCTGTGCAGTGACAAACTCTGTTTTTGCAGGAGGTGAATGTTAAGAAGCTACAGGGCACCGAGATGAACGTTTCCACCGAGAGAGGCCCTCTCAAGGTCAAAGCCATCTATGCAGAGTCCAGCTGTGTTTCGTCCTGCTCTGGGAGAATCGAACTGGGGAATGTGCATGGTGAATACAAGCCGATCCAAGCCTGTGCATTTATCTATACTGCACAAGAGACCTGTGCTACAGCTAAACTCCAGTTTTTCTACATAAAAAGATGTATTGCTACTACTACTTACTTACCATTTCATCTTAACCTGAAATGGCTGGTATATCATCCTTTATTTATTATTATAAAATGTGACTTAAAGAAATAGTATTTTTGTATTATATTTATTGGAGCTAAAATAACTCATTTGTAAAACCTGAGGACATTTTACATAATGTATTTAATGGTTAGGGTCTCCTAATACCTTGATTTACAAATACGTTACAGCACACACAGATGTTTACCTCATCAGTTTTAATCTAATTAGCTCTCTTTGTTATCGTTAAAATGAAGAAGAAAGTGTCTCAACAAGCACTTAGTCTAATCTTACAGTTGTGGACTTACTGCTGGATAAATCAGGGTCAGTTTTGTAAAAGTAAAATGGAAGTAGAGTTAACATCTTCATGACAAGACCAGTTTGTTTAATACAGATGTGCATTGCTGTACACAGCTGCTTAACATTATGCTGCTTGTTTTAAAAAGAAAAAAAGAAAAGGACCATGGTACGTAAGGAATCCTGGGCAATGGTCAAAATGGAGTTGATTTAAATGCAGTGTGGGCTCAATTTAGAACAAATTTCCAAAGCATTTTGTTTTGGAATAGCTGCAAAAGCTATTCAGTTGTAAAAGGGCCCGATCTTTGATCACAAAGTCAAACAGCCCTTTGACATGAAGCAAGGAAAGTGCATCATCTATAAAGAATTCCTTCCTAATCCAGCGTCATCATAGGAAACATGGAAACAATTACCCTGTAAACCTGACTCGACCAGCATTATGATTCACACCATCTGTGTCGAGTTGTTTATTTCAGTCCGATTTGAATCATCACAGTTTTCTTACCAGCAGCTGGTAAAATCCAATAGGAGCATTACTTAACTTTACTTTGTGCTTTGATTCCTTGAAGGTAACACAATAGTTGAGAACGTGTCTGGAGACACAGTAATCGGTAAGTCTGAATGCACATTGACCAAGGGTCCATGGTCTCAATCAGAGTCCGAGAAGGAAAAAAAAAAACCTTCCGTGGCTGGTTTTGCTTTTGCAGATGGTTCAAATAGTTTCCTGAAGGTTTCCTCTGACAGTGGAGGCATTGATGTCTACGTGGGAGATGGTGGAACTGCTGCACTTCACAGTCAGGACGGTAAGCTTGCAGTATACAAAGGGTATTTGCCACCGTTTTTCTTGGGTCAGGAAGTCTTTTGGACTAACCCTCTGTGTCGGTCCTCTGTAGGAGTGGTGAGTGTGCGTGTCCCTTCCTCTTTGCGAGCCGCCCTGGAGCTCAGCGGGGCGTCGGTGGATGTCAGCTCAGAAGTTGTTCTGCATGAAGTAGAAAGGAACACCACTGATGGTTATACAACACTAACTGGTAGGCTGTTATACATCGAATCACAATGGAAAAGGTAATGAACCCTAAATTGAGTAACTGAGCTGTGTTCTGCCTCTCTGCCCTGCTTTGTGCTTCTCTCAGGCTACATGAACGGAGAGTCTCCAGCTGGCCAGTCGGTTAAAGCTCAGGCGGACAGAGGTGCTGTCAGGCTGAGGACACAAAGCTGGTTTGACTCTTTAAAACTTGGCAGCTGAGGAACAGGACTCTAAAGCAGCATTTCTGCATGGAACTTTATCCAGAGCCACATCTAACTGCAGGCCTACAGCTTAATGTTATTGGGGAAGATTTTTCTCTCTCTGTGCTGGAGATATTCTGTATATAATAATTAAGATAATACATGTTTAATCCAAAGTGTTGTTGAATGTTCTGCTTGAAAACAAACCATTTAATCTTTAAGTTTAAATGGAAACTGCAGCAGCAATTTAGAGTAGCTCTGACAGACATGTTATTTATATATATATATACACACACAGACAGACACACGCATACTGAAAAAAGCTCATTCTTACAGTGGAACACAGAATATATCCACAAAAATTAGACCAGTATTTTAAAAGACAGATAACATGGTAGATATTCAGCATCAAAGCACACATAGACAGTATATGAAAGTCCCAAGGCATTCAGCACCCATATCCAGTTCAAAATACTTTGAGGTAAAAAGTTTAAACTGAGAAACTTGTCAAACATATGCTTCTTGGGAATTATGACAGAAGCAAGGAAAAAAATAAATCAGAATGAATATGACATTTTTTGTCTTTGAACACTTCATGTGATACTAATGCAGTGTGATCTGTTGTGATGGGGTGATGGTCCAACGTTTTCTATTGTCCCAACCCGATAAGCAGATAAGGTTGTAAATCATAAACGAAGAAAAAGAGATAACTCACTTACTTTCATTGTTCTGAAAAAGTTCTTACATGACAGAAAGGTGAGTGACACTTTTAGGGATGGATTAAGAAAATGTCTATTCTGGATCAGTTTTTTACGAATACTGAAAAAGAAAATCTAATTAATTTCATATACTAACACGGGCTTATACTTTTGTACAAAAAAAACAAAATCGTATTACCACATCATCTGACATCTTTTCAGAACTCTGGAGTTAATTAAATCTGTTGGATGTACTTACTGCACATGTTATGAATGAATGCTTAGCTGTCTCCTCCCAAGTTTCAACAGTCTTGAAAGATCGCGTGATTGGAAGCCCTATTTTGTTCATGTTGCTGACAAACCAGTAAGAAGGGTCATCACTGCTGTGCTCCCAGTATGAGACTCGTGTCTGCAGCTTTATGGCAGCCGCCCTGAGAAAAAACAAAGCTCTTAAAAGGGCTATTACCTTTCAGGACTTTTTTTTCTAATTTGTGCTGTTACTGAACCTGGAAATGCCTCGGCAACAGTTCATCTTGATGGAGGCAAGCGGAGGGCAAATCCTCTCCAAATGTCGGGGAGTGCGATCTGTGAGAAAAGTGCAGCCACTCACATCGAGCTCTTGCAGATACTGAGATCCAATTGTCAGATACTGCACTGCCATATCTGTCATCTGAAAAAAAAGAACACAGCAACCTGAAAGAAATGATGCATTTACTGAAGCCACTAAACGTATGTGTGTATACTGGACCTTGGGACACCATGACATCTGCAGGGTGACCAGACCTCTGCAGTAAAATGAAATCGCTCTGATGGCTGCATCAGACAGAGCTACACAGTGAGACACATCAACAACTTCAAGGTCTCGTGCGTTTTTGCAGAGCTTCTGTAAAACATGAGGAATAAAGAAAATCTGAGTAATGTGTGTCATGAAATACAATTAATTGAAAAATATGGATAACCTGAGACAGTGGGAAACAAACATGGACATGGGCCTAAGCATTAAGAGAGAATATAAAAAACTATTCTTTCCACAGCTATGCCTTGTCAGCATTTGTTGTTGGCAAATACTGGAAAAGGAAGAAAACATGACCCTGCTGAAAGCTCTTAGCATATGGGGTATAAGGTTTGTACCTCTATGCCAATGTCTGTGACGTAGAGACACTCTGCAAGTACTATTTTCCTCAAGTGAATTTTCTCAAGTGCAGCCAGTCCCTTAAAAAAAATGTAGTTAGAGATTTATTTTGATTGTTTGTTTTTAGCTGGACCGTGTGATGACGTGAGCAAACACTTAAGCAGTACCTGATCTTCAATGTTGCAGCCGGTGATGTCAAGAGAGCAGACAGAGCTACCACTCAAGCCTTCGACAGCCAAGTTAGTCAGTCTCCCACAGTAACTCAGATTGAGATGGTAAAGTTTACATAACCTGATAAATTGCACACAAATGACACAGAAAAGCTGCATCATGATAAAACTGATAGACTTAGACTAAAAGATGTTTTCTGTAGTGTTACAATGAAATTTATAATCAATACCTCTGTGCAATCCTTCTGACCGAGATGTCCGTGATTTGAGGGCAGTGACTGACATTCAGCTCATGCAGTTTGTTGGCTGAGCAGCCATCGACCAGGTACTGAATCCCAACATCACTCACCCTGAAACAGAATGTGTCCGTCAACCTGATGAAAAGGAACAGAACCCAGGTCTGCAGCTGACACAGGACCACGCACCTGCTGCAAAGAGAGATGTCGAGGTATTGCAGATTCTTTAGAGTGGCCACAGATCTCAAGCCTTGATCAGTTATCCGTGGGCATCCAGCAGTGTGGAGTCTGCAGAGGCCTTTTGAGCTGCTGCACAGAGCCTTCCAGCCAACGTCAGTTAGCTGATTGTTGCCTAAAACAAACATGAACAAAAAGCTGTGTGATCAGTGTCAAGTCTCTTCAAATATAGACATTAAAGTTGCAGGATGTAAAATGATCTTGCCCTCTATGAGAAAAGATTTTAGTTTAGCGGCTTCGGCAATGGCTTTAAGAGTGATGTCGGAAAGATGAGGCGCATCCAACAGAGACACAGAGGACAGACAGCGACATCTGGCCAGAAGAGCCTGTAACAGATCAGACCAATGTTCTGCAGCAAGCATGGAATTGTGGTAACACAACAATCTTTTAGTATCTTAACATTTTTGGAAATGCCAAATTGATATTTGATGGCAGCTGAAAAGTTTTAGAAATGAAAATACTTACCAAGATACAGCCATCTGTCAGCGTGGGCATGTCGTTGATCACAACTTCTCTGAGTGATGGGCATCCAACAGAAATATGTCTGAACCCATTTAAAGTAATCTGTGAGGAAATGCAGAAAGATCTTAGTCTTTTTTTATTCTTGCATCATTCCCTAAGAGGTAGTTTTTTTTCCCTCATGCCTCACATTTTCAGGGCCCCATAAAGTCAGATCATATATCTGGAACTAAAGTAATGCACACCACCAGGGGAAAGTGTTATGCGGTGGGCGTGCCATGTTACAGAGTGTACACATGTTGAGGGGGTTGGCCGGAGGTAACTTGATAAACCCAGCCCTCTGCTTGGCCACATTTGCCTTTTACTATCCCAGACCTTGAGATGTTTCTTCATTTTCCCTGAGTTCTAACTCAGTGAAAACATTCAACAGCGTAAGAAGAGGGTGGACACATGCAAGCTGAGAGGAGTGCGTACAATTTCCCAGGACTAACTTAAGAGTGGAAAATCTGTTTGTGGATTGGAGTGATTTTTTACCAAACTGAGGAAAGCACAACATCTGACCTGAGTGCAGCCGGACAGATTGAGGTGTATGAGATTGCGGCAACCTTTCCCCGTGGTCAGGTACAGAAATCCCTTATCTGTGAATCTGCAGCAGTACGCCAAACTCAGGTACTGAAGACTGATACAGCTCCTATAAAGACAAAAATAAACCTATAGTGAGATACTAGAAATCTATTTTCGTTACTTTGTGCAGGTTGTTTAGCTTTTGATACATTGTAGTTCTGTATTATTTGTACAGCAAATTTTTATACAAGTAAAAAGTTATCTTTTGTTATAAAATGTGAACATTTTTTTAATACATGAACTTCTGCACTTGTAAGTCTATCAACATGGAAAACAATACAATCAGATGGTTATCTGCTCTTTAAAACCACACTGGTTTCAGATGAGTTCAAGCTAACAGTTAGGCTGTAACTGAACAAACAGAAATAAGGATTATGTGGAACAGAAAGCCAGCGAAGGGGGGGCTTTAAGTAGGACGTATCTATCTTTGATAAACAAATCACTTGGATTCCAGTTGAGAGGTGTTTACCATACATGAGGGTTTACCTGGACAGTTCTTTTAGGGTTTTGTTTGTTACAAATGTGCAGGAGAGATTCAGGTAGAGCAGACAAGGACAGCCCTCGACAAGTCTTTGTACCATTGTATCCTGTAAAGGAGCAGATGTGAGATTTCTGAAGTAGGTATTTGTTGCAACTTTGCATTGACAATAGTCACTGTCAAATCTAATATAGGAGATAATGTTTTTCAACAAATGCAATAAATAAATGTCTTTGCATATGGCACACAGATAAATAGAATAATTATGAACTTTAGTTCTCAGGTATAATGTAGTATGACATAGCACATCATATTTTCCTTTAAATAAGACATTTTTATTCTCAATCTCACACCCTTTTAATAATGTTTACTCACTGTAAGATTAAAGCACTCGGACACGTTGAGTTCCTGGAGGTTTTTGCATTCACCTGAGAAATCAGGAGTCACAGAGAAATGGATTTAGTGTTCAAAACCTTTGCAAATAATTACCATACCGTTCTTTATATGAGTTGTGATGTGGAAAATTTTAATCAAGTCACGAGATTACATTGTGGGAGGTCTCCTGTCTTCTACATTATGTAATGCCTCTAAATTTTTTCCATAAGGTATATAGCAGCTGGGTTTCATCAGCAATAACACTGTTGACCGTTGACCCATCACTTCTGTTTCCAAGCCGAAGGACTTTGACCACATTTTCTTGCTTTGACTCGGTCTCTTCCAGCAGAAAAGACAACCCCTGCAGGGCTCAGGATGCGTTTGATCCCCATCCTCTTTCTAGCCTCTCTGCTTCTCCTGCTCTTCTCATCCATTGAGATGAAAAGACCAGGGAAAGGGAAAGGCCTTGGAAGAGCAAGACACAGACTTACACGAGAGAGGTAAAAATTTTCTCTTGTTAATCATTTTGGCAATTAATCTTTCAGAAACACTGCAGACCATGTACAAAACTGAGACAAACTATGATTTGTTGCATCTTGAAAGAGCCAGGGGGAGAGGTGCTGGTCGTCGCACGAGATCTGGACCCGTGTTGATGGTGTCATTAAACTGTTCAGAGTCAATGGAATCTGGAAAAGCCTTTGTGGATTGTCAGGGTCGAGGTCTGACCCATATTCCTTCCTCAAAGATATGGTCTAGAGTGCCCAAACATCTCCTTCTTGCCAAGAACCAAATCAGAGTTCTCCGAGACAGATCCTTTCCTGGATACGAGAGATTAAGAAGTCTGGATCTTCAGCAGAACCAGATCTCTCTCGTGGAGGAGGAGGCCTTCCTCGGCCTGACCCAACTTACAACCCTCTTGCTGCAGCACAATCGCCTGAGAACCCTCGGCGAGGAGGCTCTCATCCCCATGCCAAACCTTCGCCAAATGAGCCTTTACGACAATCCCTGGAAGTGTACCTGTTCCATGGAAAGTCTCATACGCACCCTTCAAGTTCCAAGCAACCGAAATCTAGGAAACCATGCCAGGTGAGTGAATCCACCAATTCAGCAGGTACATGAATCATTGGCTAAGCTTTGAATAAACAAATATCTCCTCTGTTAGGTGTGCAGAGCCTGTCAGGCTAAAAAACAGAAGGTTAAAGAATGTTGACCCTGAGTTACTCTGTCAGGAATCAGAGTTGACCGACGAACCAAATGGCAACCTTACAGTCCCTGCAGGACCCAGTCCAATACAAGCCAAACCAGATGCCATCACAATCTGCCACACCTACTATGTCCCTGAAATACGGATGGACTGCAGTAACCGAGGCAAGCTGATAATTAGCTTTTAATGTAAAAAAAAAAAAGCAACATAAATAATTGCTGCCAACTCAGAGCCGATTTACAGTTATTCTTCACACACGTGTCTTATGCAATAGAGGGAGTTAGGAAATCTGTGACTGTAAGTGAGTGGGGAATTTGTGTTTATATATTCTTGGCAGGAATGAGATAACTTTCTTCTGTCAAAACAGAACCAGCCATCACATGTCTGGTTTGGCATGTGTTTTTATTCAGTGTTTTCTTTACAAGTTCATGCTCATTTGTCACCTTATAAAGCTGTGTGTGAAAGGAGGGGGAGGGCGGCAACATTTTGGCCAATGTGTCAGTGTGAAAACAGTTACATTTAGCCAAAGAATAAACTTAATCAAAAGATGAGTCACTAACATTTGCCTACTAGCAGAAGGCCAGGGTTTTATGGAGCATGGAGTCAGTACCTGTGCCAGTATTTCTGCTTTTGCCCCGAGGGTTGAACCCAGGCTGACTTATACTCTTCAGTTTAATAAATTCACACAAGCAAAAATCCCAAATTAAACTCTCTAGAATTAATAATAACAATTTGTTTTAGCTAATTAAAAAACAATCAAATATAACCGTTTGTGACCTTCAGTAACCATTTATTCTGTTCCTTTAGGTCTAACGGCAGTGCCCTCAGGTATTCCAGACTATGTTTTCCAGGTTGATCTGTCACTTAATTCAATTCGTCATCTTAGACCCAGAGATTTCCACGAAGCGAGAAGCCTTAGGATCCTTAAGCTCAATAATAACAATATGGAGCACATTGACAGAGGTGGGTGTCAATATTTTCTCATGCCTATCAATTACAATGAGTATATCTATCAGTATGTGAAAGACTTAGCTAAATATCACGGAAAAAAAACCTAGACATAGAGCCAAGTTTATCTTCTTGTGATACACAACATATGGAGAGTAGACAGCAGTTATGTAACTACCACAGCTTCTGTTTCCATTTAAGAGATAGCAGGCACTCTGCCATCAATGCGTACAAAGATCTAGCTTTACTGTGAGGGAGCTTCAAAGAGGACTACACATAAAAAAAAAAGACTTGGCCTTTGTTGGAAAAGGTTTTTTTCCTACTGACAAACTTTTTCTGCAATATTTCAGTTTTGACTTTTTATATTTGCGGTCAAAAACTCTCACAGCAGAAGAATTCTTTTAAAACTCCTTGACGTTTTAAAAAGACGAAACAATTCGTTATCAGAGATATAATTTTATGATCACATCAAGTGATTTAGAAACTTTCAAACTTGAAAAAAGTCGTAGTGCTTCTCGAGTCTGACTGCACGCATTTATTGGAATTTTTTAAAATTCAAAAGGCACATAGCAGCAACCATCCTATCTATAAATTATTATACTGACAATGAGAAGAAACAAATATGTGCTCTGAACATCTCATTCATCTCTCTCTACCAGGTGCCTTTTTTGGGCTCTTGCATCTCAAGGAGCTTGACCTGTCAGAGAACGGCTTACGTTTTGTTCATTACGGTATACTGGAAGATCTGTACTTCCTGTCATGGCTAAATTTGGAAGGGAATCCCTGGGTGTGCGACTACAGGTGAGTTTTACTCCCCAACGGTTTACAAGATGTTCTTCACAATAAAACTAACTTTTTTTGTTGTTGTTCACAGCATCCACTACATGGTTTACTGGTTACGTCTGCATCCAGGTGTGCAGCACTCTGGACTGCTGTGTTACACTCCTCCGGAACATGCGGGTGAAAGTGTGGAGGATTATGTGCAATCCTACCACAGGGACTGTCCCAGTGACAGGCAGCTCAGCAGAACAGATCAAGACCAAACAGACGTTGAGCTTTCGAACACGCTGATGGAAGCACAAGGAGAGGTGGAGGAGGAGCTGGAGCCGAGGCATTTGAGAGCACCACAGAAATACCAGATTATCAGGTTATCATAGCTCATAGAAATATGGTGTAAAAGGTAACTTTAATAAGTGTAATAAGTGTATTTGTTATTTTTACCTTATTAATATACTGTCATTATTGTAAAACAGTCTGTATCAGATTGATATGTTTTTTCTTGCTGCATGTTTTGAACTGTCTCTTAATTAAAATATGAGAAATAACATTGCAACGGTTTTATGTTGGACTACACTGAGAAACAAGTCTTAAATACACACATACACAAAAAAAAACAAATTATAACATTAAATCAGATAAAGAAAAACTTACTGATGAACTTTAGGCTGGGCCAGTTTAAAGATGAACAGCCACGAAGGTTCAGATGGATGACAAATGGGCGGTAGTTCTGCAGAATTTCCTTCATTCTACAGTCGGTTATCCAATCTTTTCCTGTAGAGAAGTTGATCTAGGGAAAAAAGACAAAACCTTTCAGCTGTTGCATCTAAGTCTACTGTAAACTGAAGACAAACACCAGTTTCTGCATACAGACCTGACTCCACAATGTGCCCGACTGGATGATAGATTTCCAAATGCAACATACCTCAGCACAGTTCAACCGGTCTCTTAATTGTAAATACTGAAATATCTGTGAAAATATATGGCAATCACATTTTATCATGTGTAACATTCAGACAAAAAACATTTCATTTCACGTAACTAGCTGCTGGCACCCTGGTAGGATGGTAAATGTGTTTTAAAGTAACATCAAGGCAAAGAGAACCAAAAATGATCTCACTTGCTAGCAAACCTGATTTACAAAAACAGAACCAACAGTTAGTACCTTCCAGAAGAATTGTCTACATACAGGCTATTCAAACATATGTAGAGCACATACAGATAAAATATGTGTGATTATTTGAATTTGATAGAAACCATAAAGACCATTAAGTCACTTTCATCAACTTTCCTAAAAACAGCTTATGTAACAAATGACCTCATCGCTGACTGCTGTGAGAACAGGGCTGCTTCAGCTCCAAAATCATCACCTCTCTGAGTGTAAGATAATCAGCTGACTTTGCTCACACAGAAAAGCTGCTGAATGATGAGTGCAGAAGAGAAAATACCTTCAGTAAAAGGCAACTGGGGAGCGAAGAAACACCATCATATCCTTCTCTAATTTCATGATCCTCACAACCGATTTCAACTAAACTCATTTCCAACATCTGAAAGATTTAAATGCAAAAACATATGAAATACATTAATACTAGTTAAAAACAGAGCTGACTAAAGTAATTAGAAATTTTAGTAGAATTCCAAACCTTAAAGTACTCTTTTGTCCTCTTTGAGTCCTTTGCAACAATATGCCAAGCAGCCAAAATGCGCCTGAGCCGTGCGTTGTTGACCAGACTCTCCAGTTTGTCAATGCCAGCTAAGTTGAAAAAAAACCCATTATCAACAGAATATGTTCTCATGTCTTGTTAGTCTTAAGCTCTGTTATTTTCCCACGGAAAAATTGTTGAGTGAGTCACAGAATTACCACCAATCAAGCTGGCTTAAGCAGCTTCCAAGATAATTTTGGCTTGTAAAAGTAAAGACTGACAGACGGGAGACAGGGACAAACCGAGTCACAGGACGTGGAGTACTCAAAGAAAGGAAGGAAGAAATGAATATCAGGAAAAAATTTCAGTTTGGACACTTCTCTCAATGCTATACCCAGAGCAAGACAGTTTAAAAATAATATTCAGCAACAGTGAGCACTATATTTCCTAATACAGAAATACTCATCACATACCAGCCTTTCTGGTCTTGCATAATTTTACCCAGTTCCACCATTTGATGAATGCAGTGTGCTGACATTTCCTCTCAAAGTGCCTCTTTGTCATGTCCATCTTCAAAGCCATCTCTGTGGTTTCTCTCCTGCTCTGTGTGATGAACCTCTTCCACTTCCTGTCACCCAACAGCAAACACAGCTCATCTTTAATTCAGTGAACAGGTACCCAGGGCAGCTGCAGGGGTCTGTATTCATTAAACAGGAAGAGTAATATCTAAACAAAAATCATTAACTAAAATAGTTCAGTATTGTCAACTATTTTTTTCTATTATTATGATGATTTAATCTGAAGCAGGAAAGGACTTTCAGGGAAAAGAGTGACTGACACGACAAGAGACTAATGTTTGACATAACTGATGGGTTCTCTTATATGGACTGGTGAAAGGAAACCTCTGAAACACAATATCCTCGCAAACATGCCCACATGCAAACAATGATCCAGAGAATGTGCTGAAGCCTGGGGTCACTCATCAAAAAGATATCGCCAAGGCTCAGAAATTTCCCCAAAAAAGAAAAATGAACAAGGACAAGGAGGGGAAAAAAAAAACCCTCTGAGGAACTGCTACACCTGCAGTTAATCAAACAGATTGTTACACAGCCGGCTGCACTTTTAATCAACATTTTCCTGCTGACGTTATCGCTGCAGGTGGATTCTGAGGCTGAGTGTACTGTTATGGCGCTTCCATTTGGGTAAATAAAATTGTTTCATAAAATTATTAATTAGATTTTTTTGCTGCTATTTGACATATAAACTTGTTCAAATTTTCTAGGGTCTCTTGGCTTTGCTTGGTGTTGTGGGGCTGCATTTGCCTTTCTCCTCAAAATGGTAAGTGTTCCAGAAGTCTTGAGATGCACTTAACAAACCAATGATGTTAATATGATGCTCGTACTCTGTTAGGGTACAATACCGTCCATGGACTCTACAGCCCACAAATATCTGATCAGTTTAATCATGGAAAATCTTTAAAGAATACCAACGAGGATGAAATGACATCTGTGAGAGTGAAAAGCCTTATTTCACTCCACAAAGAAGCATCTTCTTCTGAAAAAAGAAACCATGTTGGTTCTGTTGGCTGTCTGGTAGACGAATGGATGCAAAGTCAACAAAATGCCGACAAGTTTCCAGTGACTCATACTGACAACAGTGAAAACGAGGTTTTGAGCTGGCGAGGTGTCACTTACCAAAACCCAGAGGAACCTGTGACTCTCACCGAAGCTGTTGCCTCTGAAGCACAGCTCATGTCCTTTAATACTAACGGTAATCAGGTGCTGAACCAGCGGTCTGATGTCAATGCTTACAACAATTTGGTACCGACAGAAATCATTTCAAATGATGTTGCCAGTAGTGGCCTACCTCTGGGAAGTGATTTCATTCTTACAGATGACCCTAAAAATAAGCTTATCTGGTTAAACTACAAGTTACCAGAGCAACTAAAGCTCCCCGTGTCTTTGTCCAGAAGACACTACGCTTTTGATGATAACCTTGTATCCTCTGATAACCATCCAATTCGGCTATCTAAGGAAATCAGACACTTTTCAAACAAGGTGTCTAGTTCAAGACCTTCTGCCTACAAATGGAAAAACATGAAGTCAAAATTGAAATATTGCAGGAAAGGCTTGTCAGTGGGGCAGAAGCCTTGTGGTGGCTCTGGATGCTGTAATAGCCCCCACAGAGTGACTAAAACTGGTATTCTTTTCCAACAAAGGCCACGATCTAATACTTTTTCACAAAGACAACAATTTTACATCCCAAATCGTGTGCCCAAACTAAGCAAAAAAACCGGCCCCTCATTTCAGATATATCGGCCCCGCATTGGCAGGAAATTTAAGGCTCTGTACAATAATCCCACCACCCATCAAACTTTACCTATTGGTCCTGTTACAAGCTCCAAAAATATTTTGCTTCAAGGGGCAGGCCGTGTGGGCCTCAAAACAAATTTTCAACCAAAAAATCCAAATCAGTGGGACAGGTCTCGCCTGGTGTTGTATAAGAAGCCGACTCGCTCCCCTCATAGCTTAAGTAGAAATGGCAACTATATTAAAATCAAAAGAGCTAATGTGGACACCTCCATCTTAACTACCCAGCCACAAGATGAGAAGTTGGACATAAACGGAATGGAGTTGAAACAAAGAGGAATCGCATCTGATGAAGCTCAAGGTCCACTAAGCTCATTGTCTCCTCAGGACAGATTCCTTCTCCTAAATGGTGGATATGAGGATGCAATCAAAACTGGCCTTCTAGACCCCTCCAGCCAACCGCACAATAATGAAGTACTTCCTCATATTCAGGATGAAGAAATCTCACATTTGGCCTCCGCGCCCTTTGAACTCCTGTTGGAACCCAGAGGTTCTGATTTAAATTGTGTTGTATGGAGTACAGCCAAAAGAACTTCACCCAAAAATATACAAAAGTTGACACAGTCATCTGAAAATTCGTTCATTACTTCCAAAAAACGCTCTGCAAGGTCTACAGCATACCTGCTGAAGACCTGTTACAATTAAAATCAGAAGGCCTGGGATGAGGAGGGTAAACACTGGAGGAAACCTGTCATGAGACAACGCACACAAAATTCCCCACACCACGACTCAAATAAAATTCTATAGTCCAGAAAGGTTTCCAAACTTTAACCTGCAGTACTTGTTTTGTTTTTTTCTACACAACCAGGATTATAAGAGGTCTGAAATATTTAATTTTTTCTAATGCTTGTTGTATAATGTACTTGATGACTTCCATTGTTTCTGTAGATCATTATTTTGCAATGCAAATGCCAGATACAGGCAATGTCCATATTTAAGCAGAAACAAGCTGTTGATTTGATGTCTTGATTTCAATAATGCAGCCATACCTAAAACATGATCTTGTTACATTTTTCCTGTAAAAGGAGAGGGCCCTCTCCAGTGGATAAAAGGAAACCTAGAGAGGAATCGGAATAAATTGTTGTAATTACAGCACGCATTTTTTAATCAAAGTATCTTACCTTCCAAATCTGGAATTAATCTTTGCTTTGTGTTATCAGTATTGTTTAGCCATACCATGTTGTCTTCTGTGTCCATTAAGTCTGAAGACACAGCCTTTTGTGCTGGATCGGTGGGTGTTGAAAGCTGCTCTGCATCAGCAACAAACTTGTACCTTAAAGGAAATCAAACTCGGTTTCAGTGGGATTTGATTGAGGATTTAAATACAAATGCTACAAAATTACATTTTTAAATTATACATACAGTAAACCAACTAAGGAATCTTTATCACCATGTTAAATTCTTATAAGCACAATGTGAAATTTAAAATGGGCAGAGGGGTCCGAGCTCCCTCACTTGTCCTTCTTTAATAAGATCTATAATGGAATCGATATCGGGAATTGGGCCATGCGTTTGTCTTAAGAACCGTAACTCTACGTACCAGTCAAAAGTCTGAAGATTATCATGTCCCTGAAAGGCCACAAGGGCGTTTTTCAGGAACTGTATTGGGTCGTTGGGATTTGACAGACATGAACCTGTCAGCAATGCCTGTTTTGAGAAAGGGGAACAATATCAATTCAGGAACATGTTAGTGAAAAGCTACATGTGCAAAATTATCTAACATAATTTTGCCTGTAGATATGTTGAAATGACCATTCTCCATACAATGTAACTTACCTTGTATATTTGAGGTAGGCAGTATTTGAGTTCAGACATGTCCAGAACAAGCTCTGTGTTTGCTGCGGCCATATTTTGTTTTTGGTACACTTATTTTTATTAAGCTATTTAAAAACAAGTCCCTATAGAGTGGAAATGACTGAGACGTTTTTATGATTTCGCTGATATCTCTCTTTAATTATTGAGCGTTGCTAGGTAACCGACCAATCTAACTTGGCCAAGGTTAAATGTTGGACAGCTAAAGGGTGAGTTAGAGGGCTTAAATGTAAGTCGTTAAGTAAACGTTACAGCATCATAAAATATATTTTACGAGAGTAAATCATAGTAAATGTTTACATAAACTCGAAATTGTGGTGAATATGACAACCATTACTCAAATATAGCGTATTTAAGTACTTGAAAATACTCAGCGATAGATTTGGTTGGACACTTAAAGCTGCCTGGACCGCCGAACAAAATCATTGTTGACAACTGTAGCTTGTCAGCGAAGTTCTCGAGTTTTGTAACGATGAAAATGTTATATTGTGTCTGGGTGCGGTTTGTAGTCAGCACAGCTAACTAAAGAGTTGGGTCCCTTCTGTTTTTGGGAAACGTATTTGATTTTAAACGTTTTAGGGTATTTGTTGCTAACGGGAAAGCTAGCAGAGATTAGCTTAAGAGGACGATAACGGCATGGGTGACGGCAGTGTTGTTCCACGGCTCGGTAATATGAAGGCTTTGCTTGGAATCGTTGCGGGAGCTGGTGCTTCCTATGGGTTGTACAAACTTATCAGTTGGGAACGTTTTAAGAAAAACAAAAGAAGTGCTGCCAATGAGGGGCCTGGTTTCAAGAACATCCCGCAGGAAGAAGTTAAGCTGCAGCCGGGGAGTCTGCTTGCTAAAGTGTCCGGACTAGATGTTGTATGTCCTCGGCCAGGAGATGTTGCATCAGGTAAATATAAACGAACTCTTGATACTATCTATCCTCACATAGGCTCATAGCCTAATTTATCTGTCAATGTCGGTATAGTGAATACCTTTTTGGGTTAAATATTCATTTTGTTCCCTCATATAAATGCTTTAATATGTATTTACATGGTTCAATAAGTCTCTTATTGTGCTCCAAAGGTGGAATCATTCACCAGTCCCCTAACAATCTGGAGCCACAGCATTTGAAGATGCTGCTTTCATGTCTGCAGAATGGAGATGATCTAACTCAGAGGTGTCGGGTCCTCCGCACATTAGGAAATGCTGCAGCCTTCACTGTGAATCAGGTACACAAAAATACAAAAAGCAGTCTGTATTCGAAGTAGCAATCGGTCCAGTATCAAACTGCCATCTTTGTAATATGACTTGTCAGTTTGAAGCTTTGCTGTCCTAATGACTCTGTTATAAATGGACTAAAACACAGCTGTCGTCTAACAATTGAACAACCATTTTTAATTGCTCAGAAAATATCAGATGAAGGTTGAACAAAAATCGGAATAATCTTGAAGGCTATGGGTTTAACATGTTACATTCTGTCCAACAGTTCTTTTTTCTTCTCTCCTGATTCCCTAGAACATAATCCGGGAGTTGGAAGGTATTCATACCATTGCTGGTTTCCTTTCTGATCCTGCTGCAGAAGTCAGAGTTCTGACCCTGAATGCTTTAAATAATCTGTGTATGAATATCCAAAACCAGGAGCAAATAAAGGTATGTTGCCTTAAACGTCCTCTTACTCAGCAGTTGCCATGCATTCAGTTGCTACTCTGCCTTAATGTCGTCGGTGTCTTCAGTAAAATAACTTGGCTTGTTTTATTTCAGGTCTATGTGCCACAGGTCCTGGAACTGATAGAAATGTCACCGGTGAATTCGGACCTTCAGCTTGGGGCAATGCGGCTTCTGACGAACCTTTCAGTCACAGATAAACATCAACATTTGCTGAAAGAATCAATTAAACTTCTATTGTCTTTGCTGGTTGTGAGCAATGAGGCATTACAGGTTTGCATACTTGTTACATTTCAGATTTAGGAACTGTCAAACTTTAAAAAACAAATTTATTCTTAAATCATAATATGGGAAAAGAAAATGCTGTACTGATACTGTTGTGGGACATCTGGAAAAAGGTAGCTTTACATGGAAGCTGTTCATGTCCAATAATAGGACTGAAAGAATCTTCATGACGTTTCAGGTTCAGACACTGAAAGTCCTCGTGAATTTATCATCAAATCCTGATATGATGGATGATATCGTTCAAGCTCAGGTAAGAGTTGGAAAATTAGTTCCTGATCATATACAAATTGGCCAGTGATGTTTGCATGTTTTGTGTAACAAACAGAAAGTAAGATGGCACAGCTGTTAAGAAGTCATCAAAAACAAGCTTCATCATTTGCACTGCATCTAACTTAGTGTTTTCTGCCCCAGGCACCAGCTTCCGTTGTGCTTTTGTTTCACGAGAAAACTGCTCCCACAGTTCTCCTGCGGCTGCTAACGTTTGCAGGAAATCTGAAGGCCTGGACGCCCTCTGCCCAGGTGGCTGATGAACTAAGGCGGAAGCAGGATTGCCTCTTCCGGGTGATGCTGGATGAATCTTCCCAGCTCCACAGCAGACTGGTCACGCTACTTTCACACCCTGATGCGGAGGTTCAGGCCCAGGTGGCTCGTATCTTGACGTAGACCTTCTTCAACAAGCCGTTTTCTTTTTACCCTCCCTCTAGTTCACCAAAGGCACCAACCTGTCATCTGTTGATTTCCAAATTATGTATTTGTTGACATCGTTATAGAGGAGAGGGTGTTGGGGCATGTAGTGGATACTAAACCACACTTTTTTCCCCACACTGCTCCTAGTTCAAAACCAAATGGTCTGTTCTTTGCCATCCACTCCTTGATTATTTTTTTAGCAACTTGTGCTGCTATGAAATGGAGCAGTTAAAAAAAAAAAAAGCAATCCTGTTTTTGCTGCTGCCACTTTTTCATTCCCAGACTATTTTCCTTTAAGGATCCTACAGTGCCCTCTCTTCTGAGAATGTCACCTCAGACCTCTACTCCCACTGCCAAACTTTTTCTACAGAATGTTTCAGGATGACCCTTACAATTTTAATTTATTAATACTATCCCTGTGTTGGTCAAAATGTTTTTCACTGGGACCCAGGCATGCCTTGAAAGCACAGCTGAATGGGCATACTTCTGCTCCAATGCTCACTAATGTGCTTTCGTCTAAATCTTCTTACCCTCCCACAAAACAAATTCCAAATTTTGATTGGTATCTTTTTTTAGCTTCAGGACCAAACAGGATGTCTTGCCTCTCATTCTGTAGATCTGAGAGTTTGGGGCCCAGTGAAGTCACCGTTCAGAAACGGCTGCATCTGTATTATTTAGAAGAGCGAATAGAAGTATTCCACCTGGATGAAGTTTGAGTGACCACATCTGCTCAGCGGGTTGATCCAGGATGTGCTCAGAACTCTGAATGCCTCAATCAGTCAACAAACTGTTGTGAAGCCCCTAGGGGAGAAGTTGGAGGAAATGACAAGGGAAGAGGATGTCTGGAATGCTGCAATTGTTGTTCGGCACTATATCAACCGGAGGTGCAGCTTGAAAATGAATTTAGGAGTGATAATGTAGCGTAACTGTGATAGCCATTGCAGAAAGATTGAATGTGAAATGCAAGCCTTGTTGCCATATTAAGCTATGCAATAATAAGGGTGAATGTGAGAGCACCTGTTGTGTAGCAGCTGGACTGGAACTGTGGAGCCATGTGACTTGGCCAGTTTTTAGAGGGTGGACGGCTGGAAGGGGAGTTAAATGCGATGATTCTCGGATGTTGACTGCAGTTTTATGGGCATGGGCCATTCCAGCTGTAGAGAAATGCTGCACTTTTTAATGTTTTGGACATGTGATTGATAAACCCACATTTAAATATCTCAGGCAATTAGTTTACAAGAAGTATGTACACAGCAGACTGCTGTCTTTTATTTGTGAACTAGTTTGTCATATTTATTAAATGAAGTTGCTGAGCCTTTTTCTTGTAAGATGAAAAATGTTTGACCTGTTAAGTAAATACCCAAAATGAATTTGTGATGTCTGTTTTTTTTACCCTCTTCTTTTTAAACCTTTTTTATTCATGAAAAAATTAAATTAAAAGTTTGAAATACCTCCCCCCCTACACTTACATCTGTCCCTTTTTAAATGATTTAACTTGACCCTTTTTTTCAACAAACATTAAATCATTCTAAAGGTGAAATTGGATAGTGAATTCAGCTCATTTTTAGCTGGGAAAGCGTTTAAATTATTAAATTTTTTTAAACTATACAAGATTAATGTTATATGGTGTCAGAAATGCTGTCAGTGGCCTTGGAAAGCAGTACCACTGATGCCCTCCAGGGGCTTGCTTGAAATATTTTAAGTACAAACAGCCGTTCAAAAACCATCCATTTCTCATATAGTGAATATTTTTCCAGCAAGACATAATGCTATGATTGAACATTTTTAATCCAGTAAAATAAGGTGCTAGCTGTCCTTTTGGAGACCATTGTAATTTTGAATAAATTTGAAGCCTGTTAAACTTAATTTATCCCAACCCAGCGTTGCTGTTGAAGAGCATATTAATTGGCAAAACAGATGGAGGCAGCCTAATTTCCTTTTTTGCACACAAACTGAAAATGACTGCAGTTTAATTTTCAGACGTCCCAATTTTCTCAAACTTATTTGACCTTTCATGCTGAAAAAAACAAACTTTAATTCTTATTAATTGCAGTTGGGAAACATTACTTTTAAGGTGGACAAAAATGTTCATATGTGAAAATATGAACACAAATTTGTATTTGCATTGAACATCGAGATCTAAAACGTGCTTATTTTGCTGTTGATGCTTTAAAAATATCTGAAAACCCTTTTAAAGACGAGGTTGGTTTAACTGTGACGGTGGTGCGTTTGGGTCTTTGTCTCCCTCCCTCTCTCCCCCCCTCCCTCCCTCCCTCCCTCCCTCCTCCCAGCCCCCTCCCCTGCTGAACCAACGGGATGACCATCGCCGGATCCTCCGGACTCCATCACAGTCAGCCCGCCGATCAGTGCGTCCGCACAGGAGCATCTGAACGCAACACGACGGCACCGATCGTGGGGAGGGGGATCCGTTTCAGATTAGGAGCCTGGCGCGCTATGGTGGCCCTCAGCTTTGAGTAACCTGCAGCTAAACGGAGCTCTCGCACCACTCACGCCTCGAGGATGAGCGGACCCGCCGCGGCCGGAGCGGCTGCCTGCCGCTTCGCCCACTATTTCGTGGTGTGCGGACTGGACGCGGAGACGGGCCTGGAGCCAGACGATGGAGCAGGTATGGACACTCAGTAAACACGATTTCAAGCAAAACAACACGCAGCCGAGATTGCGTCTGTCATGGCACGCGCGCGACAGCTTCACGAGGGCACATTAATGATGGGATGACAATCATTTGAAATGTTTTTTTTCAATGAATTTATTACATTTTCCATCACCCCTTGTTGACAGTATTATCTGTGCGCAGCCCTCTGAATGGATGTCCCTCTGAAAATATACTAATATTTATGGAGGAGGACTATTGTCACGCTCTGTTTGTGTCTTACATCAGTCATATGTTTAAAAATATCCGTCTCTACGACATAAAGCACAGATACCAAGACTGTTTGTCAATTTCTACCCATCTGAATCGGTGCTCTGAGATTTAAAATGACTGCTTCACCATTTTAACCCCCCCCCCCCCCAACACACACACACACATTACTGCCCCTTTGTTTGGTCTTTGATCAGAGAAAATGCATATTATCATATCAAGTCAGCACTGTCAGTCAGCTGGGAGTATCAGTGGGTTTTTCTGCAAGTCATCCGCTGTTACACCTCCATCCGGCACACAGCCCAGAACGGGCTGAACTCAGGCACAACAACGGCATCCTGTCCTGGACGTTGAAGCTGGAGCACAGCTGGAGGACCGGAGCGGAGGCTCAGTAAAGGCAGTGTTGTGTTTTTTTTTGGTCAGTGTGTGTGTGGGGATGAGCTCCCAGAACACACTGTTCTGAGAATCACAAAGCACCGATTAATCTGTGCGCCGGTGTCTTTGAGCTCAAGCAGACATAACTCGTTTCTCTGCAATCTGAAACCATTCAGTCCCATTTTCCCACCAGAAGTTGAAGACGGTGTCGGAGGGGGTGACAGGAAATGGTGCTGGATGTGACTGTTGCCACAGAAATGACACCAATGCGCAGGGAGGGTTTATTTGTGGTGCGCAGCACTCTCAGAACACCAGTTATGGGAATAGAGTGGATTTGATCCAGTTGTTGATGCTGATATTTGCCCAAAGGGCTGGAGGCGACACGTCATTGTGTGTGTGTGTTATTGAGTTTGTGAGGAAGCAGAACCACATGTGTGCTGAATACCCTGAACGTCACTTCCAGGTTGAATCCTGGAGCAGCAGACAATAGTCACACCCTGTGTTCTCCATTTAGAGCAGTTCCTCTGGGAGAGGTGGCTGGAACTGGACTGCTTTGCTTCAAACTATCGCGCCGTGTCACATAGGAAAATCGAAGATTTGGGTTAAGCGTTTCGAGCTGTTGGCTTTGGAGAGCTCTAACTCACCAGTTGGTTGATAGCTGACCCCCTGCGGTGAGGGGACCATGCCGGCTGATATGGGCTCCACCAGCTTATGTAACAGCTGCAGTGGGGGGGCGGGAGGGGGTGCTTCTGCTCCTTTCAAGGGATTTCTTCCTGTGTGTGAACATGGACTGGCTTTTTACAAAGAGTTTTATCCATTAAACATGACATCCAGATTTAAATAACTGCCTTCGATGGCCTGATACAGGCTTAGATGATGTTATATGATAGCTTTTTGGCGTGAGGGTGTAATTAGTGGATGCCCACCAACAGACTATCTGCTCTTGTTGGCTTCTCAATAGATCCCTCTGTGTTTTCTGCAGCCTAATCAAATTTCACATGACGCTGCCTGTTGGAATGCTGAATGGCCCAGTCTTTGGGGCCGATGGCAGTCACAGGGGGATGACATCAGTGCAGGGTGACAACCCCCCCGACCAAAAAGAGCTGCTTTATAAGCTGACTGCAGAGGGATGCATACACTTGTCTATTAATAGACGGACCGCTTGTCCACTGAAAACCCGTCTTGAGTTACATATATTCTCAGGCATTCTCCGCTGCTTGTTGCTGCACCTGTGCATCAGACAGAGATAACCAAATACAAAACAGTTCTCCTTCAACAAAATTCACCTTCAGACGAAGGACAAGTCTGGGATTCAGTAATGAATTCACTTAGTGCCTGCTGACATTTTCTGCCGACTTCAGTCTCCGTCCTCTTTCTATGTCTGTCCTCATAAAATCATTTGATTGCTTCGTATCAGCCAGTGAATATGTGTGTGACCTTTGTGGCATTCTTTTAGGGAGAAATCACCACATCGGGTTACATGTTTCTAAACCATGGAGTGAAGATGAAACACCAATAAGCAGTGCTTACACTGCATGCCAAATCCTCAGAAGTCACATATGTGAAAATTAGATTTCAGTGGGTGTCCCACATACATTGACAATATTTGGTGTATACGTCTGTTAGCCTGGGAGAAACATGCTAATTGCACCCCAACTAAAAACAAGTGTTTAAGCATTGCGTTCCAGCGCTAAAACAAACCGCCCTCTGCCTCCGTCTGCTCTGCTGCTCCGCTAAAGACAATTACAAGGGTTTTTTTGTGCCAGTGCTTTGGTGTGAGCTCGTGTCAGGAGCCGAGCGGGTTTTAATTGTGTGAGCTAACGAAACCCAGGGCTGACGTAAACGGTGACAGGCACGCAGGCTTTTGTCTGGGTAGCTGTCTTCGAGGCCGGAGCGGAAGTGGATGCCATGGCAACTCGGCGAGAGGCTCGATTTTGCCTCTCAGTCACGGCCAGCTCCAACGTGCATCCCTTACTAAAGAACATTGACTCCCCCACTCATTACTGGCTCTCACTTACCTATCCGAATCTCTCCAAGTAGAAGCCGCGCCGAGGTTTCCTGTCTCGGCGGCCCGTGCGTCATCTCGTAGGCAGGTGAGGTGGATGTTCCTGAGAGCTGGCTGAGTGCGTCAGAGCTGGCAGCTGAGGGGAGGCTGTTAGTTTGTCATTTGAAGTTGAGCCACTGCAGGAATGGTGGTGGGCATTTATGGTGCATCAGTAAAATGGGGATGGGCACTGTTAAGGAGATTCCCCTGGGAAAGAGGATACATCTCGGAAGCGCCTTGTGCCCTGATCCCTGCTAATTACACAGTCTGAATCATAAAGACAGCTCACATTGGTTGCATCCCATTAATTTGTAGCTTAGAAACCGGCCTAAGGTTTGAATAACAGGGCAATGCTTTGACAATGTATGGATACAGAATGAATAATAGAAGAGTTGTGCGGGATGAAATGCAAATTAAGTCCACTCAAAATCAGAATATTTCTATCTGCAGCATGTGCACAGAGTTTCCTCCTGCAGAGTGTCAGGGAGAAGTTTCCCCACTCTGCCTTTATGGTAATGAGGCGAGTTACATAACCTTTCGCGAGGGGCTTTTCCTCCTTTAGCAGCAGAATGGTCCTCGCTTTTAACTTTTTCTCTCCACTCCGTGACTGACAATGACATCCCGTCCGTGGGTTATCATGATTCAGGGCTCATGTCATGTTGAGATGTCCTCCGTTACGTCCGTTCATAAATTCCGATTCAGCACTAATCAAGGTGAAATAGCCATGTGCCCTGATGCGCTAACAATTCACCTCCCTTTGCTGTCGTTTGACTTTCAGGGGAGAGCTTTGAGCAGAGCCCCATTCGCCGGTCCTTCAAGTCAAAGGTTCTGGTTCACTACCCTGAGAACACAGACAGGAACCCTTTCAACAAAGATGCTGTCAACATGGTGAGTTGTTGATTAACTGGACATGTGAAGTCTTTAAATAACTGTTTTCCTTTTCTCATAAGTTGGTGAGAAGAACAAGTTGTTCTTCTCACCATAAAACAGCCTCATTTTCAAGGTGTTTAAAATCACCTGGAACCCATGATTTGCAGATAATCAACGTGTTTAACAATTTTAATGAGATATAGTTTAAATCGACCTATCACAACATGTGAATATTATTGTTTTCTTGTCCTAACCTTCTTAATATCACATATGCATCGTGATATCCAGTTGGTATGATTTGAATGGGAGGTATGTGGGAGGTATGCACCGCTTCAACCTTTTCTTAGTGTTTTTCTTTTAATGCTTAGTATGCAGAGCGTGTTCATTGTTCACTGGTGGAAAAGCAGGTCAGGATGATGAAAGCATTAGCCTCAGAGAATAGTCACATGGAACTGAAATCTTCCCCTTAGTTTCCTTCTTCCTTCTTAAAGCTTCTTATTAAAATAAACAGCAGTGTCTGTTTTTATTTAGTTTTTGGGGATTTTTTCCATATTTGTTCCTACATTTTTTTCTTTTAAGTTGTCATTTTTTGTTCACAGGCAACATTTTCCTACTTTTTAAATAAAACTTGAGCCATCATAGAATGGGTCTTCCCCTTCCTCCTCCAGAATAAGTTTTCCTGTTTCTCAGTTTTCTTGTTTAGATTTATCGAATCAGATAGTAAGTCAACTACAGCACAAATATGGTGATCAGCAAATTCTCAAATGAGGAGTTTTGATGGATTTACAAAACAGAAATATTGCTCCTATTGCTCACTGCTCATATTATCTAGATGTGGCATTTTACGAGTTACTGCTTCTAACTTTAACTCGATCCCACTCTTCTTTCTTTCAGCTCTGTATGCCCCGAGGTCTATCCTTCCGAAGCAAAGCAGACAGACTCGACCCTCAGTTTCACTCCTTCACGCTCGCTTCTGACGAAGGAACGCGCTCCTATGGTTTTGTCCATACTTTCTACGAAGAGGTGACCAGTCCTCAGATCATCACTGCCATGCAGACGCTCTTTCAGATGCACCACGTGGAGCACCACTCCTCCTCCTCAGCCTCCTCTCCTTCGTCCTCGTCTTCTTCTGCCTCTTCGCCCTCCACCTCCAGCATGGACTCGCTAGCGAGCAGCTTGGAGGAGTCGGACGCGGAGTCTCTGGCCGGGGTATCCGGCTGCCTCGGCTGTGCGGGCTCTTTCGATCCAGCACGTGACACCCTGTACGTATCCAAAGCCCTCTGCCTTGTCACGCCTCTCCCTTTTCTGCAAGCATCACGGCAGTTCCTGGCACAGCTACACCAGGCGGTGGCATCACAGACTGCCCCGCCCCTCCCTCTGGAGAGCTATATCCATAACATCCTGTACGAGGTGCCGCTGCCCCCACCAGGACGCTCACTGAGGTTCCATGGGGTGCAGGGGCCCATCGTATGTCAGCGACCCGGACCAGGGGAGCTTCCTTTGGGGGACTATCCTCTTGGAGAGGCTTTCTCTTTGCTGGGCGTTGATAATATGGTGAAACTACTAACTTGTGCTCTCCTGGAGACTCAAGTCCTGCTTTACTCCCAAGGTAAGCAAATGATTTGAAAATGTAAGAATCTACAATTTCAGGTTTACGATGCTTGTGTTCTCGCTGTTGTACTGACCTGGCTTCTCCAGAAACAGAAAAGAGCAACGGTTCCTATTATGAAGAAAATAGTTGTTCTCTCCTACAGAGCAGATTGTTCCTGTACTGAAGAGATTATTTTAGTAATTTCTAATTATGGCTGAAGGGTTCATTTGAAATCTTCAGAGGCCGAGAAAGGAGTGTTTTTTAATGAACAGTTGTTTCTTACTGCTAATGTCTGCTTCTTCTGGTTTCTAATCTCTTCAGACTACCAGCATTTGATGACAGTGGCAGAGGGAATCACCACTTTGCTATTCCCCTTTCAGTGGCAGCACATCTACTTACCTATTATCTCTACGCCACTGCATCACCTTTTGGATGCTCCTGTGCCTTTCTTGATGGGCATCCATCACAGAGAGGGAGCTCAGCGGTCCTCCCTCCACCTTCCGCATGAGGTACATCTAGCAGCAAGAAAATTAGCAGTAAATGTATTTAGAATGTCTTCCTCCAGATATTCAAATGAATACTCATATACAGGGATTTGTAAAGTGGCATCTGAGGCAGTCTTGCAGCCTTTAGCGGATTATCTCTGTGCTTCATGCAGCTCCCTTTCTGCCTATGCCCAGTACAAATGCCATGATCATTTTCCTCAGAGCTGCCCTTGCCTCCAATCCAATCCTGCATACGAGATCACGTTATACTGCATGGATGTCTCAATAAAGCCTCTCTTTGAAGTCGCTCTGCCCTAGAAAAGAGGCAGCAGCAAGTTAGCTCCAGGGGGATGAAAGCAATAATGCGGAGCTTGACAAATTCTGAATAATGGGCCTCACTGAATAATTAAAGAGAATTAGATAATGTGCCAATTTTTCAACAGTGCACTTAGTAGGAAACCCACCATATGTTAATCACGATCGTTCGAAACAGAGAAAAGGAGTTTGGATAGATATAAGTAGTATAAGATGAGTTTGAACGAAAGCTGCTCTCATGAAGTATCTACCATCTCCTCATTTCCCTGCATAGACCAAAGCAATGCGAAGTGAAGACTTTGAGGACGCTGCACAGTGTTGGCTGCAGCTGTCAACTCTAAAGTACATCTCCCCCAAGGCTTTAACCTGCCAGCCAGAGGTCACTGCTGAAGGTTGCTTGGCTGCTGACTGTTGCTTACAGAGGCAGCTTTTTCCTTTTTTTTCAAACCAGTGCCCCTCGTTCTACCAGAAGTATATCTGTGGTGTATTGCTCAGCAGGTTTACACAGTTTTTTTGCACAGGTTTCTTATTGTTTGAGGCTAAGAATGCAACTTTCTTCAATGCCTTGTTCTTCCAAGATAACAATGACCATGAGTCAATGCCTCATTCCTAAAATCCCACTAGTGCTTATCGGACGAAAATACCAAGCACGTGTTAATGAAATACCACTGTATCTACATCAGATAAATACGGCAAGTTAGACCTGTGATCTGACTGAGGAGCAACGTGTTTATATCCTTTTCCTCTTGTTTTTTTGTCTTCTCCAAAAGGCCAACCTGTGTTTTGTGGACATTGACAACCACTGTGTTGAAGCCCCAGAGGACCTTCCCCTGTTTCCAGATCAGACTGAGTTGATACAGGACCTGAGTGAAGTGTTGCTGCACTTCGGGCTCCCCCCACAGGGAGGGACGAGCACTAAGCCCACCGCGGACAGCAAAACCTCCTCCCCTCAACTGAGTAGTCTGGTGCTGGAGGATTTGATGGAGGACAGAAGGAACGGGAACCTTGGCGGTGAGGAGCTGGAGGTCCTGGAGAGGCTGCAGGCTCTGGCGAGGAGATGTGGTGGAGGCAAAATATCAGAGGGTGGAAAGACACTCGTGTTTGAGGAGGAGGAAGGGCTGAGGGCAGCCAAGCTGAATGTTCAGCTGAGGGAGGTGTTTGCTGTTCGGTTTGCTGCTATGTTTGGGAGGTATGAGGAGTTCGTCATCCACAGTGCTCTGGATCTGGACTCTTGGCTGAGCAACCGAGAGGGTACCATCAGCTTTGACAAGGTACTCCTCCAGTGAAATATCTCATGAAAATGATCCACTTATCCTTCTCTGACAGAGGAATCTTATCAAAAACATGCAGCAAGCAAACTGATCATGTTTAAATTTCATTTCAGGGTTCCTTTCTCTCAGTTCAGCCAGCAACCCATTTGCACTTCTTGTCCCGGTTCCTGGAGACATCCATGTTCTCCTCCTTTGTGGATGGGAAGGTTTTATCTCGCTGGGCAGACAGGGAGCCACTGCAGCAGCTGTTTGACAGCCGTTTGGAGCGGGAGCGACTGTATGACACGGGTGATGATGATTTCCACCACCGTCCTTCCAGGAAGTGCTCCTCACACTTCGAATCAGGTACTGTGAGGGTGTTGTCATGACAACAAAACGCAGCTATGCCTCTCCATCGTCTCCATTTTCTCCCAGTTTTTTTTAATAAACATTTAAGATCTTTGCCTGAACTCATATGAAACGTGTATTTGTAGTACAAAATTTAGGTTATGTGACCTGTAAATTGAATTTATAACTAAGAAAATGATAGATAGTGCAGCACAAAGGGGATGGGGTAGAATTTGTTATGAGGGTAGGAGTAAAATCAGAGAATTGGAGGGGGATGAACTGAAGGATTTGTTGGGCTCTGAGCTTTATATAAGACGAGCACAGAGCTTTTTGTCAAATGGAAATGTGTTTGAAACCTTGGCTTTGAAGTTGTGCCAGCCTAGCTGCACAAAACGCACAGCTCAAATCTCTGCCTGTGGTTCAAATATCTGCTTAGCAAGTGCAGCTTTATTTGTTCTCTGTCAAGCAGTCAGTCAGCTTTTGTCTTTATTTTGTCCTATACTTAAAATCAGCTTACCATTTACAGCTAAATCAGGTTACAGAAATTTTTATTTGACGCACTAACAAAAGAGCCCATGACCAAGTCCTGGTTGGAAAATGTGTCTGTTGTGATATTTCTGTCTATAGAAGGTTGCCTTACTTGACCCACTGTGTCCGCTTGCCTCCACAGCTCAGGCTATTGAACGCAGGCTGATGAAAGCAGACCACACAGCCATACACCCCCACCTGCTGGACATGAAGATCGGCCAGGGTCGTCACTATCCAGGCTACTTTCCTAAGCTGCAGGCTGATGTGCTTTCACAATCTCAGAATACCAACAAGTGAGCTTTTGATGTTGAATTTTAATTTAACATTTCGGCAAGTACTTGCCTCGAGGGTTCCCAGCTACTAATATTATTTCATATTTAACATTAGATAACGTTTTATTTTGCCAATATATTCAGTGATAAATATGTTATTAAATTATCAAATATTCTTACAAATGCAGAATACACATAATTCCTGATAAGTTTGTTTCCAAGAATTAAAGCACTGGATTGCAGATTTCAGCTGTCACTGTGCAGACAACGCCATGTGAATGCTTAAAAAACACACACACTTTAAGTGCCACACAGTCAGAAGTGTGAATATTATTTTACTCTCCTCTAGGTGGTCCAGCCGTGTTACAGCATCACGCAGGTCTGAGCCCAAAAGATCGACGGTCACCGACCACTCGGGGGTGGAGAGTGAGCACAGACAGGTGCCTTCATGAGCTCTGAGACACACACACACACAGAAGCTCTCCGTCTTTAAGACCTCCATTGCTGATGTGCGCATTGCTTTTATTCAACAGAAACACGCATTCACAAGGAGAGCCCTCCGTCAGTCTAAACTACTCGACCTTTCCCCTCAAGCTGTCACCCAGACGCACAGAGGCTTCGTTGACGAGCTGCTAGGCGAGTGTCGTCTGAAGGTGAGCCTTCTGATGCTGCACAGCGGGGCGCAGGCACATCTGTCGCTGTTAGCTCTACGGTACGATTTAAGGTTAATGCGCTCGAATTCTTCCCCCCTGCTTTTCAGACCAAGCGGATGTTGATGGAAAGAATGGGGAAGGAGTGTGTGGAACTGGGTCAGGGGGAGGCCAGCATCACAGGCCTGCAGGAAAACACACTCATCCACGGCCTGTGTGATCTGCTGGAGAGAACCTGGGGACACGGCCTGCAGATTAAACAGGTACACTCAAGTCATTCATCGTGCCTCACATTCTCGGTAGATTTTACCAGTGTGTGTTCCACTCAAATAGGTGATCGGATGGTTGGTTGTTGACAGATGTGTTTTTTTTTAACAGGGGAAGTCTGCTCTTTGGTCTCATTTGCTTCATTACCAGGCCGCCCAGGGGAAGTTTGAGGCACCGGCTGAGACTCCAGGTCAGAGCACAGATAGATTATTTTTGGCTTTCTAGTGTGAATCATCCAGTTAAATGGTAACTGACCCCAGGTGTTAACTCTGTGCCTGTTCAGGGTCTAACTGCTCCGAGCAGAGGACGCTCGAAGATGGCGCCGTGTTCCTGAGGGGAGGGTCATTAATACAAGACGTGAGGTAATGAGATTAAAGCATTGGTGGTGCGTCTGCAATATTCATCCTGTATAAATTTAATTTGACCAGGCTTCGTGTATTTTTTTCAGGTTTATCCAGACCATGAGTGACAACCTGTCTGAGGTGGCTCAGGCCAGGGCATGGATCCATCTGGCTCTGGAGAAAAAAATGCTGTCCCAGCATCTCAAAGAGCTGCTGACAAACCAGGAGCTGCTCAGGTCTGAGTTCACCGATCGTGACACTCTTTACTAGAAGGCACAAACGTGGTTTCTTTAAAAGAGTCAGATTTTATTTGTGGCTTGTTTGACAGAGCTTTTGTAACTTTGTCTTCCTCTAACAGGCAGCTGTATAAATCTCATGCATTCCTGCTCTGCGAGGAAGAAAGGGAACAATTCTTATTCCACCTGCTGTCTCTCAACACTGTGGACTACCTCTGTTTTACACGCGTCTTCACCTCCATCTGTAAGTCCTATAAAAGCCCAACAGAAAAATGGCAGAATTTACAGGATCTTTTGTAGCTTTTAAGAGAAACTGAAAGAAACGTAAACTTTGGTTTTGGATGTGTTTTATAACATCTGTCCCCACCCAGTTGGCTTTATTATTGCGTCTCTCATCAAGTGCCCTTTGGATGCAGACAACACACATTAAAGTTGCTCTAATGTTATAAAAAAACGTTTTTCATCCTCGCTACAGTCTCCCATTCCACAGATTTCAGCGTGAAAGAATATGAATGAGTGCACATAAATGACCCCTTTGTCTTCTTTGTCTTTTCAGGTATTCCGTACCGTGTTGTTATAATACCCATGAAAAAGCTGAGCATTGCAATGGCAACAGTCAATCCCTGGGTGTGTGTTTCCGGAGAACTGGGTGACTCTGGAGTTAGACAGATCCCAAAGAATACACAAGAAATCTTTTTTCAGGTTTGTACTCATCCCCTCTGCAGAGTCATCTACCTACTCACCGTCACATGCACAAATTTACACATTTATGTGTAAAGTAGAAAAATGACCTGATACACAAGTTTAAAATGATTTTTTTAAAATGTTCTCTTTACGTGAATGGGCATGAACACAGAGTAAAAATGCTCTGCAGACGCATAAATAGTACCTGTCACTCTTTGTGCTTCTCATTTCAGTGCAAGAACCTGGGCAGGCTGAGCACCCTGCAGCTGGGAGTGCAAGAGAACTCGGGTCTGCTTGCCAAGTGTCTGATCCACTGTGTGATGGTGTACAATGAGATCACAGGGCACACCTACAAGTAAGAGTCCTCCTTTGACCCTTTCTCATTGGTAAACTCTTATTGTGACCCGGCAACAGCAGCTTAAGATGCAAGAATGAGTTTATGGAGTGCGGCTTCCAGTTCAATAAGGTGTGTTTAGTATGTCTGGAAAACCAAAGATAAGGAGCTCCCTCATACCATGAATAACATGATTCAAACCGAGTAAGTAAGTCCTCTTATCTGGAGCACACACCAACTCTTTGCAAGCCAAATTCTTAAAATATAATAAGTCTGAAACCAAAGGTAAATTATGTATGTAATAGACTAAAATGTGCAGTATTGTAACTGTAACTCCAGATGTGACATCGACTGATAAAACATGCACACGTGCCACTCTAATGTGGCTGATTTAATCCGAGCTCTGTCAGCAGTCTGCGTGGCCCAGTCAAATAAATCATGCGTCTTTCTCCCCAGGTTCCCTTGTGGAAGATGGCTGGGGAAAGGCGTGGGTGACGGCAGCTTGGAAAGAGTTCTTATCGGTCAGCTGGTGTCCCCTGGTGCAGAGGAGGATGCTGGAAGGTGGACAGGGACGCCTCCTGAGCTGGCCTCCCCATCTCAGACTATGCGGACGGTGCTGGGGACGCTTGGCGGCCGGAGCAGTACGTCCCGATAATGAGTGCATTCTTTAGAACAACAGCTGACCTACTTGCGTGTGAACCCGTCCCAGTAACGGATCGCACTTGTGTATCACCTTTCTGTCAGGCTCCGGCCTTGTTTACTACTACACATGCTCATGCCTCTGTTTGTAAGTGTTCCTTGTCTTTTTCAGGGATGCACTCTGTGGAAGTACAAGAGGACATGAGGGAGGCAGCCAACAATCTTGTTAAACATTTCCACAAACCTGAACAAGAGGTGTGTTACTGTGACAGTGTGTGCAGAGTTATCTTTTTTTTTTTTCACTCTGCCATGGTTCACTAAATTGGCTCTGCCACCACAAGCATAATTTCTTTCTCTTGAGCTTGAAACACTGTACAGACCTTATGGAAGCTCGTATAAAGAATTTCATGAACAAGGACATGCTCTGTCGTCCTGATTGGAGTAACGATAAACTGTCGCCCTATCCACCACACATTAGATTAGATCAGGTTTAACCCTCTTTTCTCATTTCTGTCATCCCAGAGGGGAAACTTGACCGTCTTGTTATGTGGAGAGGGAGGGCTGGTGCTCGCTTTGGAGAAGTTCCTCCTTCATGGGTTCAAGTCCAATCGTCTTTTCCAGAGAAACGTGTTCGTTTGGGATTTTGTGGGTAAGTCCTGCAAATGTCAGTTGATGCAGTGTTGTTTATTCCCTGCCTCCATCTAGTGGTGGTCAGTCTGAATGCTGGGTCCTGAGCATCTTTTGACAAACTGCATTGGCTTTCCCTGAACTGAACGCGACTGTTTCTCACAGAGAAATCGGTGGTTTCCATGGAGATGGCAGATCAGATGGGCGACCTGCAAGGATCAACGCTGACTAAAAGCCCGCCGTGCAGCTCGCTGTGTCACTACGTCAATGCTATCAATGTCTCATCCCGAAACATCGGGAAAGAGGGGAAGTTCCAGCTATTCGTCTGCCTGGGAATCAGGTGAGCAGAATTCATATTTAAATGGAAAGTTAAAATTCAAGCAAGTGCTCTAAGTATTAAGATAAAAGTAGAACATTCTTAGGCTTTGTCTTTGACAGCGTGGGGAACTACCTCTCCCTCATTTCTCCTAGATAACTGCTTTGAGATGTTCTTTTTAAACTGAGCCATGCTGCTGACCTGTGGCTTGTTAATCTAATTATTTGTAAGATATTCCATCAGGTCTTTTTTTATCTAAGTGCTGCAGACCTTTTCCATCGACCACTCCTATCCCAAAAGTCGCTCAACATTTGGTTTACCATCTTAGTTTGCTTTGGTGATGGTGTTGAGGAAATAATGACTATTTAAACAGCAAAAAGAGAATGTCTGGACTTTGTGGTTTATCTGCTTTTCTTCTATTTTAGTTTATGGTGGCGTATTCTATTAAAAGTAGGAAATTAAGCCTGATGTAATGATGTTTTAGAATGCCAAAATGTGAGTGGATTTTTGTAGCTCAAAGAATCCAAACAGCATTCAGTGGTTAGTTGTTAAAATGAAATAAATTCACTGTGCAAAGCTTTTGATGTGGCCAGGAATGACCTCAGCTGTAGAAGCCTCTGACTTGAACACACCTCACTGCTTTCTCATGAGTTTTGAAATAGAAATGACCGTTCATGCTTAACTAAACTTTACATAAATTGTTCCCATGTTTTATATGAAAATAAAAGTTAATTTACCTGAAGAAACTGATATTAAAGAAGCCAAATAACAAGGTCAATTAACAATAAGAGTACCGTTTTAAGGGAAAGTAATCGTGTGCCAGCTCTGTATTTAGTCAACTTTTTTCTCAGTTTAATTTCAAACTTCATGCCTCCATGGCACAGTTATTGAACACTGGTGGTTTCTCTCTGCAGGGACCGGCTTTTGTCCCAGTGGCTCCCTCTGCTGGCAGAGAGCCACCTGACAGCCCGGACATACGAGGACGGGGCTCTGCTGCGGGACCGTGCCACCGTGCACTCCCTTTGCCGGATTCTGCAAACACTGAATGAGTTCAGCTTCAACCTGGAGGCGGCGCTGGTCAAAGGGGTTGACCTCTAACCACCAGAAGCCCATCGCTTCGAATCAGGACGCAGGCACTCTGAGAAGTTCAAATGCCCATCTGCGGATGGAGGAGGTTCCGTCAGACACCTGCTAAGTATCACTTCATCATCGAAGCAGCCAGTTGATGGGAAGAAGACACTGGCTACTCAAGCACCAAACATATTGCCTTGTTCACTGATGTACATGTCTTATATACTGTATTTGCTTCAGGAAGTAGTCCAATGCTTGTTTACACTGTGAAATTTTGATTCCTCAAGGAGAAATGGAGTCACTGATAAACACACCTACAATAGATATTCTACCTGCTTACATATGTACTATATCTGACCCTAGAACAGCTATAACTGTCCTCCTACTGCGGTATTGCTTGCACTTAAATTTCAAACATGCATGGCCAGAATCTTTGTTTCGTGTCTTTGGGTGTTGTGATCTAAAGTGTCATAAGTCAGGCCTTATTAACCATTATTTCATTTGGTATCTTAGCAAATATTCTGAAGAAAAATTGTGTTTCCGTTGAATGATTAAAAGGTTTCTTTATGCCTTGTTATACTGTGTAAAGTCTGGCCTGTTTCTCATTATTTATTTAATGAAATCCTCAGTTGGTATAACACTGGATCTAAACTGGTGTCCTAGATGTGTCAGTTTAAATAGTGTTTGTCATTTAGTTAAAAAAAGCCGTTTCCCCTTTCTCTGTTTGTAAATAATTTTGCTTAATTTTGTCTTTCATAGAATTGTTCCATCCATTCTGTTTGAACTGTTCCAATTTGATATTATGGTGTAATAAATTTGTGGCATATTTTTCTGTATAAAGGCGTCTTGTTTGCTACTGTGGACGACAACAGATTCTATGACTGACACATTTGTGTGGGAGAGAGACAGGCTGCTGGTTTCTGATCCGTTTGATTTTCCTTACCAAACCCATCCAGTTAGTAGAGCACAGGTTTGTAAAGTATTACATGTTAGCTGTTACGTTGACCTAGCTTTTAATCGAACAGTCGAACATCTATGAAAATGCTGTCTTCTGCACTATCCTGCAAGCACTATGTAACCCACTCTGACCAAGTTTCTCTTGTTAAAATACAGATTACAGAAAGCAATAACGAATTATTTATGACGTGTGCTGTTGAAAATTAAAGTTATTGACATAACTGACACGTTTTTGGTATTTGTGTGTATGTGTGCCGCTTGATCAAACATGAGATAGATCACATATCATTCTTTGGAAAGCAGAACTATTTCATAAGCTAGTCTAATTTAAATCATAGACAGCAATAGTGCAGTGTAGAAAATGCAACCAGAGTCCCAGCCATCATCACATACCTCCTAAACCCTGGATCATTTCTTTCTTTTTCTTTTATTTTTATCATGGTCAAGGCTATTGACATACTTTGGTGTCTTGAAACAGATATGAAGAAAAACAAACAGATGTGGAAACAAGGCATGATCGAAGTGACAATTTACACTTACAGCATCCTGGTTTATCCATACTTGTTTCCACGGTTACTCGAGAGCTTGAACAATTGTTTTTACAGCTGCACAATCATCAGTCTGATTTGGGGGTGTGATGACTGGATTGTTATTCACATATATTTTTTCTCTTTCTACATCAGTCCCTTTTCGTCCTTGACTGGCCACTGTGTGAATCCCAAAGCTTTGCCCACCTTTTTACCTCTCACTAATCTGATCTGCCGTCCCGCAAATTCAAATCAACAAAGCCCATGTACGCGCTAGACGTGGAGCCTCCTGAAACCCGTAGGCCTCCAGACGAGCCATCTGGCGTCCTGTAGTAAAACGACAGGCCCGCCCCTTTGCTTACATTCTCCAATCTGCCATAGCAACCGGGGCCGAGCCCCCCGTTCCCGCGCAATGTTCCCATCCTTATAAGGGCAGCAGAGCGCAGACGCACGCCTACGTCACACGTCGTTTATGTAAATAACTTGATTGAAGAAACAGAAAAAAAAAAACACACTCCCCCGGCTCCACTCTGAAATGGAGGTGTGGACATGGCGCATGCGCGTCACGTCCACAACTATCCAGTCCCGTCCGAAAACGCAGACATCAACAAGAGAGCGGGTTTACCGATGCGGGTTCGTTTTTCTTAAGGAGTCACCACGGTACGACGCGCCACGGGGAGGATTATTTCACACCTGCTTCGCTCCACTCGTAACAAGGTAAAAAGCCACGAGCCACTTTCTGCGTGTTTTCGTGTCGCGTGTCGAGGGAAAGTCCTAACTGGGCGTCAAAATGTGCAATTAAAAAACACCTTTCGAGTTGCATTTTTTTTCTTTCTTCGGCCTCTGCTGCAGGACCACCACCGACGTGGTGGTCAGCTTTATGTTGGGGGGAGTGGGGGGCGTTTGGAAAAGATTGAAGGAATCTGACAAAGTAAGAGAAAGACGAGAGGAACGCGAGGGGAGTGAAACGGCATCCGAGGAGCTTCCCATGCAGACAAGAGGATGGCTGTTGTTGTTATTGGTCCCCTCGGTGTGCTTTGGTGGGGGGGGTGAGGGGTTTAGGGGGTGGGGGGGGTCACTGGTTTGATGTAACGAAATTAAGCTAAAGTCAGTGTTTTTTTTTTATGGCTTGAGTCGTAAAAAATTGTTGCTCCGAGCAAGTTTTGACGTTCGGGTTCGGAGGTTTTGTGGAGCACGTTTACGCGATGTGAGGCAGCAGAGTTGGCCCCCCTCTCACGCCCACCCGGACCCGAGAGGCGGCTCAGCACGCGGTTGCTGCTGTCAACAAAAACAGCCCCTGCGGACGCAAGTCACCACCCAACACGCTATTAAACTCGCGTGCCGGGTGGAATTTATTTTGATTGACTTCGGGGCCAAAAAATTTCCCACCAAAAAGCGACTTTCCGAAAGGCAGGTCGCTTCGAACTTCGCGCACATGTAGTTGGGATGTGGACGCGGACGGGGGGAATAACAAAGAGTAAAGATAAAACTACACGGTTGGAACCGAACGGCTTCCGTTCGGTGTCGACCGGAGGACGTTTGGCTTTCGAAATATGTTAGTCTCGGCTTGTTTTTCACGGGGAACTTGACGGGAAGAGGGGAACTGTGACACCGTCGAGCAGAGGACGGTCATTAGAAAATGGGTGCGCAAGAAGCAGGTCGTGTGGCGTGCCATGCTTCCTCGCTGGAGTGGGCGGCGAAATTAGGGACTTGCACTTTTTTTTCGTCCACAGAAACGAGTGCCGCTTTTTTAAATGTAATAAAAGCATAAAAGAGGGTTATACACGCGAGCCCGACCGCTTTCAGGTGACATTTTAGGGGTTTACGGTGCCCTTTTTAAAAAAAGGGGGGAGTTTTTGCGGAACATCGCATCACACCCCCTTTTCTCCACACTGCCTCCGCCTTTGAAGTGTGTTGCCATGTTGAGTTGCGTCACGTACTGTATTCTGCTGCAGAGATCGTCTCTAAAGCGAAGATGACGCACATTGAAGTGGAAGGCTGCACGCAGAGCTGATATAAGGCCCGATTTTGTGTAGGAAAACGTTACAAAATCTCAGATTGAAAGGATTATGGCCACTGGCTTCCTGACGTTATCATTTAATCCACCTGTAATATGCTGCCTTAGTGATATTTCCCTCGTATTTTTTTCATTATATAAACTATGTTTAAAGTGATTTTCTAACTTAAATCCAAACGAAAATAAAGTGAAACAGTTTTTCCCCTATTTCAGCATAGGAATGTACATTCAATCGAAATCTCAACAATAATCAACCACAACAATCAATGGTTTCGGCAATATGTTCAGTCATTCCCATATGGATTCGGTTTTCTGGAAAAGTCACTGTTGTGTCATGGCCTGATCCTGTTATTTTGTATGCAATCACATCAATAACACTTTAAATTATGCTTAGTTTTTTATTACCAAAAGTGAACGCATTACTTAGAAATAGTATGTGTGGTTTCACACCAAAAAGAAAGACACATCAGTCAGGAATAGTTGTTCGCTGTCTGACCAGTACTTGTCTGCACTACACTAGATTTAATCACATCTTTTGGCATTATGCAACTTCTCGCCGTATCCAATCTGAAAGTCGGAGTAAGGGCTCTCTGCGTTTTTCCTGCTCTCTGTCTGCTCTCTGTGGCACCGCACTGTCAGAAGACCCCGAGGACTGATGGCAAAGGAGGAAAAAAAAAACAGTCTGGGGGGGCGCGGTTCACAGTTTTGCCGCAGTTTGGGTCCACATGTGCTCCGGAGATTACGTTTTGCCTAGCAACATAAATCTCGGTTATTTTGCATAATGCAGGCTTAATACATCTGGAGCCAGTCCCACACTGAGATGCGCACAGACTGAGCAGCTCTCTGGTCGCACTGGGGTGGGGGGGTTGTATATGCTTGGTGGCGTGTAGTATATTTAAGCGCAGCAATGCGCACCGAGCCGCCTGGAGGCTCGGCACAAGTGCGTGCGAGGAGTTCCCAAAACGAAGCGTGAATCCTGTGAGCGCAGCATGGTGACATTATCTGTCTGACACGCTGTCTGACTGCTGACCTACTTCCACCATGTGGGTCAGAGCGGCAATGCGTTGGAACCAAATCGCATCCCCGTGTGCGATGTTGGTGACCAAACACGTTTTCAATAGAAACAGGCTGCAGCAGGATTGATATATATATTTATTTCTTTTTATTAAACCCTTACTCCAAAGCAGACATGTGCAGCAGGGAGGTGCTGCAGTTCCCTCACAGAGCGAACTGGTGAATGCACGAGGTGTCAATGTTTAAATCTGATTTTTTAATCCATTTTTTTGCTGGCAGATGTTTGGCTTTCACAAGCCCAAGATGTACAGGAGTTTGGACGGCTGCTGCATCTGCCGCGCCAAGTCGTCCAGCTCCCGGTTCACGGACAGCAAGCGCTACGAGAAGGACTTCAGGAGCTGCTTTGGGTGAGGAGCGCTCACCTTGAGAGCGCAGCCGCAGGCCGGCCTGTCCGAGGCTCACCCCCGGCCAACTGTGACTTTGTTTTGTAGGCTGAGCGAAACCCGATCCGGAGAGATCTGTAACGCCTGCGTCCTCCTCGTCAAGAGATGGAAAAAGCTCCCGGTGGGGACCAAGAAGAACTGGAATCACGTGGGTTTCGCTCGCAGCTCGCCGCTTGCCACGCCGGTGGAGGTCTCCTTCACTCAGATTTTCAAACCTCCCGTTGTGTCTCACGCAGGTCGTTGATGCCAGAGGAGGCCCCAGCCTGAAGATCACCTCCAGACCCAAGAAGATCAAGTCCATCTCCAAGAAAGCCCGTCCGAACCAGATCAGCAAGCTGCAGAAAGAGCTGAAGAGGCACAGTGAGTCCTGCAGGCCTTGTAGAGAGGAGCCTTCTTTGCTTTAACAAGTGGTCCTTAACTGTTTAAATGTTTGGTTTTTTTCCTGCTCCGCAGATTCAGACGCCCACAGCACCACCTCCAGTGCCTCCCCTGCTCAGTCTCCCAGCTACAGCAACCTCTCAGACGAGGGTTCGGATGCGGAGCTGAGCCCAGGATCCAGCCGCTCCCCCGTCTTCTCCTTTCTGGACCTGACTTACTGGAAGAGGTACGAAGCACAAATTGACCTTTGACCTGCAGAGGACTTGTTTAAGATGTCAAATTCTTCAATATAACGAGGTTTAGGATTCGGCGTGTCACTATTTGAGTGTTTTGGGTGTTTTTGAAAGCCCCTTCTTATCGACAGTCCATCCACACTTTTGCTGTTAGGGTCCGTCTTTTTTTCTGCCGTTCGCATTAGTCAGAGACTTATGCAGCGTACAGGCTAACCATTTATAAGGCGGAAAGCACCAAAAGGAAGTACTTGAAGATTGTTCTGATACTTTATCTTTTTTTTTTTTTTTTACTACAGACAGCATAGACGACTAGAAGTTAGTTTTTCTGCCTATTTCAGCCATTGACAACTAACTGTTTTGTATCTTTATTTGCAGTAACATTTCTTTTGCAGATTTAGTCCATGTTTATACAGTGACTGAATATATTTTTTTATTATGAATGCAAATTGATTCCATGATTGAAATAAATTAGCGCTTTTTTGGGTCTTGTGTTTCACTGAACAGACGTTGCCTCTAAAGAGCATTTCATCACAAAACAGCAGCGTCACTTTAACTACGGATTGTAATGCAAATAAGGTGAATTGGTCTATAGGCAGCCACTAATCCATCACTAACATGTCAAATTATATAAAATAAAAAAAGCAAGCACAAAACTATAAAGAGTGGAATGTTGTTTGACGTAGTTATTCGCTTAGAGCGAGGATTAAAATAGTTACATTTTAAAATTCAATTTAATATTGCATTTTCTCAAAAATTTTAAGTCGGTTTTGGGGTTTATTTTGTCACTTTCCCACTGATATAAAAAGAAAAGTAGATTGAAGTAGATTTTTGAGCTGCTGTTTTGTAAAAAACATTAATTCTTTTGATTACATACAATGTGTCAATGTTTTGTGTAGGCAAAAGGTCTGCTGTGGAATAATCTACAAGGGGCGCTTTGGGGAGGTGCTGATCGACCCCCATTTGTTCAAACCATGCTGCCGCAAAAAGCAGCGAGAGCAGCAGCAGCAGCAGCAACAAGAAGAGGAGGAAGAGGAGGAGGAGGATGAGGACGACGGTGAGGAAGAGGTGGAAGTAGAGGAGGGCCAAGTGGGGGTGGAAAAACCCCAGACGGAGGGGGAAGTGAAGGAGACGCCTACGTGCGAGGAAAATGCAGAACCTGCTAAGCTATGCGTCGCCGTGACAACACCCCCAGCCATGAGCGGGGAGGTGGTGGAGGGAGGCTGGTGAAGTGGAGAACCCCCCACTTTGCTGACATCTCTGAGGATCTGAGGAAAAATCTGGGGGAGCTATTCTGTTTTTGTTTGTTTGTTTGTTTGTTTGTTTTCTCTGGACTTTCAGAGGGAAGTTTCCTCAGATTGCCTTCAATCATTAAGCAGCTAAAATTCCTTTGTTTTTATTTTCCCTTTTTAACGTCGGGGGATTGTTTGTCATTTTTCAAACTGTAACTTATTGACCGTTGTGTTTAATTTTGTTTATTCATCTGTTTCATTTTGTTCCTTTATTTGTATTTAAGATTTTTACGATCCTGATGACGGACCATCATCCGTGGTGTTAGCGGTCTACTTTAGATGAAATGCTGGAGGTCTGATTTGCTGGTACATTTGACAGACTTTATTCCAAAACGCAATACATCCACTAATTTACAGAAAAAAGGTGCTACTTGAAATCCATTTATAACACTCAGAAGAACCCATTCTCACTGTGGATGCGTGTTAGGATGAATACCATAATGAGAGTAGTGTTGCTTTCTTTGTTTATAGTAGACGACTCTTTTTTTTAAAAAAATGGTGGGTATCCCGTTTTGGAATGAATGATACTTTACACTGATGGAGCACAGACATGTACAGTAGCCCTTGTGTTTTTCTATCCTCTCACAGTAATGTCCTCTCCTATCAAAGAGTTTGTGTTCGTAGACTGGATTAGAGTTTTTCTGTGCAAATATGTACGTGGATCCCATTTATATAAGGCCTATTCACAGCTTCAACAGCAAATACACCAGCCTTAAATGCGTGTTACGGACAGCTCGAGTGTTAATTCTGGATTGGTATTAAGGAACAAAAAGGGACAGTAGATGAATCTATTGTGGCCTCAGCAACACTTAGTGCATTTTGCATGAATGGCAAGCCCACTCATCCAAAAGATCTGAAATGATCTGATGCATGAGTCTTTTAAAATTGCATGGCCTTATAGAAACTGTAAATCTTACTTTTATTTTTTGGATCCATTTCTCTGAAGTTTTAACTTATTTTTATATGTAAAGAAAAAAAAAAGAAAAGGAAAAAGAAAAGTGTCTTTGGATAATAATACCACACGATACAGCAGCAAAACACAAAATCGGTCTATTGTCATTCAGCAATATCAACATCAGTGATTTCTGTCATTTCTGGGTCAGTTTATGGTAAAAGTCTTTATATAAGCTGAAATTCTATGCCATTGCCTCTAATATACCACAAATGTGTTGTGACGTATAGCCTGATATTACTTTATTTATCAAATGAAAGCCAAAGCACATTGAAATTCACCCAATGTCAAATCAATGCAGGTTTTCTATGGACACTTGTGCTTGTCCGGGGTCATTTGTATGTATTCTTATGGTATTTTAAAAAGAACACTAGAATGAAAATTCATACATGTTATGTTGTAGTTTTGGAGCTGCAGGTGTGTTCTGTACATAAGTGGTTGGGTGAGTCGTACGACTCTCATAAAGGTTTCATTATTTATTTATTTTATATTTATTTGCATCCTGCCTTAGAAGTGTTGAGCTCTGAATTCCTGTCACCTTTTCTTCTTTAGAAAACAGATGTAATTCTCACGCAGGTTTCCTCTACTGCTGCGCTTCATGGAATTACTTGTTGTCCATATTTGTGAATCGTTAAGTATTTATTTACACATTTGGTTGAATTGCGTGCAACCTAACTTATTCTGTATCATCACTTCGCTTCTGTATCACGTAGACTGTAAGGACTGATAGATTGCCACCAAAATGTACTCCTCCCCTTTTTATCATATAGCTTACTAATGTTAGAGTAGTAGATTACTATAGTACGATATCTAACACTAGACTTGCATGTACTGTTGCTATGCATTTACTTAGCTTTCGAGTTAGACAAAGCGGTTTTGTATTTTTTATACATCCTGTACTTTTTTTACTTGTCCCTTAATAAAAGTAATTTTGTGAGTTTTATGAAAGTGTGAAGATGTGAGTTTGTTAATGAGTTTTTAAATGGAAAGGGAAAACATTTTCAGTCGACTCAGTCAGTTATCTTCACCATCCTGTAACTACATTGAAGTTCGTAAACAGATTTGCAATAACAGGATGACAAATTGTGTTTTAGGTGTTTTATAACAAATGAAAATCAACAACAATCTAGTTTGAACATAATAGTTCATACCAAGAACGTTCATCTTCAAATCATCATTTTTAGTAGCATCATGGTATGAAATGTCAATAATAATCAGAAAATGATTTACAGTTTAAAAGGCTTCTTTGGAATTTTAGCTGGTGTCAAAAACTATTTCTACTTAAGATGAAAAGAATGCGGAGACCATGGTGTCATAATGGTCAATTTCAGATCTCTAGCTGAAACTATGGGCACTAAAAAAATTGATCTTTTTTAATTCTACTTAATTGCGTTTAAAAAAAACAAAAAAACATTTTGATTTAGCATACGACGCTGATCTATTTGTTCTTTTCCTGTGGGTAATTTGTTTAGTCACGTCCGCCCAAAACTCCTCTTATTTTCAACTTTAACGTTATGAAAATGTAAAATGAAAGATTTTTGTCTGTACATTGACGGCAGCCATGTGATCTATTAATACACGTAAAGAGGAAGAAAAGACGATGACTCACCGGAAATGGAGGTCCTGTGACAGGAAGTGGAAAAAAATACGAGATGGTTAAATGTATTTTTACAGTCAGCTGTTAGACTTCATTACAATATTTGATATAACCGGCTAGAGATTGAAAAACGTCCATCGTAAGGTCAAGGGTAGGTGACTGGAAATCGGTTCAAACGGGTTTATTTCGTTCTGTTTTTAGCTTGCAAGCTAACAAAGTAAACATCGCCCATCCTGCTAAGTGTGAGCTGCAAATGCAAACAGAATACATCTGTTGACACGGACAGTTCATATCAGCCAATAAGTCCTGCTGTCAGTGCTGCCTTTGTATGTCGAGTTTCATGTTAGATAACAGGTTTTTCTTTGAGTCTGCTCACCTCGCACACTTTTGATCTTGACTTGTATTTGTAGTTTTTTCTTCAGCATGGAGGAGCCCACAGCATCTGCCGTCTTCTGCAACAGGATGCTTAGCATGGTCAACTCTGAGGACGTGAACGCCATCATCCAGGCTCAGAGACACATGTGAGTGACTGTGGTCAGCTCGATGTGCCTTTTTGTGCCTTTATGTATTAGACCTGTTCTCTAAGAAGATATGATTGTTGTTTTTCTGTCCAATTACCGGTGTAACCAGGCTCGACCGATTTGAAAAGACAAATGAAATGCTGATCAACTTTAACGGACTGTCAAATGTGCGGCTGCAACAGATGAATGAGCACTTCATGCTGCACACCCGCACTCTGGTCGAGATGAAGAAAGATCTGGATAGCATCTTCCGAAGGATCAGGTAAGTCATTACTCCCGCTGTTCAAGCCCTGCTGCACAAATGTTCATACACACAACCCCCGATTTGTCTCCTCTCTTCTCAAGAACATTAAAAGGGAAGATTGCTAAGCAGTACCCTGAGGCCTTGAGCAGTGAGTATGCCTTTATTTTCCACTTACAATTACTATTTACCACACCAAATATTTTGATCTCATGACATTATCCATGATCCCCCCCGACAGATGTCCATGAGTCACCCATCTTGGAGGATGATGATGATGAATTTGATCCAATTCCTCCAAGTGTTGCCACAACAATCACAACAGAGCAGAGCACAGATTCCTGCGACACAAGTCCCGATGTGATATCACCCACAGTGAGCAGATGCTCCGAAGACCTCTCTCAAGAGCCATCTGACACGCCCACTTCTGACTTCTTAGAGACAGCCGTCCTACAAGATGAGGGTCCTGACTCTGTGACTGCTGAGTAGGGTCGACAGTTTGCAGGTTATACATGTATTTCTGTCACATGGAAGTGACAGAGCCTCATCCTAAACCTCATAGTGGCACGTCATGTTGTTTATTGGAGTGAATATTAGCCTCTGTTATGTTTGTTTTTTCACTGATTTGAACTCTTTAAGACCACAACCTCAATATCTCACAGTGAATATGGATTTTTTTGTGGCATATTTATTTGTCCTATGCCTGCTTGGCACCTAAATAAAGCCAAAATACTTGAATCTGTAAATGAAAAAAAAAAGTATAAATGCAACTCTGGTCCTGCCAGTGTATATTAGCAAAACTCGTATTGGTACAATGGTTGTAAGCATATTTATTTGTATTTTTTATTTTTTTTATCTGACCGAGTAAAGACGTTTCTCAAGATATGTTTTGATATATCCCTATGAAACAGTGTATTTGTAAACATTGAAAAATATCCACATGCTCCAGAAAAATGTAATTCACATTTCTTGTCATGGTGGATCACAAGTCAACGCTTTTGAATGAATTAAAAGAGGGGATTCAAAGAAAAATAAAGCGTGTATTCCACAAAGCCAGTGCATTTGGACAGCACAATTCTTAAGTGCATAAACTATACATATTATCAAGGATGGGGATGCTTTTTAGCTCTAAAGAAGCATTCAGAAATCTTTTTAGCTCGTTCTTGAAAAAAAGAGTGACTCAGAAAAGAACTGATTTGGCTTTTCATGATAGTTTTATTTTTTCGTATTATTCTTTGGTAAGCAAACTAACCACGACAGTCGCTGAGGGCCTGCCCTCATTGGGGGTGGCGCCGCTAGAGGGCGCTAACACTAAACAACAGAAGTTTCTCTCCAGACAAAAGGGTTAAACACGGCAGGAGCACGTCACCCAACGTCTCTGTGACTTCCTTAGTGTTGCTTATTTGTAATTTGTATTGGGCTGACGTCTCTCAGTCCCAAATTAATACTTTTACTTTCATTCAATTATACATTAAAAGATCAGCCGTTGCCTAGCGGTTAAAGCAGCTAGCGTGCTAACGAGCTAACACTGTCATGGTGGACGACACAAGATAGACCAGTTACCAAACGTCACTCCGCCACAACCAAGCAGCCGAGGCTTTATGAAGGTGTCACACCTCTGCTTCTTGTCCGAAAATGAGGAGGCTGACGAAGAAGAAGGCTCTGACTCTGGTGAGGGAGTTGGACGCTTTTCCTAAAGTGCCTGAGAGCTACGTGGAGTCCACCGCCAGCGGTGGGACAGGTACACACACCCCGGCTGCTGCCGTGTTGCTGTGAGCCTTTCAAACCCTGCACACTTTCTCACTTTGAAACCCTCTTCCAGTCTCTTTGATAGCTTTCACTCTCATGGCTGTGCTGGCCTTCCTGGAGTTCTTCGTGTACAGAAACACGTGGATGAAATACGAGTATGAGGTGGACAAAGACTTCAGCAGGTAGGGGCTGGACCCGTTCTCTGTCAGCTCTAAAGCGTCAGCTGGTGGGACCTAACGGCATCTGTTCTCCATTTACAGCAAACTGAGGATAAACGTGGACATCACGGTGGCTATGAGATGCCAGTGTGAGTGCCTATGATAGAACAGAGTCTATGTGAAGCCTCCCCATCTCAGTATCTTTGATCCTGTTCTGCATGTATGTAAAAATGACTCTGATGAGATGAGCTCGAATGAATGAGCTCGTATTCCAGATGTTTTTTTTTTTTTTACAGAGGTTGGGTCAAAGTTACATTTTATTCTTGAGTTAGAGAGCAAAGGTAGAAAAAGCCACTGCAGTTACAAATGTATCACTTGGCTTTTATGCACAGATATGCGCAGAATATGAGAAAATCTCTTTTATTTTTGGTTGTAGAACGTTTCCTGTGAATGTTACACTTTGCTTTTGCTTACTTTTGAAATAAAAAAATATATATATATAGGCTAAAGGGATAATACAAGTGTAACGTCCAACAGCTCAAAAAAGGAGTTACATTTTAGGCATAAATGTTACATTTGTTGTCATACATGTAGCATAGACTAAATAGCATTAAAGAATAACTCAGAATGGTTTACCACTTTAGATACTAAGAAAGAAAAATCTTGAATCCTCCTTCGGTAGAAAAAATGGTAAATTGTTTAAACTGTGGTGTTTGTGGTTGGATGCAGATATAGGTGCAGATGTCTTAGATCTGGCAGAGACGATGGTCGCATCGGATGGTTTGAAATATGAACCAGTGAGTCTGAGCTTTACCTATTGGCCACAAACAATGCTTTTCATATATATATATATATATATGTATATATATATATATATAGCCACTTTATATATATATATATGTATATATATATATGTGTGTGTGTGTGTATAAACATGTATTTATATAGTGTATATATATATATGTGTGTGTGTGTGTATAAATATGTATTTATATAGTGTTTTATCTTTACTTTTTAGGTCGACTTTGAGCTTCCTCCAGAGCAGAGATTATGGCACATGTAAGATGAGAATTACTGTTGGCATGCATAATATTAAATAATTTATGATACTGCCAAGTAACCCCAAACAAGGATCGATTGAATATTAAAATGAATGCATTAAATTTCATCTCATCTTTGTTGTGCCACGCTTTCCGTCCTTCCCTGTCAGGACTCTTATGCACATCCAGGAGCGTCTGCGAATTGAACACTCTCTGCAGGATGTGCTCTTCAAGGCTGCTTTAAAAGCAGCCCCAGCTGGTCAGATCCGAAGGTACAGAACCCTTAAGATGATCTGTTGTCAGTGCGTTTGCCCCCATAAAGCTTGGCGTTTGTTTTCAGCCATGTCTTAACCCTCTCTCCTCAGTGAGGGCAGCTCCACTTCTCACAGTGCCTGCAGGATACATGGACATATGTATGTCAACAAAGTGGCCGGAAATTTCCACATAACAGTTGGCAAGTAGGTGTCTGTGCTTATAAAGCACTGATTTCAATATGTTGACATGTAGGGCTCACTTTGCCTTTTTTTGGTATATCTGTGTTGAACTGTACACAGCATTCCTGTCATCACTTTTACCCCCAGCTGTCACATGTCTTCATTAATATTAGATCAGAAACTTTTCTCAGTCCAATTCTGACCACTTTTTTTCTACTCCAGGTCCATTCCGCATCCTAGAGGCCACGCACATCTGGCTGCCCTTGTCAGCCATGACTGTGAGTTTATTTTACTCTGTGTATGTTTGGTGAACATGTAAAGCTGTACAGTTTACCTCTGGCCGCTTACACTCGTGAGCTAAAAGCAGTGGCTTTCTCCTAATGTTGATAGCTTACAACTTCTCACATCGGATCGACCACCTGTCCTTTGGAGAAGCGATCCCAGGACTCATCAGCCCTCTGGACGGCACAGAGAAAATCTCCCCTGACTGTGAGTCCGTATTGTTACATCTCAGGAGATTTCCACCACAGGAACTAGTGTGTGTCAGTGTCTGTCGTTTTCACAGAGAGAAAAAAGTGGGTTAAGGGTAGGAGTGTCACCCCAAAGTGCTCCTAATCCTTGCAGTGGAAAGCCAACCATTACTCCATTGTTTTATTTGATCTCTATGTGTGTGATGAGTTGGTCCTTTTCAGTATTAACAGGCTATTGATGCTTCTCTCCAGCTAACCACATGTTTCAGTACTTCATCACCATCGTGCCCACTAAGCTGAACACCTACAAAATTTCTGCTGAAACGCATCAGTTCTCAGTCACAGAGAGGGTAGGTTTCACTGTTGAACATCTGCACAGCTGTGTGGCCGACTGGTTTGCACTGTGGTGATTATTTTTTTTATTCCTCTGTCCCCACAGGAGCGAGCGATAAACCATGCTGCAGGCAGCCACGGCGTCTCAGGGATCTTCATGAAATACGACATCAGCTCACTAATGGTCAAAGTCACTGAGCAGCACATGCCTCTCTGGCAGTTTCTCATCAGACTCTGCGGCATCATCGGAGGAATTTTCTCCACTACAGGTTTATAAAGCCACTTTTTGAGAAACTGAACCAATTTTGCAGCCGTGTATCGATAGTAGCCCAGGACAACAGTGCCAAACATTCTTGTGCTATTCATAAACCACTTTTAAGAGGACTGAAGACTTAAAAGATTCAAACCCAGCCAATAGTCAGTGTTCTCAAAGGAATATTGATGATAACGAGGAGATATTTCAAGCATTTTGATGTTTTAATTGTCGGGGATTCGTTGTGTTCGTGTTTTTTTTTATTTTATCGTATCGATTCTTAAGGCTTTATGTATTATTAATGACCTTTGAAGTGCAGGCTGTCATCTTGACTTTCTGTACTCTAGAATATAAAAGGAGCAGCTAACTGTAATCCCCCCCATGTGATCAGCAGTTTTTAAGTTGGATCTTTTCTCTGTGGCAGGGATGATCCACGGGATGGTGGGATTCCTGGTTGATGTGGTTTGCTGTCGTTTCCAAATGGGAGCCTACAGACGTCTGAATGTAAGAGACGGTCTCATTAGCAGAATTTTTCCCTTTGAATATAACTCTCTCGGGTGAAGTGACAGGTCTTTTTTTCTTCCTCTCTCTAAAGGCTCCCCTGAATATACAGGAAGATGGTAAAACTGTGGCTCCTACAGACAATTCCGCTCAGCAATGAGGAAAAAACAGCAGCTCACCACGTCAGCTCGACAGCTACAAGACTCTGGGGAAATGTTTACAAGTTTGTTTTTTGTTTTTTTCAAGGTGCCCCTGCTTTGTGGTGTATATTTTATAAAAAACATTTTTTTAATTCTAGGGATAATGTGACTGTCAATCCACTTGGAGTGGATTCTAATTTTCTATGACTGGATCTGGAATAGCTGCATTGATGTTATATGTCAGACAATGTAAAAGTTGACGGTGCCCACAGGCCCAAATAGACCGACATATCTTCACTAATTCCGGCCAGTTTGACCTCTTTGCAGCTGCGCGCAGCTTGGCATGTTGACATCTCCCTGACGGTTCGGCTTCACATGCTTGTATAGGACAACACCGTTTGACGTGCAGTTTGATGGCCTTTCAGCATGGAAAGCTTTCTGAGCAGCTTTAATAAGGCTGAAATCTGTGTGTGTGTGTGTGTTCGGGTAAGGTCTACGAAGGTGAACAGATCTCAAAGGTTTTTGTTGGGTGTGAATTATAATCCACTTTCAATTCGACATTTACCTTGACCTCAGTTTGTCTGTGGCTGTGAAGGTGGGTTTGTCATTTATTAAATTAGAACATTACTCAGTATTCCACTGCCTAAAGTCTTGCTTAAAAAAAAAATCAAATGTAAAATCCTAGACATACACATTTTTATAAATGATGCATTTGAGAAGCTGAAACTGATTTTTTTTACTTTTTGAGTGCAATCAAAATTATCTTCGGGTCAGCTTTGGTCTCACTTTAAGTAAAGATTTCGTCAGAATATTTTACACCATGTCAAGAGTTTATTTGACAGTATTTCAGAATATCTTTCAGTAAACAAGTTTTTTGTTTTTTAGCAAAATGTAATATATCAGTACTGTCGCATTTCATAAAAATAGTTGTTCACGTCTTTGAAACTACAGTATCAATGATACAGTAAACCATATTTGTAGGAATACAGCTGTACAAGGTGAATAGTACACAATTAACACTACACAGTTATACTGGATCTCAATGGGGATTTATGAACGTGCCATCCTTCTCATCCTCCGACAAGCAGTTCTTTTGTCTCTGTGTACAAAAACCAGTCACAGCTGGCTGGGGGTGGAGGGGGGGGCGGGCGGAAATGCGGGCCAGATGACGTGTTCTCTCAGTTCTAAACTTGGACATTTGTACACACGGTAAACACATTTCTACAGCCTAATGGCACGATGTCATGCTCCTCGCGACCACGTTAACCAGTCTTTCACGTCGACCACAGTCCAGTCAGCTCAGAAACGTCTGAACCACGTATCACTCCTGGTGAGGTCTTAGCGTGCAAACGCATCGCTTCACCGATAGCACCAGTGGGTCATGTGCTGCGTTCAGTCGAACTGCCACGCCGGGTAATCTGCTCCTCCAGCACTTCCAAGGTCCGGTGGCTCATTTTTAAGACAAACAACTTTCAGAGAGAAGGGGATGGTTTCCAAATGGTGGAACGCGGGAGAGTGGTTTAATCTGGAGTGTCTCAGTTTAACAGCAGCATGCTTTCAACCTCTGCTAAACATAAGGTCTTGTGAGTAAAGAAAATTTTCAAATGCTTTTGCAGATCATCAAAAATCTTAAATTTTGATAGGGTGGGCCCTCGTTCTGCCAGCAGCAATGCGAACTTAGTTGAAATACAGGATCCATGGTGCCCTCTGCTTAATCTCCGCCTGGATGAACAGCTCTAAACACCTACGTGACCAAGAGGAGGATGCGATACTATAGGCTACATTTTCCCCACTACAAAAGACACTGGGGTAAGGGCGGTCATCGACACTGATGAGCTTTACAGCCAAGAGTGCATCAAGATATATACTGCTTGGCATTATGTCTGTAAAGAAAAGCAAAATTCCACAACAGTTTGCTGATGTGTGCATGATCACCAAGTTCCCAATACGAATCACATCAGCAACAGCTCGATATTAGTTTGAGTAAGGCACTCCGCCCCACTTCATGACCATTGGCCTCCTCTTTCCCTCTCCCACAGTGATGTGGTACACGTAGCACAGTAAAAGGCATAGAAATGGGAGAATGGTTTTCCTGTTGGGCGTCAAATTAATAAAACACACAGAAAAACTCTGCACAATGACTGCATGTTTGACTTGAGATCAGATTGTGTACATGACTCAAAGAAGTAGCATTGAGTTCTTACTAAACCCACTATCCTCATTTATTGAAAAGTGATGAAAAAAAGGTCCCTTTTGTCTCAGATATGCCAACTTGTCTTCTCCACAGATGATGCTCTGTCTATGTTCCTCCTTTAAAAGGCTTGTGAGTCTCTGTCTATTGACGCGGTGTTTCATATCCATGCACGCAAACTCCGCCTCCCGCTACGGTCTGGGTTTGGTGACTTTTGCAGTTTCTGATATGTAGTTCTAGACGAGGCCATGGAAACAGTGATTCTAAAATACTGTCCCGGGTAATTTGTCTCTTTTTTTTTTATTATTCTGTATGATGTACCCAACTACAACACTACCTCAAAAACACCCGACAGGTCCTGTTTTTGAGTTTAGCAAATGTACATATTTTTCACATCTTTACATTTACAGTATGCTATATATTGTTGGTGTGTAACATATGTCGGGTTAAGCGGGCTGCCATTTGAGACAGAGTTTTAGTGTCACTGCCTCCATCTGACGGACCGATAGTCTTAATCTTCCTACTCCACTCAGAAATGGAGCAAAAAGGAAATCTCTTGGATCAGCCAGGTGCAGTTGAGCAGTTAAAGGTATGCAGCTCCATTCAGAGTGAGGCAACGTTGCTCCTCCCGTGTTCAGAATGTCAGCATTTGCATGTGAGGGTCTTCATTGAGTTCATCCCATGGACGTTTCTCTCTTCTTTAAGGTAATGGGTGTAAGAATTGTCTCGCGAGAGCAAATTAAACACAAAAAACAAGACTTCATGAGCAGATGGAGATGTGAACTTGGTGAACTGAAAGCCGATCCATACAGTGTGATCCAGCCCCAAAACCGTAAGGATCCATTCTACCTGCTGACTGTGGAGGTCCAGGACCTCAGGGTGCCAGGCAGTTTGTCAGAGCCGGGGACGTTCCAGGGCCCCGGTGAGGCGGCTGCGCTCCTCGCCAGAGGATCCTCGCCAGTTTTAGACGGACAGCATCGCCCACTGTGGCCTCTGGCCCTCTCCTCCTCTCTGGAAAACAGGCCTCTGGACACCAATCTCTCCTGGAGGCTGACGTGCCCATCCCCGCCACCCAGAGGGGCTCCGTTCAGATTCACGCTCGCACACGGGTCCCAGGGCCAAACAGGACTCGCTGCCTGTGTTTGCAAGCTCTTTCTCTCACAGCAGGGGGAGCAAGTCTCCCTTCGTTCAATGGACCTTCCCACCACAGCTTTGGGAGGCAGAGCGCGAGGTTGCCTGTCGCCGGGTCCACAGTCCGACTGCACAGCCCCCTGCAGGGTCCCCTGCCCCCTGATGATGCTTTTCTTCTCGGTGGACCTGCCACCGGTCGGCCCCCTGACGGGGCAGTGGTCTGTCAGGAGTGGAGCTTTGTCTGCCATGCACACTGTGGCCTCTGGGGGGAGCTGATGGGGCGGGTCTGGGGCTGAAGCCGGATGGGATGACAGCGATGGATTCAGGTGAGACTCCACGGTCACTTCCTGCAGGGCAGAGTGGGCTGTAGAAAGGGAATCCCAGGGGCTGGCACAGTCTGTCAGAGAGGAAAATACTCATTTAAGAGGGGAAAAAGTGGAGAAACGTGAAACCAGCATGCGCATGCAAACAAACAGAAACGAAAGCTGAGGAGAAAGCAAATCCGAGGGGAAGAGAGAGGCCTCCTCTTCTGCCTTAATATCAGACAAAGTTGCATGCAGATATGCATGATTAGCCGGGATCCATTCAGTAGGTGAGGACAATTCCTATGTTTATAGCTTTGTAATGGACTGACCCCGGGGAGCTTTGATCACATAGACTTCACAAATACTTCACAGCTCTCCTCAGCATGACACAATTCCATCTAGAGGGTCTCTTCAAAGTAAACTGGCCTCTTACGGCGCCGCACAAACTCAAAGATTCACCCGTGGCTGAAGTTTCCCCCATGCAGAAGCAGTCACGCACACATACACACAAATCTACGCAGGGAGCATAACTACAGATCACACAGATTAATCAGTATGGAGAGAGAGAGACATGCAATTTTTCACAAACCGTGTCTTTAGAGTGGCCCATTAGGAAGAAATAGGGGGAGCTTAGTGTGTCACCTTTCATGCACATGGAGAGGTTGGAAGGTACCATTCCTGAGGGAAGGCAAGTAAAAGCCTATACCAATCATTAGACTTAAAGCAGAGGGTTTACAATACATGAGGGTTATAGAGAAGGTTGTTACTGTATAGTTTCAATTGACTGATCAAAATAGATTTTGACAAAGATGAGATTGAGGAGACAGAACAGAGAGGCAAGGAGGAGAATGCAGAAAGATAGATCAAACATGACTAATTCGAGGGGAAAACAGCTCAGTTACAAAACAGAAATGCTGAATGGCAAACAGCAAATCTTTGGTGAGAGAGATGTTAAGTAAAAGAATGAAAAGAGAAACAGGCTGGAAAGAATTACAGATCTGTTAACTTCCGTTGGTGTCAGCCAAACCCACCATATTCTGGCACCTGTCCTGTGCCTCTCTTCAGCAGCAGCCTGACCCTTCTGCCGCCTGCCTTGATGAGCTCAATGGCCCGAGCATGAGTCATGTCCCGTGTGCTGTCGCCGTTAATCTCTATGATCTGATCCCCCACCTGGAGAAGGCACAAACATAACTGGATCACTTTCCGTCCACCTCCGTTTATCCATGGGAGGTTCACTTATCTGCGGGCGCAGCTTTCCGTTAGTGAGCACATCTGTACAGAGCAACATGAGAATAGGGCCTATCACCAAAAGCCCAGACACGTACGAAAATAAAAACAAGGCGCAGTTATTTGTCAATTTTACCCATCTCCTGTCCAAGAAATAATTGTCCAGTAACCCAGTTCCCCATCTTCAAATTCAGGTCAAAGAAGGAGCCATATGCCAACATGTTCCAGAAATGCTGCTGTTACAATGGCCCAAGCTCATTTAAAATGGACTGGGGCAAAGAGGAAAGCTGTTCAAACAAATTAATTAGCCTGGTTAATTATTTTTTTTAAAACTGTGGATGGTTTAACCTCTGGTCTGGAAGGGACAGAGGCTTCCCAGCTCTTTATCTTTTCAAAAGCCATGCACATTTCAGCAAAACAATGCAAAATTGCATTTAGCGGCTATTGTTAAAACATAACTTTGTCGAATTAGAGTCTGGATGGTCTGTCTGTGTCTTCACAGACTGGAAAAGTTTAGGCTCAGCATGAAATGCAAAATACAAGAAGAGGAGCCTGTAATGTTTAGCAGTTTAACATCAGACAAGAATGAAACAGATAAGCTTTAAAGCGGAGGGAATGCTACACAGCGATAAACAGGTCCCTTTGCTAACCGTTTTGAAGAATGCTGCTGCCATTAAATTCAAGATAAGTAAATACATTTTCAGTAATGATAACATTGGTAAAATGATAAATGTATTTCTATGTTCTATTAGGAAAACAAAATATTCAGCCATGACACTCATTATCTATATAGTTGACTTAACATTTTTGGAACTGGGCTGTGTCGAGCATCTCGCTCAAAAACATTTCAACAAGAGTTGTTAAGGATGAGCGGAGGCTTAATTAGTCATTGAGAGGCAAGCATTTATACCCACTCCAGATGGAAAATACATGCTCTGTTTAATTTCAAATGGACCAAAGAACAGATTTATGCTTTTGGTACACAGTGTGACACTTTGACTAAATTCTATGCACGTTAGGAGAAATGGGCATTAGGAGAGACTTTTATCAACAGTCCTTCAGAAGAATTTCAGTTTTTTAAAGATGAGAGAGACCTTTTTTTGCACCATAAGAGGAAAATGCATCTCACCCTCATCCTTCCATTTCTTATAGCGGGACCATCCTCTGCAAGGCGCAAAACAAATAGGTCCATGCTGTACTCTCTTCCCCCGCGGATACTAAAGCCGAAGCCCTTTGAGCTTTTCTCCAGCTCCACCGTGAAGTAATCGTAGTCCTGCAAGACAAAATGACTCATAATGACTTCAATATATACACTGGTAAATGCATGGCTGGTACGTGTAAGCTGACAGGTCTTAATTTAGCCCTACCTGTGGTCTAAAGTCAGGAGGAATCCCCAAAGGGAACTGTGCTGCTGCAGGGTGCTGTCTGAAGTCCAGCAGGCCAGGTGGGTGTCGGTAGTCCAGTGTTGGCGGCTGACGATAATCAGTTACTGGAGGGTGGCGATAGTCGACGGGAGGTTGCCGATAGTCGGTGAACGGCGGATGGCGGAAGTCAGGTTTTACATCCTGCCTCGCTTTTACCTCTGACCTGAAGGGATGAAAATGGTCCAGAGATTGGGAGGTTGGATTTGTGTCAGGATAGATGTCACTGGTTTAACAGGTGTAAAAGATGCACGAGTCCTCCAACAACCTCACATCTGAACATTTCGTTTTCATTCAGCTTCTTTTTTCAAACTTTTATCAAGTTCACACTACAAAAATAGTTATAAATCTACAGCCACAGCTATGACACTTGAATATCTATAAAAGCATGAACTCACACTTTCATAGTTTTGACACATAACTGGGTTTGATTGCAGGGCCTCTGAATTATAGAAAAGATACCGTATGGTAAATTATTCACCAACACTGTAGGCGCTAAGTGATGTTATGCAACAGGGCCAGCCGGAGTCTGACTGGTATGAAAGCTGTCTGCAGTCACAGGTTTCCTTGTGAACTTACTGGCACGCAAAGGAGAGGGAGAGGCACACTCTCCTTTACAAACGCAGATTATCTGTTGCACAGGAAAAGGCTTTTAGCACCGTCTCACCTGCCGTCATGGAGGTAGAGCTGTGGAGGGAGTCCGGAGGGCTGGCTGACCGGGCTCTGCTGAGCTCCGGCCGCTGCAGGCTGGGAGGCCGCCGGGGCAGGAGGGCCGGTCACTGTTTGGTTTGTCTGAGCTGGTGTCTGGCCAGGCTGAGCCGGTGCTTGACCAGGCTGAGTGGCCATTTGGCCCGACTGAGGGGCCATTTGGCCTGACTGCGTGCTTCCTTGGCTTGGCTGGGCTACAGGACTGGGCTGGGTCTGCGGGCTGTGTTTATGGGTCATGGGGCTCTGTTTCTCTGAGCTGGGACCAGAATGGGAACCTGCAAAGAAAAGAAGGTGATTTCACTTTGTCCATAAGCAGGGGAGGAAATGGGGTTAAAACAGACCAAAGAAGTCAAAGACTGCAGAAGTATTATGCAAATAATGACTGGACGCATTACTGTTACTATTGCACGCTCTTAATTTGTCATATATAAAACACTAATCTGATATTTTGTGTTAAAAAAAAATCAGAAATTGCCCTTCTAAGCCAATATTACACAGTCAGTCCACAAGTCAAGACTGACAGTTAGTATTCTTTTAGGAAATATAATAATAAGGGAACGATGTTTTGATTTAAACTGACACATATGAATACTTACCCTCTTCTGGTATGATGTGCAGTGTGACAGTTAGTCCAGCGTCTTTGATGAGCTTGACAATGTCTGCATGCGGCATGCTGATGATTGACTGTCCATTCACGGCCAGGATGCGGTCCCCCACCTTCAGCTTCCCACATCTGTCTGCAGGGCTGCCCTCAATAATGCGTCCAATTTTATGGGGCACAGCTGGAGATGGACAAAATGAAGTAGCTGTCACAGACAGTTTTAAGATAAAGATTTCAAAAGGGCATAACACATGTAACTATTTTCTTGTGGTAAGTAATGCCAGTACTAAGTAAATCCAATCTAATAATCAAAAGCCATAATTTATAAAACAGTGTGGCCGTATCTTTAAACAACATAAAAGTTTGTGATATTTTGCTTCACTGTTTGTCCAAATCTCTTAAAAAAATTGCAGTTTTAAAGTCTTTATCAATTCTTTATATAAACCAACATCCAAGCAACCAATATTCTACACTGAGTTGAATTGACATACATAGAAATCTACTAAAGATAAATTGCAGTGCTTCAGTGTGAAACAATTCTGAATATTTTCTGCACTCAGTCCAAAACAACTTGAGTCCTACATTCTGTTCAAAGTTAAAACATTATCAGCTCAGTCGAGCATGATCGATTTAGTAATATCAGCTCCACGTCACATGATCAAGGAATCACATTAATCTTCAGAACAACCGTTGGCACTCTGGACAGAGCCCTCTGTAACTCACTAATGACGGTGGCATTCTCCGGCCTGTTTAGGGAGCTGATGATGACGAAGCCGAAGCCCTCGTTTTCCTTGCGGTGAATGACCACGTCGCTGCTTTGCAGGGCGGCTCCTTCGGGGGGTGACGTGGCAACGGGAACCGCGGCTGCTGCAGGTCCTGAAGCCGAGGCCGCATCGCTTCGCGGAGAGCTGTGCTGTGTGGACACCGAGCCGGGGCTGCGGCCGTTCACCGGGTAGGGTTCACCTGAAGGAAAGGAAGCAAGGAAGCACAAAGACCAGAGTTCAAACAGTGTCCGTCTGATGTGAAAATATCTTGAAAGGTGAAAGCCGCTAAGTACATCATTTCTGGTCCAACGCCATCTGCTCGTACTTTCAGAACTCCTGTCTCTGTCAAAGTCAAAGTCAGCTCGTCTGTTGACAGTTATTACTCTTGTGTCCTTGCAGAACGACTCCATCCAAAGACAGACACAAACCACAGAGCCCACTTCAGAGCTCACAATGAACAAAGGATAGATGCATGTATAATCTGTTACCACAGAAAAGCTGTGTGGGTGAGAAGCACACAGTGATCCCGCACACAGATTGTCAGCATGTGTGTCCTGTCCAAAAGGTGTTTTTTTTGTTTTGTTTTTTATCTGATGCCACTGAAATGTGCAGCGTGTTCTCCAATCTGCGTAACGTGTGAAAAGACACAACAAAACAGAAGAGAAAAAAAGGAAAAACAGGTCCTCACCAGGCATCTGCACTCTCCTCCTCACCGTCAAGCTGACTTGACCATTTCGAGCAGCTGCGTGCATCAAGTCTATCACGTATTTGTGCGGTTTCCCAGCAACCACATTTTTATCCACGGAAATGAGCTCATCCCCGGGTCGAAGCCGCCCATCACGCTCAGCAGGAGTGTTCTCTATTATAGCGCCAATAACAATCTGTTCAAAGACAATCGATATTAGCAGCATAGACAAAGGCGAGGGTGACGAGACACACAGAGGACCCACACAATAATTGCTGTATTTAGCTTCTAAAGATACTTCTGGACCATGGTAACCTTCATAGCATTGAGCAACTCAGTTCTTTCTGTGTCACAGTGTGCATGCGGCTAGGCAACGTGAACAGGTTATCGGGGCGTTCTTCAGTATGGGAGGTCCTGAGCCCTTAGAGGGGTCACAGGGTGCCTGTGTGTAAGTCTGGTTGTGGGGTCTGGAGGGTGTGTGCTGGTCGACGGATATGCAGAGCAAACACGTGTGTGTGGAGACCAAATAGATTTCTGTCAGGTGAAACTGCTGTGTGTGGGGTTAAACATGTGAGTAGTCCAGCCCGTCCCATACGAGCCTTGTCACGGGCGTCCGGACTCACAGCCTGCACGGCCTCGTCTCCCCCAAGGATGCGAAAGCCGAAGCCCGTCTTCTCCCTCAGCAGGTGCACCTCCACCTCCTCGTACTCCGGACCTGTTTCAAACGACGGAGGTCAGCTCGCTGGGTTTTTTTGTATAACGTGTCGTGAACGAGAGGAGAGAAGTTTTCTGGACTCACGTCTGCTCTCATAGATAGCCCTTGACTTCTCGTAAAGATCGTAAGGGTCAGGTTTGTTGAGGTCGAAGCCTTCTGTGGAGTCGGGCACCGATGTGCGGTGCTGCGGCTGGTTTGGGAAGGGGGTGCCGGATAATAAGACCGGGCCAGATAAGTTCGTCTGGGGGCTGCCGTGAGGGTCCCACTGGTCAGGTAACTAAAAGAGGAACAACGACAGATGGGTTACTTGATTTGGTATAATTTAGATTAATGGTACACATACTCCCTCTCTACACTGGTATATTATTGTGTCTGATGTTTACATTTATAGATGCATACCTATATAGGTTTTACAAGCAAACAATTATGGGCGAAATCATATGATGAAAACAAAAACATCTTGTTAGGAAAAAATTGGGGAAAATTACTCAAGTACAAGGTTCATTGCGAAAACAGAAACAGCATAGAAATATGTTAAGTGATGGGTGACATAAATAATGAAAGGAAAAGCGGATCGAATGTTTATGAAAACTACATCATCGTGTTAGGCGAGTGAGCTAAATTTAGGTAAACACTGTGCTTGTGTGGCTCATTTATGCAAAAAAGAAAGATGACTATCAAGGGGAAGAATGGTGTGAAAATTCATTCAAATCAATATTTACATCTGAAACATAAATGAGGTGCGAACCTCAGGCCTGAACGTTGTGGTTTACAAGAACGAGAGCTGATTGTACAACAGGTACAGATTATATCTGAGGAGCTTTTTCTCAAAGCCTGAGATGTCAAGATGAAGGTTTTATAAGTCAAAGGCAAATAAAAAAGTGACATGAGCTCTATGACAGGTGAGGATCTTAGCAAAACAAGTAAACACTGACACGACAAACGCCGAAAAATTACCGGTTTAGAGGTCTTCCAAGGAGAAATGTGACCTGAGGAGAGAGCAAAAACGCTGTTAGCAGAAAAACTGAGAGCTGAAATAATCCGTTACAATTTTGAGCCAAACAAATTTAATATAGACAGCTGCAAAGGCAAAAGTGTCTACAACTGAGATGAAAAAAAAAATCCCCTTCTCCTAATGAGCAACTAAAGTTTTCAGGTCCCTAATTTAATTTTCTTCTCTTCTGACTTTGTGAAAAACTCTGAAGGGGTTCTGGTTGTTGCATTTGTTTTCAACATAATTACATCATTAACTGTGGGGAAAAGCACAGACCCGCACCCCCCATCAAAGACACACGTGTCTCTGGAAGTCACATTATCTGCATGACAAAGCAGCAGAAACTACACAACAACACCATCCATCAGCGCAGCTCCCATGCTACTGCTTATACAGGACATTTATACCACTAATACCCACACACACACATTTTTACAAGGCAGTAAGTTGCATTTTTACGCATGTCAAAAGAAACAGGTCAACAAACACACACACACACACAAAAAACACCCACTCTTGGATGTATCTTTTATCGTGTGGATGCCAGTACAAAATTCTTCAGAGATTTCTTTAAGTATTAATATCTGTTCAGTTTATAAGAGATGTCAGAGGGCACTGAGAGGAATGAATTTATGGTGTTCCTCTCCAATAGCATCCACTTGCTTTTCAGACGTGTGGGATAAAAACCTGGGCTCTTAGCAACAGAGCAGAAAAGAAACATAATCAGAAAATGTGGGGAGATTTGAAGACTATTAAACACAATAGATCACCTCATGCCAATGCGAAGCCTAAATGAAAGCTGAAATGAATTTCTGTTATTCCTTTTACTTTTAAAAAACACATTTCACACACAGACCTCTTCCTTTTGTTCAATTACAGCACTTTTGATGCCTTGGAATTCATCCCCATTTAGAAAACAAATGTCACCCAATCAATGTGATATCTGTGAGCACGAAGGAGAACAAAATGAGCCGAAAACATCCCATCCTTAAATCCATAAACATCAATAGGGGGTTCAAAAGCGCTATCCATGGTGCTGAAATGAATCAGCACAGTAGCAGCAGCAGAGGGAGGCCTCAGTGGGACGATGGGACTAATAGCCGCATTCTGGGGAAATACACGCCTCGGGGGTGGTTTTTTGCAGAAATCTAATAACTCACCCTCAGAAAAAACTTTCATTAATGACGCACTGAATGAAATAAGTAGCAGCTACAAGGCAATTGTCCACTCATTTACAGGAGGACCGTCATTTTCAAAAATACATGTCAGCTTAATTCAAATGCTAATCAAATTCACAGGCACATGCTCCAGCACATGCTGACGGACAACAAATTAATGATTTTTAGAGTCATCATGAAGCCTCTCTCACAAGTCAGCGGTCAAGCCGTCTGGCAGTCCATCCTCGCAGACTAGCCTGCTGAGTTCTGGATGGCCATCAGATTCGGCTGATTGGCTCGTGTAGCTCGACACAGGCTTCTGCCAGACTCAGCCTGCATCCTCATTGGTGCTGAGAAAAGTCTCTGGTCTGTGGTTGGCTCTGCTTTGAGCTGGGGTGTCAGGGGACGGAGCTGTGAACACGACCAAAGCTCAGTGGAACTCTGGCAGAGTGCCCACGCTACAGTGAAGGAGTCTGACACACACACACACACACACACACACACACGGTCACACGCCGCGCACGTCTGACGCTTTGTCTGTGTTATAGACAGCAACAAGGCTCTCAGACACACATCTGAAATCACAGGGTCAACATACACTTCATTCATACTCTGTGATGGACGATATCTCCTACACATAAACATCTAGAAATATATTTAGCATTTTGCTCTTTAAAAACAATGTAAAGGACCTTGTCCCCTCTCTCCCACTCTTCAGAGTGGAAACAGACAAACAAAGATTCAGAAAGATGTCTGGTGTGTCAGGATAATTGCTCCTGTGGGGTTGTTGTCTTGAGCTATTTGAAAGAAACAGGTGAGGTTGAAGACAGACACGGCATTTTTGTGGGAAAGAGGGTAATTTGTCATATTCAGTTCAGCATTTCAAAAGGATTTTTAAATGTGTAAACCCCACAACACATCTGTATGTGTACAAGTGGTGCTATATTAATGAGTACAAGGTGGTTAGATTTGTTTATTGCATTTGGGTAAGCTTTTAAAATGTCATGTTTCTCTGCCATTCCTGAGTGCGCCTCTACAATTATCCACCAGGGGGCAGATAGGGTTCTGCGTGGTCAAATGAAGCTCGTGTGGCAACACACTAGACTTAAACTGCTCACAGACACATCCACACACACACAGCTGCACACATAGCTTCATTTTCTGCTCCTGCTGGATATGCTGCATTTATTTGTGCTCATCATCAACTCCGGAGCGTTAATCAGCTCTAATGTAATCAAGTTGCTGACTGTATGCGAACAAACAGCACACATTCAGTTCTCCTGGCAATGCAGAATTAGTCAAACATCTGCATTAGAAAAGCAGAGGACTTAAGGTATGCTGTAAATCAGCATATCACCCAATATCATTTAGTCACAAAGCATTTCTATGGGTTCAATGGGTCTAATTCCTGTCACGCATAAGTTATCTGATAACGTTAGTATAGTGGCCTGTCACACGTCAGACTGGGGTTCAATCCCCCAACATGTATATATTCTACTTTGTAAGTCGCTTTGGATAAAAGCATCTGCTAAATACACAAACATAATATAACCTGAAATACGTATGACAGTGATAACTGTTATCCCTAATTAAATATAATCCACGAGAAGTGAAATGCAAATGAGATAATATCAAAAGTTTTTGTCAGAAATAATGCAAATGAATTCTTCACTTCTGGCTGTCAACTCCAGAGAAGCCAGAGTCTAAACCACAAATAAACAGGAAAGAAGAAGTTACCGCAGAATATAATTTTTTTATACTTCGTGTTCTTTTTCAGTGGCTAAAGGTCATTTCATTTTCATCTGGGAGGTTGAGCGGTGCTGTACATTTAATTATTGTGTGGTTAGGGGGCGCGGGTTGGTCAGATGACAGAGGGCTCTGTGATAGAAGCAGCCTGAGGAAATAATCAAGTCAGATTTTGACCTGTGGCCTGGACACCTTTAAGAGAAACAGTGCAAGTGCACATGTCAAACAAATAAATCTCACACTGCAACTTAATTTCCTCCCAGGTGGCCTGAAATAGAGGACGAGGGGAGATGGATATATTCCATCTTTTTTTCACCAAGAAACTGCTTCCACAAACTTCCCAACAATGAAATTCAATCAATTTTGGATGTTTTTCCTCCTCATGGTCATATCCTCCTGAAACATTTTGAGGAGTAATGCTGAACATGTTTAGAAGATGATGATGGTGGTATGAAGTAGCTGGACAGTATTGACCTTTGCTACGAACTATCAACAACAGGGGGCTATCCAGACCTGAATTCCCTGTCAAACTACACACAAATCAGCAGGAGCATCAGATTGAGATGTTTGTTTTACAGCTGATGGGAGGTGACACCTTACCAAACAACCGGTGTGTGGTATGTGTGCGCAGATTGTTGTCATTCTTGTTTTTTGGGTAGTTTTTCGTTGCAACCATCACAGTGGTTTTGTATGCAAGAACAGCAAAATGCCACTTGTCAGAGTCTTTGAGCACAATCTATATGGGTAGCTTAACAGCGTCAAGCCATTCAGTTTGGCTTTTTTTGACAGCCCTGGGATGCTCTTAGATCATTTCAGTCCAAAGCACATTTCAGTGAAATAACAGCATTTATTTTAAAGCTGAACAGCCCCAGTGGGATTCAAACTACTCTCCTGACAACGGCATGTCCGTGTTATCTGTGCTGCACATCGCTGGAGCTCTAATTCTTCCTCTCATTCCAACTGTATTTATGTTGGGTTGAATGTTTTGCATCTTGAAACACAAGCCCAAACAGCTCCAGTTGTCTTATTGGGGGGCATTAATGATATGTTGGTGATTTGGAAAATCACAGAGAAGAACGGATGATGTGGCTCTAATATTTCTCTGTACTCTCAATGGGACAGCACACTGAAATCTGAATATCTCCCCTGCTTTCATTTGAATTCTGCAATGTTTGTTTTTTCTAAAAGACACAATGTAGTAATTTGCCAAGTCATCCCTTTTCTAAACAACTCAAAATTCAAGGAAAGTATTTCTCACTTAGAAACATTAATAAAACCAAAGATTGGAAAATGTGGAAAAATACATTTTCAAACCGATCCTAATCAAACTGTATTTTTCTGTCAGTTGTCATCGTCAGCTCTGCTCGACTCCTCTGTTGAGAGGCAGCAGCTGGGCTTAAAAGAAGCTATGTATGATGATACTTGGGTGTCTCCATCATTTACGAACAAATGTATACCAGGAAAAAAAGGGCACCTGTGGTGTTAAAACCTTTACCACGGTAGTGGGTGCACACAAATAACTGTTGAAGAGCTATACTACTTCACTACAATATGGTAGTTAACAGACACTCACATACACCATTTCCTTCCAAAATGAGAAAAAGAAGATGCAAATAAAGGATTCATTTGTAATGAATAAAATATAATCAATGCTATCTTTATAATCAGTATTAGTTTTATTACGTGCTAATTACACGTCCTCGTACGTGTACGACATTGAGTGTTTAATCTATGGAAATTTGATTAACAAGTTGTCCAGCAGACAAACAGACAAAGGGAAAAGAAACTTGAAGTATTCTCTTCCTTACCCGTTCCTCCTCTCTGTATGAGGAGTGTTGCCTCTGCTCCTACTGGACACTCTTTGAGCATCTCCACCACCCGGCCATGTCCAGCCGCAGCCACAGGCTGCTGGTTGACCTCCAGGATCAGGTCCCCCTCTATCAGCCCCGATGCTCCCTGTGAGCCTGGCTCTAGCACCTGAAGTACAGAAACATACAGCCGTCAGGTCGTTTGATGGGCTCTCATTAACATGTCACTTCAGCCATTTTCCTCCATTTCGAGACACTTCATCATTTTTGTTCCAAAAAATGTCTCAGAAATCGAGTGCTTTAGCTTTTTTGATGTTGGAATTATGCTTTGACAGCCTCAGGGTGCTGCGTCAACCACCTCAGAATGAACCAAAACCAAATACCAACTATGAGCTCTGCAGCAGCGATTTGGGCAAATGGAGAAAAACCAAAGCAAAGTGGATTTGTGTCTCATCCCCAGCTTTTTGTTCCGTCTAAACCAGAGACGGGTATAACATTATGTTTGTGGACAATTTCTCCCATTCTGATTGCAGACGTGCCCCAAGATGGACACATGGTCAAACTGACTGACCCCAGCAGAAGCTGTAACTACAACACACACAGAAAAGATTTAGAATTCCAGAATTAGAACCTCACACTGTAAGAAGTCATAGTGGTAAATAGTTCTTTACCACACTCAAGTTATAGAATGTTCAACATTTTACAAACAAATGACTACAGCCCGTTTGACAGGTGGAATATATTTGTTTTTTTCGTGTTTAGATACATATAATGGGGCCATTCTAACATAATATAAACCCAGCGATACAACACAACTCATAGGAAAATCTAAAAGAGGAAGTTTCCATTTTATTCTGCCAACAAATCATCTTGAAGGTTAGTTTGGAAAACCATTAAGACTTAACCACTTAAAATTATGAGATAAAGAAACCTTTTTTTTGTCATTATTCTTTTTCGATGTCTCAACGTTCAACAGCACAAAGACAGCAAGCGTGAGAGATACTTTGTTAATAACTACATTAAAAAGGGATGTGGGTCAGGGTTTTTTTTTTGTACTCTGCTCTTTTAGGATTCCTTTCAGTCATTATTAGAAAATCCAACCAAGCCTGAGCTCAGTTTGGTCTTATTATCACAATCTCTCTACTTAGTTGCACTGGCCAAATTAAATTTTCTTTGACCTGCTGTTTTAACTCTGCCTCAAGTTTAATTTAGAAATGTACTCAGCACGCCGAATTTAGCTGACTGCTGAAATTTCACTCTTGAAAGAGCATTTTTTCCCCTGCTACACAGAGAGAGGAATCACATTAAAACGTTGAGCACGTCTGAACTCAGATCTGCGTTGTTTATCGTCTACGGACGACTGAAGGTCTGGCGCATCACCTGCTTGACTCGCTGACCGGTGGGACTGTCAGCGATCGTGAACCCAAATCCTTCTGCCCCTTTCACCATGGTGACCGTGAGCAGCTCCGCCCCTTGTGCTGTTGCCCCGGCGACCCCGGCGGTCCCGGAGGAGGCTATTGACACGTTGTCGTTGTGAGGCGTGAGCGCCGAGGCCGAGCCCGGCGTGGTGGGTGGCAGCGAGGAGCCGTCCAGGTGCGTGTCCCCGGGATGCGAGACTCCGGCCTGGGCCAGGGCCTGAGCCGGAAGCTGAGAGCTCAGGGACAGGTACTCCAGGTATGGGTCGTAGGTGCCCCGTCCGTTCACCACCAGTGGACGGTGCTCCAGGCCGATGGGTGTCAGGGAGGCACTCGCGGCGCCACTTGGGTCTTCGGGATCAAAGGGTAAAGGATAGCCTCGGCACAGCACGAGGGTCACGCTCTGACCGATCGGCACCGACTGGAAAAGCTTGACAACGTCGGCGTGCGTGGTGCCCAGCACGCAAATGTCATTGATGTAGACGATTACATCACCTGAAAAAGAGAATTGGGGAAGTTTAGTCCCTCCACAGCTCGTTTCATGTCTCCCAGACCAAATGCTTGGGTGTCAGCGGTTAAGATTTTGTGTCTCAAAATGACAACTTGTCACCATCTGCTAGCATTAAGTTTCAGTGGTATAACAAGAAGGGGCAAAACAGAGGAAGTGCAATGTCCCTCTCAAGTGCCACGGGGGAGCATTACATTGGCTTTCTACCACTGCCAGAGATCTAGAAAAAAACATGTGATAGCCGGGCTGGGATACACAGTCAAAGTCTTTGTGAATATGGCAACCATCTGCTGCAAACCGGCCTCCACTGAGGCTTTTTAGTCATGAAAATTTGAAAGAGTCAAATGGACCCACAGTTCTGGCTCGTGTGTGCTGCATTCAAATGTTTCACCTTCCTCCAAATTAAGCTGTCAACTATTTTTTATGATCTTGTGTTTGTCGTGTTGATCAAACCTCCGAGTGCCCCGACTTTCAAGCTTAAAAAATGGTTCGCTTCATACCATTACATAACGCACAATGTGGTGGAACAACTTCATAAATGCAGGACTCGATACCCTGCTGCCATCTGAACATGCAGAAGGCTACGGAGTTTCAGCTTTAAAGTAACAGCCCCGTGACAAATACGGCAGCCTCAAATACTTCATTTCACACATTTAGAGAAACTCTATCACACACTTAATAAGTGTGTGCCCACACATGAATGTATAGAGTACATATCAAACACAATTCAAAAGAAGAGTGTGGCACAACTTAAATAGGCCAGCTAATCTCAGGCAGGGAGCGTCTGTGAGTGCGCCTGCTTGTCATGTGTCTCAGTAGGGCAGTGTCACGGAGCGGAAGGAGACATAGAGGGGACAGAAATTAGAAAAGAGACCAAGGACAAAGGCTGACAGACAAAGAGAGAGGGATGAAGAAAGAAAATACTGAAGAGGAAAAAAGAGAAGATGGATCAAAACATACGGAGGCTGAAAAACAGAGGGGGAGGTTCAGATGACATGGTTAGATATGGTAGTGTAATAAAGGGTTTACTGAAGAGACAAAGAGAGATGGAGATAAAATACCAAAAGATAGAATCAAGATTAAAGAGAAGCTGATAGACAGAGGGTGAGATGTAAAAGCAGAGGCTAGGTGCCGAGAGGATGAAGAAGGATCCCCAATAGAGAAAATAGCTCTAAATGAGCTGTTTTTGTATGAGACATGCCAAGCGTGAGGCCAGCACGCAGGTTCAGAGGAGAGCACGCCTGTGCCTGCAGCCCTCTTCCACCTCAAAGTATCAAACATTTGATCAAAATGATCTTCCACAGGATATTTAGTGTAGCCTAACAGCAGAACACACAAGTTGCTACAAGGAACCGGTATTAACTCTCATATTCACACTGAGTAAAGCAAGATCTCTCTTACCACCAACAAAGCCTCATGAGAAGATACAGCTGCCTGTGTGGTGGTTAAAGCTAATGGGTTTCAAGCATAGAAGGCACAAACACAAGTAGGCAATTTTGGGATGCAGGTGACTTATTTTTTAAATTACCTTGAATGCTGCACCTGCCGTGCTACTAGAGAAGCAGAAATAGCTCTCTTAATGAAATAGTTTTTTGTGTTAGAAGGCAGCAGTTATGGGAAATAAAATGATTTTGTCTCAAGAAGGATGTTGTTATGTAGAACAGATGTCAAAGGCACCAATGTAGGGCACCCTCAATATGCCACTATCAATATTAAATCTTTGCCAATAAGTTTTACATTCTAAAGTGATTCTTGGAGTTTCAATGCAACGGGGTCACAGTGGAGAAGACACTCAATATATAGCACCATGCATACGTAATGCTTTGCCACCGTACATTTGATTTCATTCAAGCTTTTTCTTGCAATCTTTTTTCAACCCTGTCCTTGTACTTGAACCATGTAAGCACAAATTGAAAAGTGAAAAGATATGTATGCATTATGAGATATTTATGGTGAAACTACATTAAATGGTATTTTTAGTCAACTTGTCACATGAGGCCTGGCAGTCATTGAATTATATATTTTAACTTACAAAAAGCTATGAGCTAAATACAGATGTGGTGTGCAGCGTACATAAAAAGTATGAGTAAACCGAACAATGTGGGTGGCCTCTCACCTTTCTCACATTGTTTGGTTTACTCATCCGAACTAAGTGAAGCCGAAGTAAAACCGAAGTAAAGTAAAGCTGAAAGTGGGCTGGTACTGTTTTTGAAATAGACGAAGATGATTTATCACTGCCAAACATCAGATGGTTTATACCCACTCACTGCAACAGCGAAACCAAAGCCAGATTTGATTAAGCTGGACCGCACGGCTGTGACTCTGAGGGACAACAGGTTTAACCACCAGTTCACGCTAACTTTGTGGCAACCCCTAAATAGAGGTTTCCAGATCAAAATATGCCTTAATCAATTAGAGTTTGAGAGTTCCTGAGACCTAAAACAGAGGCATTACGGCACACAGCCTGATAAGAAATGTTCTGACGGCACAGTAATAAATGAGCCTGATACATGAGACTGATGCTAGGGATTTCCTTTTATTTGACCTGCCACTGCAAGAACTTGAGGTCCACACTGCTGAGATGCATGACACTGTGCTTGAACATTTTTATGAACACGGTTAAACTGTCAGGAGTCACAGCTTGCTGTTTGTTTAAACATCAATTGATTTCTAGACCAGTTGACAGAACGGGGGCGGTACATATAATTACCTGTGTCCATTTTGCCATCCTGAGCAGCAGGTCCATCTGGTATGACACTCTTCACTTGCAGGAACTCATCGGGCTCGTCGCCCCCTATGATTGTGAAGCCGAATCCCATGTTGCTCTTCTGCAGCGCCGTCGACAAGAAGGTGCCCTTCAGCTGCGTTGGATCCCTGGTAAACAACGGCTTCTCTGCGTGGAGAACAATATATTCATATTTAATCTGACGTTTCAATATTTTCTTTTACATTATTTTTCCCTCTAATGAAAGTTTAACACGATCAGTGGTCAACGCTCTAACGCAGCCCTTCAGATTTTCTGAATGCAGAGACACAAATGATACGTCCTTCTGATAGCTGACTCACAGGATGTGTCAGCCAGAGGAGGCAGCGCAGACTGTGCTGGACTCGTATGTCATCATACGCATGCCTGGATTAGCTCATTGGCCTGAAGGTTAGCATGTTCTCTGTTGCCTGAACTGCTAGCAGTCTCCATTCAAGCCTATAGAGTATGTTGTGACATCAGCCCCATCCAATCTCCATAAAACTGCCCTCTCAATGACATGCTTTGACAAAAGAGGGAGATTGTGTATTTAAAGAAAATATATATAAATGAGGAATTAATCAATTTCATCAGTGCAAAAGACAATGGGCCATAAAAGTGTGTCACTACCAACAACTACTTTCTAACAGCAAAGAGACAGAATGACCACAGGATACCTGTGGCATTCAGTCCATTACAGGCTCTTGTGAGGAAGTTAGTTTATTTTTTAAAGAGTCTAAAAAACACGGCACCGCTCTTTGAGTTCAAAAAATGTCATGCTCTTTGACGTTCCTGGTTCCAGGCTAAATGGCACAGGTAATGGAGACTTTTTTTAGGATAACTCCTAAACTTTAAAACAGCCTTCATTTCTAAAATCAGAGAGACTCTGAGTCTTGATCACATTAAAACATTTTGAAAACATGCACTTTTAAACCTGGTTAAATGTCAGAACTTAGCTTTAACCATTTAAATACTGGATTTTGACACTATATGTATTTCTTTGGACTGGATGTACACCGCCTCTTGCCTAAAGACGGCTGGGACAGGCTCCCCGCAGCCCTACTGGGAGTTAACGGTACAGAAAAATGGATGAGTGGATTTCCTGCTGTTTTGTTATTTCTGTTTTATAGTAGTTAACCGCATCTGTTATCATAAAACACATTTTCATAAGGCACAAAGCAGACAACCATACCTCTGTATATCGTGGGTAACGGCAGTGCGGAGAGTCCTTGGCTCTGCATCTGTCTTTGTTGCTCGAGGCGTCTCTTAGCTTCCAGGACTGGATTCTCGAACTGAGTCCTTCGATTAATGTGACTGGAAATACAGCACAGCATCGCAAGTTATGTCAAAGGACAACAAATTACAGGGAAGAGGTATAAGGAACTTATGAAGGCGGTGCCTTTTAGAACTGTTGAATTGTTAATCCTCAACTCAGGCTCAACCTCAAAGCTGTATTTTAATGTTGAAACCATATATGAGAATATGAATCATTTAGTTAGAGATGCAAATCTTAGCCTTTTCTGTTTCATCAAGTAAAACAAGCTCAAAGCAGGTTACCAACATGAATATTTAATGAGGTTTAATGAAGGTTTATAACAATGACTACCTTTCATTTGATTAAAATACAGTTTTGCTGTCATAATTGTATCTCTTATTCTTCAGCGAATACGCGCATATTATTTGCATTTTTTCCTGTTTGGAGCAAAAGGGAAACTTACTCCACGTAGTAGCTTCCGTAAATGGGGTCATCTATCTTCTCCCAGCCATAGGGCAGCTCTGACAGGAAAAAACCCAGGCAAAGGAAAATTAAGTCAGTGTTTTCTGAAGACACAAGATGGAAGGTAGATGCTATACTGAAGCACTGAGAGGAGACAACATGAATCTCAGGGCTCACAGTCATTTTCTCCCAAACTGGCCTTTTAATGGAGAGATAACACTTTGATCTGCAGCTTTGGCTTCGTCATGGAAACACAAACACAGCAACAACATTACCACTAAGGAGGCAGAAAATTCTGCCTTCTCTTTCTTTGTCCTCCCTTTGGTGTGCGCACAGATCCTTGAGAGTTAAATTATTTCATCATGTTGCTTCTTGTCTGTCTCTTTCTCTTACACACCTACTTGTTTTTACCTTGGATGGCTTCTATGTTTTCTGAGGTAATTGTCTCCTCCCCCTTCTGATTAGCTTCCGCCTCCATTCATCCCGTTTTGATTGAAACGGAAACTGGTCAAGGTACACTTAAGTCTTTGCAAACATTTTGCCCATATTCCTTAATTCACTGTGAAATTTAAAATGAAATAAACACAGTGTTGTAATCATATCTCCAGCGAGTGTTTTCATCATTATAGACACTTTGGTTGTTGCTATTAGTCTACTTAAAGGTGTCCCCACCTAAACACAGGCCATTAGACGGTTGACTTTACAGGAAAGAGGTGCAGTAGCACAGTGAAATATCCTCACACCCACATTTCAGTTAACAAGCCCGAGCTATTGTCACCCACGTTGAAACACACCAGAAATGAAGTGCTTCTGATTAATCAGCACAGATCTCCTTTGTTGTACTGGCATATCCATTCCTCCTCATGTCTTGCAATTAACAGTGTAGTTTCTGAAATGAATGACTATAACTGCAGCTGGACAAACAATAGAACATATGATTTGTCACACAGATTGAAAAAGCGGCAGAAAACCAAAACACAACACAGTGACGATGAGTCATCAAAGACAGGGTTTGACTTCTGACTAAAACATAGTTCGTCTCACTCGAATACGGACGAGAAGTGGCAACAGTGTTCCAAAGAGGAGTAGTGCTGTGAAAGTGAGGGAGATATTGTGGGAATATGGCCTTTATGTGGATGTGCTGTTGTATTTGTATGGGAATGTCTCTTCCACTGATAAGAGCATTTTTACATAAATTAAAATTAAATGAAAAACTTCTCTAAAACAGCGTATAAAACCCGAGAATCTTTTGGAAGACTTAAAACTTCTGAAAAACTCCTACTTCCACCAATTATAACTAGAAAAAATATCATTCCCCGAATGCGTCTCGGAAATTTCGAGGCTATCCCATTAAAAAAGTGTGATTAGTGGAATGCATTCCTTTAAAGTGGGTATCAAACATTATTATGTGATCTGCATCACACTGATGTTGTTGCTTCAATCGTCCTCTCATGTTTGGCAGTGGGGACATATCTGTTGTCTGAGTAAAAAGAACCACGTGAATGTGTCCTGGCTGCTCAGCATGCTGGCTGCACTGTCCAAGGTGAGAGGAGTGCATGCCTCAATAAAGTCCAGTCTACATTATCACCCGCTCAAACTGCCGGCACCGCACAGTCACTACCTGCCACGGCCCCCTCTCATCCTGCAAGATGGATTTCAAAGCAAGATGGATTCAACTTCAAACCACCTTAATTTTCCCTTCACCTTGTCCACGAGCCACCTTAAATGTCGGCCTAACACATCCGCTGTTCGCTTGCCCTCCCCTTTAAGTGAAAGGGAGACAGTTTCCATGGAAACCAGCAGTGAAAGTCCTTTTTTTTCTTGCCTGAGCTGAGAGCTCTGTCTTGTCTCTATTTCCTGCCACTGAAATACACACAGTGTGTTTGTGCATGTGTGTGTTTATGCATTAATGGGAATATATTTGGAGAGTGTGTATGAGCTGTGTACTAAAAGGCTGAGAGGTATTAGCTTGAATAAATGAGAGAAAGCGTCATCTTTTTGACACTGAATCAAATTCCTCATCATGTGTTGTAAGATTGTTTCAGCAGTAAGGGGCTTGTTTACATGATTAAAGTCTCTCTTGACATAAAGTCTGATTGTGATTCCTCTGCACTAGATGACTCATTTTCCCTTTTCACAACTGACCTGACCAACAGAAAGCAAAAATCTGATATTATTTAAAAAAAAAAAATTAATTAAGAGAAAACTCCAGAATATACTCCGAAAAGCAAGATTTTAAATATTTCTATTTTGTCCATTAAATGAAGAAACACTTTTATTTAAAATGGTTTGACTAATGAATGGTCTACAATCTGGAAACAAATAAATAAATAGGTTTAAAATAATAGAAAAACAGAACAGCAATTATCTTGATCCAGATGTAACTAATTTACCAACAATGATTAAACTCAGAGGGAAAATTTCTCAGCACTCATTTCCTGTCTGTGGATGCCTCAAATGCAAACCTCTGCCAGTCTCCATTTGTCTCCACCTCAATCTCTTTGAGAGGAAAGACTGGCATGGCATCCTTTTCCATAATGTCCTCACATCCTATAATTTAATTATTTCTCATATTTCTCTCCTCTCCGGTCTCCCTTCCTATTTCAGTATCCTCTCCATTTCTTTCTCCAGTGGCTGCAGACAGTGCTCTGACACTGTGTCAGCCTCAGTTACGGTGCCTGCTAGTAGATAACCACAAACGGCATATTTTCATGGACAGCACCGGAGGTTACTTCAGAGATGTGGCGAGGGCTGAGTGCATATTCAGGCAGATGTGAAACCAGCTCTTGCTGTCCTTTTGGAGCTCGTCCTGCTCCTTTTCTCATCTTCTCTGCGCGACACAGGAGATATGACTTGTATTATGCAACTATGAGTCCGACAGAAAAGACTGCAAACAGACCAGATATGAAGACAAGTCTTTGCACTCTGAGTCAGCCTAAACCTATGGATACAGTACATCACATTCAATCGGTGGTTGCATCAACATGTCAGCAAAGACTAGCAGCCCCTGAAAGTCAGCCAAAATGCAGCATGGAAGCAAAAGAGGCCGATGACTCCGAGCTAGGGGAAGGGAATAGTGAATGAGGATATATTAAATGCTAAAGAAGAAGTGAAGCAAAGAGACCGTACGTGCGTTAGATGGAAGCAATGGAGAGGGAATAACAAGAAGACAGAAGGAAACCAGTCTGTATGAATGTATGTTTAAACATTTGTCTGCTACCGGCCTACCGTCACTCCCTGATGTTCCCTTAACACTTGTACTATTTTATGAGATATTTTTGCAAAATCTGACATTTTTCAGTCCATGTCAGTTTTGTCTTTATACAAAGCTACATTTTTATGTGGACAAAAATGGCTCCATGAAATGGTCCCATTGTACACAGCTGAACCCACCATTAACACTGGAGAAGTGGTAGGACAGGATTCAGAGTGATGGCAACAAAACACACTGAGAGCAAAGTAAAAAGAACTTCCTGTGACATTAAACTACGAAATTCTTTTCTGTCATCCTTGTGGGTGCAGAGCTATTTAAAAAAAAAAAGAAGAATATTTCCTGGCATCTAAAACTGTTTTCTGGAGGACGTGAATTCAAAGGTGCGGTGAGAGGATGTGATGTGTCATCCAGGGCCTTCAAAAACAATCTGCTTAAAGCCTTTGATTCAAAATCCTCTGCCAGCAGTGGCTGCTCAAAGCACTCTATTGACTGCATCCCCAAAGATAGAGACACAGACACCAAAAGAGAGGGGAAGACTAAACGCCTTCATAATAAAGAATAAAAGACAGGAATAATTATGTTATGTGGTGCAAAATAACACTTTGTATGTTTCTATTCAGCCTAAAACCATATAAAAATTTAAACAAATATCTTAAGTTTCACAATTGAAATAAATTATGTTCATTCCAAAAAAAAAAACACTAAAAGTCAACCACACAATGTACAGACATATTAGTTAAAACAGGAATCAATGTCCTCTTCGTTATGGTAGAAACAGGAGGAAAGCATATGTGGAAAAGTGATCAATTTTTATTTATTTCTGTAAAATTAATGGAAAACTAATTTCAAGATAAGAAAAAAGAGTAAAGTGTAAAACTAATTATAAAAAGTTGTAGATATGGATAAAGAGAAGGTTAAAAAAGATCCATCATATCAAATGTTTTAAAATGTTTTCAAAGTATCATGCAGCACAAAGCAGGTATTGTTCATGGCTTCACAAATACTTCAAATATAAAGGGCAGCAGTGAAGTGGAAGCATTTAATTGATGTTCCAGAGTTTAAAACCCCTCACATTGTAAGAAAAATACTTTACAAAAGTTCATGCACCCCTGATGATTCATGTATGACTGTTAATGTAAAATCAGCATAGTTTGAACCTTCCAGGGAGGCGCTTTCTAAAGCTTTGACGGATTCGTTGCGCAACCTGAAGCTGTCCACGAAAATCTTTTGTTTCTCTGCTTGAGAAAAAGCAAAAAACAGTTAAAACAAATAACACCTGAAAGAATTGTGTGGGTTGTAGCTCCTGTGATATGTGAAATCAACTATGTATGCATCCATTATCTATGACACTTATTCGTAGTAGGGTCAGGGGGGGGCTTAGAGAACAATTGATATCTGCCAAAACGAAGCAGAATTATGTCTGCCAAATTTGAGGACTGTGAAACGCTCAGTGTGTGTACGTGTGAGTGTTTGTTTGTGTGCGAGAGCCAGTTGGTGCAGACCTGAGTTGTGTTATTAAAATTCCTCTCACAGGCTGGCCCTTTACTGGGCAAGAGACAGGACAGGAAGATGGAGAATGAAGGTGGAGGAGAAGAAGAGAGGAGAAAATTGAAAAGAGGGAGATTGAATGTTGAGAGGGAGGAAGATGTGAGGTAAGGGAATGCAGAGAAGAGAAGATTGAATAGATGGAGAACAGACGAGAGGTAAAGAAAGTATTGATTTTGATCGTGCTCTGGTGAATCACACCACCAGCTAATTCGAAGGCTGTGATGAGAGAGGAGACGTCCACCATACTGTTTTGGGCCTGATCACACTGAAGCATCAGGCTGCTGACATCTGGACACATCTGCACTGCTCTTAAAATGGTCCAGTTTGGACCTTTATCATCATATTTCACTCACCTGAAGGGACAACGATAAAGACATGTTTGGATAAAAATGTCCCACCAACACTGTGGAAAAACTGGTGCTATAGTACCTGCCCTATGCTTTACGTCCTGTAGAATACACAAACCTCACAAAACAACAACACAATGCTTCTCTGTGTTATAAAGGGAGGGCGGAGGAACACGTTTGGCCTAAAAGCTCTTTGTTTAAATGTCCCAAACAAATTGTAGTTTCACTTTTGTTCACGAAAATGTATTTGGTTTAATATAACCAAGAAAGGAAATGTAAATGGGAAGAATATGACTTTTTGTTTTTCTTATTGGATATGCTCACAGAAAAAGGTCCCAAAGTGAAAAAGCCCCGTCTTTGAACTGTCTCATCAAACAGAACAGAGAAAATTCTGGTATCGTTTTTAATATTAACCGATAGGTAGAAAAAAATCTGTTCAATCAAACTTATATTGGCATTGTTAGACAGGAATGGTTCAAATGAGAGCTTATCAGATTCAAAGTCATTTTTGCTTTGCTGTAGACATCCGCCCTGTGGTACACTGCAGTTTTTAGTGGCTCGTATGGTATTCTTGCTCTAAATCCGTCTAACAGCAAAGATTTTTATGCTTATAAATAATTTACACCCAAATTGAAGTGAAATTATGGCCCAGGCACATAGCACAGGACTCCCTGCAAGGTCTGAATCACACCAAGGCTCTAAAAAGACTATGAATAATATGTTCAGGATATATATGAGTGATGACTATTCATGTATCCACACAGTCTACAGTATTGTTCCTTGATTTAACTTTTTATGTGAAGTGAAGTAAAAAAATGATTATCCATCCAGTGGAATATTTTCACTTTCTGGGTTTCATGGGTTACAAATCACATTCAAACAATACAGTATTATGTTACTAATTCCTGTCCTCGTCTTTCATACAACATCTTTTGTTACTCATTTTTGAACTCTCATATAGTTTATATAAATGTTCAGGAAGTTTTTGTGTATAAACTCTCAATCACCTTATTCTTTTCTGCTGATAAGGGCATTTCTATGGCATAAAATGTCTTAAATAACACATCCCTGTTTTCAAAGTAGACTTGTCTTCTCAATTACTTTTGACACATTTTAAATATTTGAAGTTCTCCCCTGTGTGAATACAAAGGCCTTAAAATCTTCATCTAAAGCCAATGAAAAAAGATGGACATCGATCATCAAGAGTAAGACAAGGTAACCTTGTCAGAATGATTCTAGACTGTCAATATTAGACTTCTTATGTCAAGTTGTTCCATCTGGATTTGAAAAAAAAAAACAACCTCTCCCTTATAAATGAATAACTTTCCCAAAACCTGTGATGTACAGTGAGACCAGCAGCACACATATCAAAAAGTGTCGAATTTCTTTTTATCTTCTGCTGGAGGAATAAAAAACCATGAGATTGGATCAGACAACAGGTGCAGAAACAGCAGGGGCAGCAGAGGAAGCACACTCCTACGAACGCCCGAAGATGAATTTGACTCAGATGAACATAAGCTTGAGCTTTCAAGAGAACAAACAGGCTGTCCAGACTCACCATCTTCCCTGCATTCCTCGGGTGGCTTTGCTTTCTTTGCTAGTCGAGGATCGAGCCACGATGTAGTTTTGGTGTTGTGACTGGAGAAGAAGAAAAAGGAGATGAGTAGATGAAAGAGGAGAGACTCAAGCACAGGCCACAGCGACTGACAGAGAGGAAGAAAGACAGAAACAGTTCAAAATAACACCGGTGACCTGCATGAGAAAGTGTCTGTGTGTGTGCCACAGAAAGAAGGGGCTTTCTGAGGTAAACCAAACGGCCACTAATCCACTAATTAACCCTTAGCCACTAATTAGTGAGTGTGAGAGGAGAGGCTGAAAGTTAGTGTGTATGTGTCCGATTAGCAGTACAGAGTCCCATTCATTATTTAGCTCAAAGTCCACAGCGGTAAAGTGTACAGCCACACACACACACCACGACTCTGAAGTGAGTGCATTACGCATGACGTATTTTGAAACATGTTCATGTTAATCATATAAGGCTTGAAATACTGAACCTCTACCAAGAGGTAAAGATATCAAAATAATACACGCTGTAGGTTTTCATCCCACCCTTCATCCCACAGATAACATGCTATAACTTGAATGAGTCATCCTGAAGGAATCGGGCCTTTGACTTGAAATCCCAGCACAGAAGGGGAATGAAATGATTGACCAAAGCATGTGTTCACAATAGGTGGTGACATGGCACATTTTTGCTTGTAATTCAACTTTGTCTGGGGGGGCCAGTTGTGGCAACAACCAGAAAAATCTAAAGTATACTTTGTGGTTTGTTGTACCTTTACTCTTCCTTGAAATTTCCTTTGAAATTTGATTGAAATTTGATTACAAATTAGATTCATGCTGTCCATTGTGGCTATTATATTGACGAGGAATTTTAAGTTTGCATTACACTCGAAACAAATGAATATGTGAATTAGTCAAAGCCCACTGGACTAATAAAAGACATCTAAGTCTGAGGCTTCCATAAACTGGCTTAGGTTCCATGTGCATGATGCAGAAGTAACTGGTAAACAACAAAGAATAACTACAAGAGATGGTGGTTAGTGGTCTTCCTGTCAGTCAAGTGTATATTAATAGATATATATTTCCAATGAAGTCGGTCATATTATCTTTCTTTGGCCAGGTGGCTGAATGTTTGGAAGTCGCTTCGGAAAATTCAAACTACATATCAACTCACTTTAAGCATTTCCAGTCTACCGCTCTGCTCTAATTAAATCACGGTTCTCTGACTGCAGTCTTGTTTCACACGGTTCCTTTTCAGCCATGTGCATACGTCTCCATGTGTGATGTAATTCCACTGATGATGCTCAAAGCAGCTCAATGCCCTGAATTTTATTGGATCTTTGTACAATCCACCATATCATGCTGTCAAAAATAACTCCATTCTCCTCCCGTACACGTCTAACAAGACAAGTATGTTGGTCCAATTTCCTGGCCAAATCAAGCTCGAACTGTAGCTTGAGTCATCTGCGCGTTTAACTGAGCATGTGGGTGTTTTCAGCTCACTTTGTGAATTTAGTCAAATTTCAGATAGAACAACGTCTTTACATGTGCTTTAGGGTCTGGCTTTAGCCAAGCTGACATTATACTTTCTCTTTTTTTTTTGTCACATCTTGTCAATGGGCTGTTTTGTGACTAATATTTAGAAGAAAATGTGTCCCATACTCTATGAAGTAAACTTCTCCCTTCTCAGTGTAGGCCATTTCCCAGTTGTCAGGCAGAGGACCCAGCTCTTCTTCGTCCACATCAGGGACTTTTGTGGGGGATTTGGATGGAGATTTTGGTGCCTCCTCCCCTTCAGGTGGGGGCTCAGCCGATGCTGGGGCCTGGATGGACCCTTCAACAGCAACCTCCCCAGAGGCATCTGTGCTCTTGTCCTCATGTTCACTGGACTCTGTGGACCACACACACACATACACACACATACTGTTATTCTCTCTTACTCCCCATACACAAATTCAGTCCTGAATGCTCACTACACATGCCATGCATGATGAGTCAGACTGGAGCCACTGCAGAGCTATGAACCCCCTGGAGACAGAGTGAGAGGGCGGGAGGGGGCAGATGGAGTCTGAGGACAATTCAGCATGAGGAGAAAACAATACAGGAATGTCAAAAATGGAGAAAATGGGAAAGACAGAGACTATGGGGGTCAGACACTGAATCAGAAACACAAGGAGACTCTTTCAGAAGAGAGAAATACGGCCGGTAGCGAGTTAAGCATGAGACACGGCGTAAAAATGCCAAACTACATCATTCTAAAATATTCCTGATTGAACTTCCAAGAGAGGTGAAACAAAAAAAAAAAAAAACACAAACACACATTATGTCTGCCACATCTCTTGAAATAGACGTTTTGTCTACTTGTGTACTGTGAACTTTCATAGTCTCATATAGTGTCAGGTTAATATATTCTTTAAAACTTACTAGTTTCACATAGAAATCTGTCTCGATGTAGCAGGGAGGTAATTTGGTCAGGAGATCTTTCAAAACATATACGGTTTACATAATAGAAATGGATAACTGGGGGAGTGCTGTCGTAATCTGTGGCAGATTCAGGAGGTGGAAACAGCAAACACGTGATGCCATGAGAATAAAGCGGAAACAACATGTCATGTTTCAACAACGGACCACAAAGACAGATGGAGGAAGGAGAAGGAAGAGGAGAGGGCAGCGGAGACAAGACCAAAGGATACGGGGGGAAAAAAATCAAGGGGTTCGGAGTAGGAGCGTGGCAGAAGAGAGTTAAGAGAGAGAAAGGAGTCGGGGTATTAATAGCAACAAGGACAAAGGCCAGTGGCAGAAAGACAGCAGGAGAGACAGAAAAATGAGAGGACAGAAAGACAGGAGCTAGAGCCTTTATGAGACTCCATCCTGTGAATAATAGTAGAGACATTAAGGTGCCCTTGTGCATTCTGTTACATAAGGTTACTGTGAACCTGTGTGCTGGCATTCAACTGTAATAACTGTTCGGGGTAGCGTTTATTGCAGCCGCTGAATGAGCTGCAAATTTGAAAGTAGATTACATGAAAGAAGAGACTTGATTTTGACCTCAGGGAGCAATAAGAATGATAGGTAAAAACTGCAATAACAACTGGCTTGTTTCTCGGCTTTGACTCAATCATACCACGGGGACAGCAATAAACAAAGTCCAGGACTTCAAACCCTGGGTTCTCCTCGTTTACACTGGATGTTATAAAATGTCCTCCTGCTCGCCGCTCTCGTTAAACAGGACACACTTTCAGCTCCACAATAAAACTGTGGCATAAAAACTTCAAAACGGGAAAATTGATGTTTTTCTTCCTCATCCATACAGTACCTGGTGTGATAGCCACCCCGTTGCCATTGACAACTGGGCTCTCCTCCTCCTCCTCTTCAGGCGGCTCCAGGCTGGCGCGCTGCTCCATGTTGCTGACCGACTGGTTCCTCTTTCTCTTGCCCTGGGCGCTTGGCCGGGCTCCGGGAAGCAGGGCCTCACTCACATTCAGAGGAGGGGCTGCCGGGGACGGCTCGGCGGGAGGTTTCGGCGTGCCGTAGAAGTTGTCTGAGGAGAGACAGACACAGATACCTTTGAGTTGGAGGCCATTAACAGAGAAGGACCTCAGCTGGTATGACGCACCATCCACTCAGCTGAATGGACGTCCCCCGTTTGTGTGCAGACGCGCTTTGGCAACAACCACCTTTAAAGATATGAGCTAATTGGACAAAGTGGACCGAGCTGTAACTGTAATTATTTCCAAATAGTCAGTTCAACAGATGTCAAGCACCTGCTAGCTCATGCTTAAGGAAAAAAATGTTTAGAATGATAAGTGTCATTCAACATATTCCAGCGTTTAGACTTTCAATGACTTCCAAAATTACATTAAACCATAAAAAAAAGGAAAAAATACAATTTAGTCTCCAATTCTTTCATCAGCTGCAATTAAATCTTCTTTCACTACATTATAAACTGGGAGGGAGTCCAAAACCTTGCTGTGGTAGACAGTTTTCTTCTATGTCGTCCTCTTTGCTTGTGAGTTTTATATATGGCCTATCAACATAGTGATAATAATTTTTTAACTGTTCAGCTGCAGCAACCAAATCCAAAAAAGAAGGCACTCCAGGCATCTTTCAGTAAATGTACAGTTCAGTCTTTTTTTTCCTCACCCCCTTACAGTCTTCTGAACAATGATCATTCAGACAAGACACAACTGCAAGCCTGTGACATCCACACAACGATAGTGACTCATCCTCAGTTGTCTTTGTGGCACATTCATCTCCCGTTCAAACATTTACAGGAAATACTACAGATTTTTTACTGTATATTTCCAGGTTCTCAGCTCTCTGGTCTCAAATAGACCATTGTTTCCTAATTCTGTGTTGGCTTTCTAACACACATTCTACTTCTTAAAAAACCCTTGTTGAATCAGATGAATCCATTTTACCTCCCTAGCAGCATCTTCAAATATGTTTATGTGGGTAAAATCAATTAAACTAAGCTATTTAAATCCTTTCATATTGCCATCGCTGCTGTTGTGTGTTTACCCTCCGAGCTCTGTGGGTGGCATTCAAACCTGATCCAGTAACCACCACCACCTCCTTTAGACAGGCAACAAAACATGTCTGAAAGCCCATTAGAGTTCCAATCAGAACTTTCCAGCATAATTAGACAAGGTAATTCTTTTTAAATTGAGCAGCGGACCACAGACTCACACACCTGAACCTGAACCTGAGAGTGAGCTGTCAGCTGTCGTGCCGACAGGTAAAAAAGATCGATAATGATCAATTTCTCCTCTCAATGTCGGCAGGTTGTCGCATTTAGTTTAAACAATGCAGCGCTAATACAGAACCAAGACACTTCCAGAACATGGCCAGAAAAGTTATCCCAGGACTGCACACATAAGGGATGTTTGGTGTCTAAAGTCTGCATCAAACGGTTCTTGTGAGTCCTCGAAAAACAGCTCTCACTCCTGGTGTTTTTGAAAAATATTTCCCAAGTTGTTTAAATTGAAAGGGAAAAAAAAGTTTTAGCAGTGGCATAATTTTCCGGGATGTGCAGCTGTTTTGATTAATAATGTGTAGCTGGTTTGTCTTTGCAGTCATTTCAGTAGATAAACTTAATGTGATTCCTTGACACAATGAGTTGGTGGCCCTCATTTACATCATGTGTTTGTATTCGCTGATTAAAATGTTCCTTGTCTCTATTCAATTAATCTCTTTGTGAAAAGCTCCATAAATGTTACCTTTCCTTTCATTAACCCAAAAGTGGACAATAGAGAATTTAAATTACTATGAGAAAAGTCAGCGTGTGTGCTTTCTGATTCTTCCTGTAAAGACATTCAGGGTCCGTCAAGACCAAAACAGTAAGCTTAAGGACAGGATGTAGAGAGACTAATCCTTGCTTTTATTTCCTGTATGTAAGATTACTGTGAGGGGCTTTCACTCTCAGACCACTTAAGCTCATTCAAAGCGCTGCTGCCAAGTCATCACATGACCAAGAAAACACATCTAACAAGTCTTTCCAATACAAAACATCTGCTGATCCAAAAATCTCTCGAAAGCCGAGGGAAACTAAACCCATAGGTTGTGTTTTATACTTTAGTTTTAAACCGTAAACCCACTAAGTTGCTCCAATTATCATATAAAGCGTTTCTTAGGTAGACATAAAGAAAGGGCGAGTCATATCTATTACCTGGACGTCATAAAACTGGAACACACTCAATCCTGAAATTCTGCTCTGACTTTGACCCTTCTAAGATACAGGTTAAAAATGTTAAATGTTAAATGTTATCATGCAGTATCATGCAAAACCTTCAACACCTACAAAGCTATCTTTCTGTCCTTTCTTGTATTTCTGCCTCATTTCTTATATTTTCTTAATACTACTTTTGGTCTTTTATTAATTCTCTAAAGTGTAATTACTTTCCTTTTGTGTATGAAATAAAATGTCCTACATGTATTACCCAACAGTAAAAAGAACAGCAAATATCATATTGGAAAATGTCATTTTCATTTCTTATTAAAGACAGAGTTTCTGCAATTTAATGGAACTTTCCATGCGGATTACCTTAACTGGGGAAAAGGGTTTTAGCTCTTTGATAAAACAGGTTACAAAAGTTCACAAAGCCACCAGATCCGTCTACACGCAAGCTCAGCTATGAAATGGTTGAGGACACAGTCAAAAGATTAAACCCAAAAAGCCAAAACACCATAAAATTAGCAATACTGCTGGTAGAGAATGGCTGAAAGTAAAAATGTTACAGAACAAATCAAAGGATACTAAAGTCTGCCTTTGTGTCTTATATAAAATACAACATGGATATTTTTAATGCATCAGAAATTTATAGGTCTCTTTTGGAAACTTTTTGAAATATGTCTTAGTTCACAACCTTTCAAGGAAGAGAGTAAAGATCACATAAGAAGAACTTGACTGGACTTTGAAGACAAAATTCAGTTCTGGAAATCATCTCAAGCTGAAGGATGAAGGAGAAAAGACATGATACCCACCTGGTTTACTGTTTGTTTCTCAGAGCAGTTACCTGATTTACCCTTTCCTGTTCACCATTCATCATTACTCACACTCCTGTACTTTGTACTTTGGACATTTGCATTGTCACATACTTTTCTGTGGATTAATCAAAAAATGGAGGGCTGCAGTGCGTGTATGAAAAACGTGGGTGATAAGAAACATAATGAGAGGTCAGAGACTGTATAAAGAAGAACGGCGAAGGAAAGAAGCACAATGGGGGCTCAGCACTGCACAAGAACAGGATCAGTGTGAAAGACTCCACAGACACAGCACGACATGTACTGTATATATATACATATACATACACATTATCAGCAGCTCTAATGCAGCCGCCACCACTTCCTCAGTAAGAACGTTTACCCTGCTTCTCACAGAAAAAAAATTAACACATCCTGTCAAACACTCAAATGTGCACATTCAGGGCCAGGTAAACACAGTCTTAAGTATGAGACTGCACAAGCAGCAAGCACCCACCTGTGAAAGATTAAAGCAAACCTGATGAGATCCTTTAGAGAATACAAAGCACACTCAGATAAGTTTAGGCCCAGGTTCCTCCTCTTGAACCAAACTGGATTCAAAGCAAAATGTTCCCATGATGCTGACTGCTTGATACGCCCAAAGGCATCCGAGCCTTTGTACAGTTATATCCACTTTCAGCTGTGACTCATCTCACATCGTTAGGAATGTAAGCTCTTATGTGCACGCTCCACTGTAAGACTTACACTCACTAACATGGACAGCCTCATGAAATACAGTAACCCTGCAAAGGTTTAAGACGCCATGTCTGATATGGATGTCCTTCCCTGTGACTTTATCTTACCGTCTTAGTATACAGTCATACAGCAAAACCGAAACACAAAAAAAGATCACAAGTGAAGACATCTTTGTTTTTAATGTTTTTGATGTCTCAGTGAAGAAACAACATACATCTAAATATTGTAATTGAGAATCTTTTATTATTAGCCACATAAAAAAGTATATAACTGTAAGTAATAGTCACTAACATAAACCAGACTTAATGCAAGCGCTTTCACTGTATTTTCAAGGTTCTTATTTTCAATCTGTCCTTCTTCTTCCCCTCTAAATTCAAATTGAATTTGATGTGAATCACGAAATGAGTTACGCCACCTCCAGGGCAGCCACCCAGAAAGAGACAACTCTCCCTAGTGGGCACAACTGAGGTCTGTGTTAAGGAAAACACACTGTGCACATGCACAAAGACACGCCACTGTGATGGGACCATGTATGAGGGAACACACGTAAACACGCGTGTGCCTTTAGCCCCTCCAAATGCTCATTTACACACAATTTGTGTGAGTGCTGCTGCGCATGCTCTTAAAAATTTTCTTCTGGCCAAATGAAGCAGCAAATCTCCCATCTGTAGATGCAGCTCTGACAGTGCAGCAAAGCAGAGAGACGCGGGCTTGACATGACACGGAGCTGGCATCGCTTCAACTGACACAAAAACTAAAATAATCAACCACCACAGGAGGAGGCGGTGATACTGAGCACACAGCAGTGCAGGATACTCTTTTTGTTTACTTGAGTCTGATGCGCCTAATTAATCAAGTGCAGACATTCACGCTGTTGCACAGAACAAGACGGAATGTAAAAATAGCAAATAGCGCTACTTATACATACGTTGCGATCCCAGTTTTGCTCCCCGAGCACCTGCTCTTGTCTCACAGATGCTTCAACAGCTCACCTTCATAGGTTCCACTCTCTAGCAGGGCTCCACTTTGCTCCAGTTCCATAAAACGTTCCACGCTCACAAAATTGTAGTCCACCCCGGGCACCTCCCCCTCCTTCGGCTGCCTGGTGGTACCTGCAGAGTGAGAGGGGGAAGGAGGAAGGGAAAAAGTGAGACGGAGAGGTCATTAGAGCCAAATAGGACACTTGAGAAGAAAAGGCAGGAAGGCAGGGAAAGAGCCAAAAAGAGGGCTGGACAGGATAAGACTGCAGATTTGAGGCTACAAAGTGCATGAAAGGAAGTAGGAGGGAGAGGGAAGTGGAACAGAAGAGATGAGGAGTCATCGGCTGTGATAGCCAAATCCATTCACACAATTCTGTGAGACTGACAGTGAGAGACAGCCAGAGCGAAGCAAGGAGAACACGCTCAAGCAGCAAAACATCATCATTCAGTGCCTACAAGCCAATGTGATGCTGCTTTAGTAATGACTGAATCAATATGGCAGTTTTACAAAGCATAAGTCAAACCCCCCTTACACGGCGCACAATACTGTGCCGATTGGATTATTGTTGAAACAGCGGGAATAAAGAGGCACCACATTACCAGGGAGCAATTAGAGCCTTCCTGCATCAATGCTCTGGAGATCTTCATCAGTGCGGCAGCATCCAGGCGCGGCTGTATAATGACGGCGATGGAAGTTTGGGGTTTAATGAGGTGCCGTGTTTGTGTCTGCACCAAGCGGACTTTCAGCTCAGGCTCAGTGAAGGCTGCTGGTGGGGATCACAGTGGCCTATCGATCATGCCAGAGAGCAGTCGCTCGTCGTTTGTGACTGCAAAGGAGGAGGAGGACACTCCCAGGACTCCGACCAACAGCCGAGGGGGATCTGATCTGGCCGTGCAGTTACCAAAGAGTGTAAGATTAGGGTTCATATGTCCGGCGTGAAAAGGTCAGGACAGCCGATCGGCAGTTCTCATCGGTAGTTGAAAACCGAGGGAATAAAAGCGCAGAGCTTGTTTAGGTATGAATGGACGGTTTAAATACGTCTCGTGGTATCTCAGCAGAAGTGTGAGCTGAGAGATTAGAACAGCAGGTGACGGATGTGCTGTGGACTCGCATACGGCGCGCTCACATATGCACACTCACTCTCCCCAGAGCGTGATATCTTAATCATTAGATCTCTATTGATCGTCTGTCACCACTTAACTCCTGTAGAGCCTCCACTGAACATTCTCAACTGTATTCATTCACTGCTGTGAGAAAAGATGGCAGCCTGTCAACAACTAATGAGAAAGGAAGAGATGCCCAGCTCATCAGACATCAGCAGAGCGACTGCTGTATATAATTGCCAAACATTGCCACTCTGTGAACAGATTAGATTGGATTGTCAGTACTTACCTCCGTCTGAGCATGTCTATATGTAAGAATATAATTGTGGGTGTTTGTGACATTAAAGTGCCAACAGTAATCAGCAATGTCATAAATCCATAACCTCAACCATTTGTTACATATTTCTGAGACATCAAACATTGTACACACATATATATATATACACATATGCTGGGAGAGTTGTCTCTTTCTATGTGTGTGTGTGTGTGTGTGTGTGTGTGTGTGTATAATGATATGAACAGCTTAAGGAGCTCATTGATTAAAGAAACTAAATCTTATTAAGCTCCCTTATTAAGTGAAAAACTAGAGTGAAACATAACAACATCATTTTGATACATGTGCATTTTCCATTCTTCCCGGTTCTGGAAGTATTAATTTAACTTCATGGAATTCTTCAGGATCATTGTTTATACACCATATGATGTCATAAGGGATCATAAATATCTTCCATGCCCCAGAGAGTTGACTCATTAGTCCTGTGACGTCTTCTAAAAAACAAGAATAACTATGATTTGATGTCATGTTTTATCATTCTGACCAAAGTTCAAGATTTCAGCACACTCTTCTGTAATCAGCTGGGAGAATTGTGTGGTGTTTCAGACATTTACAATGAAACCCACTCCATGAAATGTGCTGCAGGTTGAATTAAAGAAAAACCTCTGTGCCATCCTTTGCATGTTCAGTGCAACTCTGAACACCTCTGCTCATCCAGCCAGGCCGGGTGGGGCGCCTTCCTCTGGTTACATTTATTGATCTGTAAGATCAGAATGAAATTATTCTGCTGCCCACACCCGAGTAGGCAGAGCCTGCTGGAATACTGATGACCTGCTGATGGTCCTCTCCCACGGCATCGCAGGACACACACACACCGAGCGGAAGAACTGAGGGAGAGTTAAAAATAAAGCCTCTTTTTGGATCTGACCTGAGACCAATTGATTAATTCTCTGTCTTTGGGATAAGCAGACAGGTCAACTGTTCCTCAGTTTGACTTTTTTTTCCCCTCACAGTTTCACTCCGAGCGACAAGCACATTCCCCCTCCTTGGCTGCTTGCTCCTCCTCACCCCAAAATACCTGCAAAGTAAACCTTTTTATTGCGGAGAACATTGCTCCCTAAAAAAAATCCATACTGTGTCCCTTTTGCCCATGCTGCCACCTCTCTATGTCCTCATCTATCTTTAATCTTGCAACTTTCTTTCTCTATCATTGAAAATTCTCAGGTAGAGGCCAAAAATAATAAAATACATTTCATAATTGATGTGCCCTTGTGTGTAAGGGCTAAAACGTCCTCCAGTAATTTGAAGGGAACTCAATGTGTATGTTTTTGGTGCAGAGCTCCCACATAACAGTGCAGTAATTAATGAGTTGATCAGCCTGGGACAAGCTGCACAGGTGCCCAAACTAAAGACTGTACAAAGATGGAGACATTGACACTTTCCTGAAGGCAATAGTGCTTCTGCTGTTAACTATTGATTGGATGTCTTGCTCCCGCTAATAAGGGTTAAAGTTGGCTGAGAGCCAAAAACTGCCCTTTGCACAGCAATCAGGCGGCGAAGCAAACCCGCTCGAGCAGGAGCAATAACACCACAGAGTTTATGGCTTTAAATGTCTTAAATCTATAATGGCAATGAAAAGCTTTAGAGATGCCACTTCAGAGGGTGAGGACATTACCTGCCCCGAACCATGACAACTTTAGACGAGAAAACATTTTCACATCGAAGACGCGGGGATGTGTGAGGGGAAGATTACTTAGAGGCACAACAAGGAAAGTCCATTTGGTGCTAAAGCTAGAATAGCTGATATACTGAAATAACTCAGCCGGGTGTCTGGCGAAAAGAAGACAAAGGTCTTTGCTGAACAGATAGGCAGAAGAGTGAGCGGCGAGGAACAAAGCGAGAAAACGGCAGAGGCAGAGGAAGCAAAAGGGGGTTAAAAGGCTGATTGGGTAACCGTGCAGTTGATCCACAACAGCCTGCAAGTGGGTTTTAGAATTAACACGTGTATTCATACGCATGTTTGTATAATTAGACAGGAAGTCACCAAGAGGAACAAGCAGACCGGCGGAGATTCTGAGCTAAAAATAGACCAACATTGGGCTGATTATCATAATGGCGAGTGGGGGGAGGTGGTCCAATAACACAGTCACAGCGTGGGTATGTGTGGGAACAAAGAGGTGGATGGGTGGGTGGAGAAGTGGTTCTTTTATATTAATACTTAATATTTTAATCTATACACACAGAGCGACAGGCATAATTATGTCCTCTGGAGGTCTCAGAGTCGTACTCGGGGAAAAAATGAGCTACATTTGTCGTAACGATGCATGGAACAGTTGTACAGTAAGTGGGTTTTGCAACAAACCCAGATGAATAAAACTGGTCCCACTTGTGCTTGTAGCTCGGTGTCTCGCAGCACCCCATCCATCACAGCCGTCGGGCCGTCCCGGGAGTGGAATGGATTTGTTACGACCACTGCTACACAAAATCTAACTGGAACTAAAAATACTCTCCGAGATGTGAACAGGTGTGACATTGTTTTACCAAGATTCCCCAAATGGATTCAGAAAAGGAGTCACATGAAGGTAAAGGCGTGACTTCATATCTGTCTGCTGAGCGTAACGGGTGTCGACCCAAAGTTAAGATACTGCACAAGGAGCACTAAACAGAAAAAGAGACAAGGAATGCCCGCATGGAGGTCTTTTCAGCTGAATTGGCACGTGCTACCTCTTTCTTCTCGTCTGTCCGTCCGTCCGTCCGTCCGTCCGTCCGTCCGTCCGCCTGTCTGTCTATCTTACTATCTTACTGTCTCATGCTTTCAAATTGGCCTCCTCCATTATCCTTTGTCCCTCTCCTCTTGTTTCCAATTTACCTCATCTCTGTCGGTGTTCTCTGTCCCCATTACTCTCTCTCTTTGTCTTTTCTAATCCGCTCTCTCTTCCCCCTCATTATCCTCCTCTCTTCCTTCTCCTCTCCTTCAAGCTCTGTTTGCACTTTGGTCTTGTGTCTCACTCACATCCCCGTTCCTTCGTCTTCCCTCTCTCCAGTTGGCAGATGTGAAGTGTAACAGCGGGTCTATAGGAGAGGTATGATGGAGCACACACACTGGCATCCTTATTTACACTACAAAGCCCAGGCAACAGATGCAGCGACACAACATGGCAACATTCTGACAGGAACGTCTGCTACCACGACAACACGTCAGCGCCTGGCAACGCAGACTTCCCATGGTAACGAGCAGCAGCGTCTACTTTCGCCGCGCAAAAGTAATGTTTAAGTCGGAGATGACACTCAGTTTTGAACACACATCTTATTTACCGGTAGTCTCAGAGGTCCTGGGCTTGAGCAGTGGTGCGCTGCGGAGCCCAAAGTCAGCGGAAGTCACCGCTCTGCACATCAATCAATCAGTTATTGCCGCAGCCTGGCCACAGGGAGCTTGCACCCGGGTGCCTTAGAGTAATTCAACTGGTGCTCAGCCAGACAGGTTGGACCCGGGGAACTTAGATGACACCTCTGCAGTGTGAATCCCTCCGTGGCTGGATGAGATGGGACACGTTCAGTCCAGTCACAGTCAGATTAGCGATAAATGGGTGTGTGGGGGCAGCTGTAAGACTGGGCTGCCGGCTTAATTGGACACACATTAAACATTGGGAGTTAAAGGCAGATCGGTATAATCTACACTGACTTCCCGTCCAATCACACAGGGCTTCAGGGCTTCGAAAGCAGACACAGCTGGAATGAGTTGCTCTGATGTAGTTAATAAGGTGTCCATTTCTAGTTTTATAAAAGTCATTCATTTCACTAATATTTGCATTGATTTATATTTTCATGCCCAATTTAACAGTCTGAGTTTATATTTAGGAATTCGTACAAATCAATGACTGAAAATCTACCTGCTGGGACCTCCAACACTCACACTATAGTTGCTGCTCTGTGAGTTCGAGCTATGCCATGATGGCTCAAGATGAAAAAAGACTTATTGTGGTCTTACAGGGGGTTATGTGCCAGGCTCTTTCTTGGCAAATGGCAGTTGCTTGGCAACCATCAGAGACTCCAAGAAACAGTTGAGTACGTTGCCAGCCCCCCCAGCCCTCATTGTGTTGTTTCCACAACAGGTGAAATGAATCCAACTTATTTATTTCTGAGGTTCTGGACCGCGTTTTGGACAGAGAACAGACTGTGTAGATGTCAAAAATGTGTTGTTGTATAATAGAATTTTTACATTTTAAAGACTGACAGTTTAATTTAACCAAACTCGCTTATCTATTATAAAATAATTCTGCACCCTAAATATTTAGACAATTGCTTTAGGGGTTTGTTATGGTGGAACTGGCAATAGCTCTATCACAGGGAGGCTTTAATAAAAACAGCCCAAATAGCAACACATTTGATTTCAGTGAGAATTGGAGTTTTCTCCATAAAGGATGTCTCTTTTATGTCTTGGAGGGACTGCAGGGAAAACTGTGTAGTTGAGAGCATCTGGATCTAGCTGAGCTGGGTGACATTGAGAAATTACCCTTGTACTGAGGTGTTTCCTGTGGCGATGGGAATCAGCCGCAATGGGCTGAAAAGCAGCTTCATTAGTCTGCAGAGCTGACTGACGCGGGACAGAGGAGTGGGGATCTGATGGTGTGTGTACCCACTAAACTAGTGTGTACACGATGCCATTCTGACTGTGTTTGCGTGGAGAAGCGAAGACTGACTGGAATAAACAATCGTTCTATGAGCTGTTACTGCTAACTGACCATCACAGGAGGAGGCCAGGCACATTTACTCTGATCTTAGCAGCCTGACAGAGACATTGGGTGGATGGGAAAACCTACAGACAGAATCAGAAACCCAAAACACTTCAGAGGAAACTCAGTTCGTGATTTGCAAGTAAGCAATAGGACCACACCGGAGAGGAAATTTAGATGAGAGGGCACCTGTCCAGAGGTCAACACGGAAAGCAATTTCCAAACATGACCATTCATCTCCAGTGTTTGCTATTTTATTTAAGAAAAAATATTCAATTCCAACTTGATTTCTTTCATCTGCTGAACAAGATTAATCCAGTGTGCCAATCAAACCACAGGGAGTGCAGAACCACATCAAAGCATGTCAGCCAGGCCTTTAACAAGAGCATGCCAGCAGGCAAATCAGCCCTTTAAGGAGAGTCCCTGCGGGATGATGTATTTCTCCCTCTTACACACATACAGATAGAAGCACACACAACCTTAACAGAGGATGGCGTGTAACATTCCCATGATTCATTTATCAGCTCAGTCTGTTTAATCTCACCACACAAACAGAATAATCAATTCAATAGGCTTGAAAAAAAAAAAAGCACATTCACATGGTGTGTTTTTGTGCACATACAGTCACTCAGAGCCACACACACAAAAACAA